CACCATGCTCCGCTCAATCCTCCACCACCGCCGTTCTCTGTTACTCTCGCGGTTAAAATCAAAACTTCATTAAATCACGGACCTAATCACCATCACTTATAAAGAAGGAGATTTCAATCACCCCCAACCGTAAGGTCTGCCGTAGCCAACCAACCCGCCGGCCCCTCACTATCTCCGGTCACCGCCTTCAGTGGACATAATTGTCCTTTGTTTTTGGAGTCCGATCTGTAGAGATGCAGCTCAAAAAGGAATGAATTTGAAGAGAAAACTAGAAACATGGATATTTGAAGTTGATGATGATTTTTTTTTCAAACGACGACCAGCTCCAGAAGTTTCGATACCAAAATAATAATACATGGGATCTAAGATTTTATGGATAATGTTTTTTTACTAAGGACAAATGTGTAACTTGATCCATAAAAAGTAAAATTGGACAATAATTTTAGTACAAAATTTTTTGGGCAAAGTGAACAATAATTATGTGACGGAAGGAGTATTACTTTAAAAAATTCCATAATAATAAATGAAAATAGATTTAGTGTTCAAATAAAAGATAAAGATAATCTAAATAAATTAAACTTATTCATCAATTGTATATATTTAGAGTAAATCTATCTTTTATTTACTCTAACAAAATCAAACTTTATTAATATAACACTTTGATAGGATTGGAGGTTGTGTTGGTGGGTCATTGTGTAACCGAGTAATATTGAATTTGACTGTTGGTTAAACTTTGCTCAATAGAAATGAAAACGAAAGTGATTTAGTTAATTAACGAGAGTGGTGAATAATGAAGGGGATTGTCAATTACCCTATATCTATTTTCATTTACCTTACCAACCCGAATATGCCCCTATAAAAAGCACAGATTTATCATCCAGTTTGCTTAATAAAATGGTAGGATTGGGTCCACAAGGTCTATACATCCACAGAATTCCATAATATGGGAGTTTATAAGGTTTCCGGTTTTTGTGGTTGAAATCCTGATAATAATAATAACTAGATGCTTCAATGCCCGGGGGCGTCCTCCCATCTAACAAATTAATACGTAAATAATCAAAATTGATTAGGAATGAATTTAGTTTTTGATAAAGATAATTGATTGATCGAAAATTAATTTTTTCAAAAGTCCTAAATAAGTGGAGAAGGAAAGTTCCACTCACTGTCAAATTCAAAATTTGAATGAACATGGCCATCTGATCTCTTCGTTAATATTGTAGATATATTTTTTGTTTTTAAAAGAGGGTGACACGTGGCATAATGCTTTATGCAATATGGTGCATTTGGAGCAAAAAACCTTTTAATAAAAAATTGTCACATCAGCATCCTGTTTTCCGCTATAATAATAATAATAATAATAATAATAATAATAATAATAATAATAATAATAATAATCATAATAATAATAATAATAATAATGACAATGATAATGATAATAATAATAATAACCATAAGACTCGAAGAGTTATTTATTGGGTAGAAAAAAAAAGAAGAGTTATTGTTGGCATCAACAACATCATTTTGTTGGGTTAATTGAATTTTTTTTTTGGGTTAATTTCTTAGCTTTTATATAATCAACATCTCATAAATAAAACTTATCCCATTTTTTAAATTTTGATTCTTATTAATTTATGAGATAAAACTTATCCCATTTTTTAAATTTTGATTCTCATTAATTTAATCGGAAGATTCTCTTGTTTGATCCCATCTCTTCTCAACAAAAATATAAGTATTATAAGGATTCAAAAATTAGTGGACAAATTATTTTTAATATAAGTATTATAAAATTTCAAAAATTAGTGGACAAATTATTTTTAAATAGGATAATTAAATTAAAATTAACCATCAAATCTATGTTAATAAAACCAAAGGCTTATACTTACATGTATATACACACGGAAAAAAATCTCCTAACCAAACTGGGATACAAAATGAAATAATCCAACAACTGCATTTTATGAGGCTGTATCCAGTATACCCGGGGGCACCGTGCCCCCTCCTATTTTTTACACTTTTAGTCCTTATTGTACTTTTTTCTCAATCTTTCTATATTTTACACGTTTAGTCCCTGTGAGTTTTTTTCTCTCTCTTCCAAAAAAAAATATCCCTAATCTTTAAACGACCATATCTCCCAATCCGTGAAGAATTTGTGAACGAATTATATATGAAATTTATAGTACTTGTCGAGATCTATCCAACAAAATCCATAGTGAATATTTTTTCGGGCTTAAAAATCACTTAATTCTAATGGACAGAATAGGGGTGGATATCCAGTTTTACAAGATGGATAACCAACTTGTTCTAAATTGGTTATCCATCAAGTTCATGCTGATTATCCAATCGGTTTAAACTGTTATCCATTTTGTTTCTCTGCTTATCTATTTGGTTATCCAACTTCTTAATTCAAAATAAGTTGGTTATCCATCTTCTTAAACTGGATATCCAATGTGTTCATATTGATTATCCAATGCACTAATCTTGGTTATCCAATGGACTTACATGCTTATCCAAATTATTTGTACTTGGTTATCAATGTGTTCATTCGATTATCCAACTTGTTTGTCTTGGATATCCATCTATTTGGTTTGTATGCATATCCAACTCTAATATTTCAACGACCATATCTCCCAATCCGTGAAGAATTTGTGAACGAATTATACATGAAATTTATAGTACTCGTCGAGATCTATCCAACGAAATCCATATTGAACATTTTTTCGGGCTTAAAAAATGACTTAATTCTGACGGGCATAATAGAGGTGGTTATCCATTTTCTTTCTTTTTTTTTTTGAAGAGTGAATGTCAAACATATGATTGGATAACAAGTACGAACCGAATGGATAATCACTCCAAACCGGTTGGATAATCAGCATGAACACAACGGATAACCATTTTTCAAAGAAAAACGAAAAACACATTTCTTCATTTTCTGCCCGTAAAGTTTAAATGCATTTAAAGTTCAAAAAAATATTCAACATGGATCTTATCGGATAGATCTCGTCGAGCACTATAAATTTCATTTATAATTCGTGTTATAATTTTTACGGATCAAAAGATACAAGGAACACAACAATATGAATGTAAAATAAGTTGGTTATCCATCTTCTCAAACTGGTTATCCACTGTGTTCATGTTGGTTATCCAACTTATTTGTACTGGATATCCATCAATTTGGTTTGTATGCATATCTAACTCTAATCTTTCAATGAGCATATCTCCCAATCCGTGAAGAATTTGTGAACAAATTATATATGAAATTTATAGTACTCGTCGAGATCTACCCAATGAAATTCACAGTGAACATTTTTTCGGACTTAAAAATGACTTAATTCTGACGGGCAGAATAGAATAGAGGTGGATATCCATCTTTTTTTTTTGAAGAGTGAATGTCAAACATATGATTGGATAACAAGTACGAACATAATGGATAATCAGTCCAAACCGATTGGATAACTATTTTTCAAAGAAAAACGAAAAACACATTTCTTCATTTTCTGCCCATAAAATTTAAATACATTTAAAGTTCAAAAAAAATATTCAACATGGATCTTATCGGATAGATCTCGTCGAGTACTATATATTTCATGTATAATTCGTGTTATAATTCTTTACGAATCATTAGATACAAGGAAAAGAATAATATGAATGTAAAATAAGTTGGTTATCCATCTTTTTAAACTGGATATCCAATCTGTTCATACTGGTTATCCAACTTGTTTGTACTGGATATCCATCCATTTGGTTTGCATGCATATCCAACTCTAATTTTTCAACGAGCATATCTCCCAATCCGTGAAGAATTTGTGAACCAATTATATATGAAATTGATAGTACTCGTCGAGATCTATCCAACGAAATACACAGTGAACATTTTTTCGGGCTTAAAAATGACTTAATTTCTGACGGGCAGAATAGAATAGAGGTGGTTATCCATCATCTTTTTTTTTTTTTGAAGAGTGAATGTCAAACATATGATTGGATAACAAGTACGAACATAATGGATAATCACTCCAAACCGATTCGATAACCATTTTTCAAAGAAAAACGAAAAACGCATTTCTTCATTTTTACCCGTAAAATTTAAATGCATTTAAAGTTCAAAAAAAAATATTCAACATGGATCTTATCGGATAGATCTCGTCGAGCACTATAAATTTTATATATAATTCGTGTTATAATTCTTTACGAATCAAAAGATACAAGGAACACAACAATATGAATGTAAAATAAGTTGGTTATCCATCTTGATTATTTATGTTAATACTGTTTATCCAACTAATTAGTATTATTTATCCAACCTATTTTTTTATAATTTTTTTAAAAAATAATAAACTAAGTTGGTTATTCAACTCGTTTGTATTGGTTATCCAATCATTGGTTTTTATTGGATTATCCAATGCGCTAATGCTGATTATCCAATGGATTTACATAGTTATCCAAATTGTTTGAACTGGTTATCCACTGTGTTCATCGGTTATCCACTCGTGCACACTTTGGTTATCCAACTTACTGGATATCCAACTTATTCTGCCCAAAGAAATTTGATCATTTTTAAACTCAAAAAAAATATTTGAAATGGATCTTGTTGAATAGATCTCGACGAGTACTATAATTTTCATGCATAACACGTTCTCTAATTCTTTACGGATTATGAGATATGGTCATTGAAAGATTGGAGATGTTTTTTTTGAAAGAGAGAGAAAAAATGACAGGGACTATCCTTGCAAATCATAGAAAGATTGATGAAAAATACAATAAGGACTACTCGTGCAAAAAATAGGAGGGGGGCACGGTGCCCCCGGGTATACTGGATAATTTGCCGCATTTTATTATTAGTAATAGTATTTCATTCTAACTATACAACTCTCTTTCAGAGTAATATATTTTTTAAATTATTAAATTAATATATAATTAGTAATAGTATTTTATTCTAACTATACAACTCTCTTTTAGAGTAATATATTTTTTGAATTATTAAATTAATATATAATATATGATATTACCGCACAAGGGTTAATACTAGTATATCTACTACTAATATTAATTCTAAACTGCCTCTATCAATCAGTCTCTCAGCGATGGCTTCCCTGCATAACCTTGATGGTGAAACTGAAAACCAGGATTTATTCGAGGAGCTACTGATTGAAATATTTCAAAGACTGCCCGTCAAAACCCTGTTGCGCTTACAGTGCGTTTGCAAATCCTGGTTGAATACAATTCAAAGCCCTGAGTTTGCAAGATCCCAACTTGAGTATTCATCAAAATTCAAACCCTCTAAGGAGAAAATCATGCTGCAATCGAATCCTGGTGGTTCCTCCTCCGGTACCTCTCAGTTTTACGCCCTTGAGAGTCGTTTTCCCGATGTCCATGTCGATGGTAAAGACATAATCCGAACTCTGAAATTCCCATCCATAATCTCCTCCGAAAACAGAGGAAGTAGTGGTGGTAATTTTCAGATGGTTGGCTCTTGTCACGGTTTGCTTCTGCTCGTTGACAATTTGGAGCCACAGACAATGTTGTTGTGGAATCCGACTACCCAGAAATCCAGGATCATTGACCCACCGTTGCCCATCTCGGATTCTTCTTCTTCTTCTTCTTCTTCTTCGTGTATAAACGCAACCAATAATGCTGTCATCAATGGATTTGGATACGATCCTTGTAGCCGAGATTACAGAGTTGTTCGAATCATCCCAAATGCTGATTTCAGCCATCATGAAATTCTGGTCTTTGCCTTAAAAACCATGTCTTGGAGAAGAATCGTCGGAACCCATGGTTTCCCCAAATCATACAGATTGGTGACTGAACAAACCCCTGGTTCCATTGATGGTGCCATCTTTTTCTTAGCTGCTCCTACTCATCATAATCAAAATGGCCATGGTTCGGCTGAATACGTGGTGCTGCGATTTTGTTTGGATTCGGAGAGATTCATGGGCGAAATCCTGGGGGCACCTGTGTTTGATCCATCCTTGTATCCACGTGAGATCCAGAGTGCTGTCTTCAGTGATTGGGGTGGTGGTGTCCCTTGTTTGCACTGGAACTGGGTCTGTTATAAACGGAAAGGCTATAACTATAATCATCCTTCTACATTTGAGGTTTGGTTGCTCGAGGAATTTGGCCGCCGCCATAGCAACACCATTAGCAGCAGTAGTTGGACTAGGATATTCGAACAGATGAGTTCATTAAGGATTCCTCGTTACATGGCAAATCGCCAGTTCCTTTTTTTGATTAAAGGAGAGACTCTGTATTTCCGTGATTTGTCCGAGAGACCGCGCTATATGGAGACGGAGGTTAATCAAGCTGATCCTGACAAACACTGCTGCGTTTTGAGTTCTTACGTGGAGAGTCTAGTTGATGTGTAGTACAGTAAGCAGCTCCCATGGATTGTGGACATATAATAGTCTTTCTTATTAAGGATGATAAAGTACCACTTTTATTTCTTTCTCTGCTTGATTAATAATTTTCATCAAAAGAAATACTCCCTCCGTCCCATAATTATTGTCCACTTTACCCAAAAAATTTTGTCCCAAAATTATTGTCCAATTTGACTTTTTATGGATCAAGTTACACATTTGTCCTTAGTAAAAAATATTATCCATAAAATCTTAGTGGTTAAACAATTACTTATGTAAGGATATATCCGGTTGTTTAAGGTAAAATATAGTTAAATTTGACCAAAAATAAAATCTTTTATTTTAGTAAAACTGGACAATAATTATGGGACAGAGGGAGTACATGTTTGAGGCTTTTTTTTTTTTTTTCTCTTTTTTATGTCTCTTTTGGGCAATTGATTGAACTGGTCCAATCTATCATGACATATCTTCTATTCCTGTATTTGTTGAAAAGAGAAGGAAGCTATAATATGCTTGCTCATTGCTCCAATTTGTTTGTAAAAAAAGGTTGTTCTCCTTCTGTTCCACTCCCACAAAAAAAATAGTCCACATTGAGTTACTCTTGCATATCGGTGATTTACCGGAGAGACGCACTGAGATTTAGAGATGATGAGATGATGACTCGGTGATTTGCCGGAGAGACCGCACTGAGATTTAGAGATGATGATTAATCAAGGTGATCCAGACAAATACTACTACTACTTAGTTTTTATGTGGAGAGTACAGTTGATGTTTAGTACTCCATCCGGTCTTTATTATAAGGCATTTTGATTTCGTCATAAGTTTAAGCTAGGATATTTTTTTAATTAGAAAAAAAATCTTAAAAATATATTTTTACATTCCTTATGTTGCCCTAATTATTATAAAATATTTTAAGATTTTTATTCCAATTAAAAAGACATCTTAGGTGAAAACTAAAACGAAATTAAAATGCTTTATAATAAGGATCAGAGAGAATAGTATGGTAAAGCAGCTCCCATGGGGGGATTGGACATATATATTGGATGATAAAGTACCAGTTTGATGTTTTGGTAGGGTTATTTCGCTGATGATCAGTTGGGCTTTCAAATTAGTTTGTATTTCTTTATCTCCGTGTTGGTGCTTGATTAGGTTCAAATGAATGTATGAATTTTATGGTACGTTTTTATCTGATGATCAAAACACATGGTTTTTTGAGGCTTTTTTTTTTCCCCCTGTTTCTCTTTTGGGCAATTGAACTGGTCCAATCATCATGACATATCTTTGATAGTTCTAACGCTGTGTATTGGTTGCAAAGAGAAGCGAGACACTTGCAAAAAGTGAAGGGACATCAGTATTTACTATTTTGATTGGAAATTTAAAGGGCACACAAATAGGGGAATACATGGCCTTCGAATTCACCTTTTTTGAGGGGGATAGAATTAGAATTGACACAAAAGAGTTTTGAAGATGAGTCCCATTTGCTTGCTTTTTTGCCCATCAAGTTTCCCATCAAAAAAAAAAAAAAGAGGCACTCAAGTTCCCTGTTCTTTTTCATTCATATTCCCCATTAGTTCACCAGTTTAATTTCCTTCCAAGGAAGATTAGTTCGTTCAAGGAATATATTGTTTGACCCATTTTTAGGAGAGATATATTATAAACATCTCTTCTTTTATAAATTTCGAAAAAAAAAGAAGACAAACTATAGGGCCAGTTAAAATTTTTGTTTTTCAAATTTATTGTACTATCATTTAAAACAAACTTATAAACTCGTATTACATTGATTCCCTCCAATCGATGTGGTTACGTCCTTGTTGATAAAGATATAATTTCACCGTCCTTGTTGATAAAGATATAATTTCACCGTTCTAAAATAATTTTTTTTTCGAGTTGAAATAAACGTAACATTAGAGTTACCAAGATGAATAGAAATTACAGCTTCCAAAAAAGTTTAGCCTTATTTAGTGGGAGAGAAAAACTAACTTCCCAGTAATCACATGTAATTATGGTTTGGGTTGATTTTGGGTGAAAATGTGTTTGCTATGTTTCTCAATAGGCTTGTCTACCCAAATTTCCACAAAATGATCGCACGTACAAGAATTTTTTTTTTTTTTTAATAATGATAATGTGATTTAACAAAAAAAAGAAAAAATAAAACAAAAGCAACTACATTCAGATACAATCTTTAATAATGGCTTAATGCCTTAAAAAGGAAAAAAAAAATAAAATTTGGGGGGAAGGTGAAAAGGGAGGGACCCACAATTGAATCTCTCTTCCAGTTTTGCCGCCCAAGCACCAAAAAAACTGGTAAAGAGTTTAGGACACGTGGCATGATGATCTCGCGCCGTGCTCTAATCCGACGGCTGAGTTTTAAAAAAATTGGTCTAAGATAAGAGAGAGAAGACAAGTAACCGTACCGTATTGAACTCCTCCCGTCCACCGTCCGTCAGCGACACGAAACTGCCATATTTTGTCACCCCAATATTTTATTTACAAACAACACTAGATTTTGAGAATATTCTCATGTTTGTGTTTGACCATTTCACCCTCCAAACTTCACCTCAAATGCATCATTGTCAAAAACCAACATTTTTGGTCATCTTTATTTTTTCCCCCTTTTTTGTGGTGTTGCTTAAAGCTTTTGTGATGGTAGCTGTGCTTTATTCTACTGCCTTATTTTATCGATAATAATAATAATAGTAACATAAAAAAATTTAAGCCTCTCACTAAGTTGTACAGAGAATTGTATATTTATCATTTTTATTTTGCGATATTTCTATTGGAATATTTGTTTTCATCAAAATCAATTTTTGATATAGCTTTTTTATACACTTGAAATCATTATATGGTGGTTAAATATAAATTTTCTTTCTGTATCGATACGAGTTCGATCCGTGAGTGAAATGAAATTGAAAATTCGGTAACTAGTCTATAAGCAATTTAATTCCAATAAAACAAAAAAAAGTGTTTAATATTTAGCAAGATGATAAAATATTTTATGTTCACTCAAATTTTTAACAAACAAAGAAAAAACAATATTATATGAAATTTGAAATGTGACATTCTTGATTTGAATGAATTTCATCACTTATGAAAGCAAGATAAGATGCAACATTATAGAAAATTAAGAATGTTGTGAATTCGTAACTGATAATCCAACGTTAGTATTTATGGTGTGATTCAATTTCATTTCACACATACCATATATTTGTCAAAAAAATTCAAGACCCTAAAAAATGGTAAATGGCATTACAGTCATTTCGCTATCTAAACACAAACATGTGACTCTGTACATTTCACACTCGCGTTTGGTTCCAGAAAAATTTCAAAAAAACAAAAAAAAACAAATGGACTGTGGAATAACACACACAGAATGACACACAGAACCCAACCAGAAAAAAGAAATGCTTTTTCTGAATATTCAAAGCAGAAATTAACCAAACCTCAAAAATTAAAAATAATACTGTGTAGTATTATTATAATCTAACAGAAAATTGAAAATTGAATCGAGGGAAACAATAAAGAATAATAAGGAGAGAGAGAGAGAGAGTGGAAGAAAGGTATTTCTAGCTTAGAGCAAAGCAGAAAAGCAGCCTAATATTCTTCTACAGTCCACACGCCTTGGATTTTCCTTTGACCCTTTTCCCTCCTGGACCTTTGTTTCCTCTCTGCTGAAACTTATCACCATTTTCAGTTACCCTTTTGATTCACTTGACCATTATTTTTGAATTTTTTTTTTCTTTTCTAAAGTTGTGTGTTTGAACTTATTTTTGGTGGGTTCAATCGGAATGTTGCTGGCGGATCAAATCCATTGAGAGGGATCTTTCCTATCGAAGTAAATCTCAGCATCCGACGTTATCTGGTACATCCCTGTTTCAAAACTTTTTTTTTCCCCCTTAAAATGTTTTGTTGATGTTTAGTTGGTAGCGGAGCTACTTATATTGTTTTGACAATTTTGAAATGGCAAGCACTAGATCGAGCTGAAGTTTAAGTGTTTGCTGTCTTTCTGGGAGTATTCTGTGATCTGTAATTGAAAAAAATGTGAACTTTGTGCTGTTTATGGAATGGTGTTGATGTATTTTATTTAATTATTATTATTTATTTTTTGACATTGTGGGTTTTAGGTTTGATGTTGAGATTGTGAAGAGTGTGATTGATCAGCAAGAAACCACTAGTGAATGTTTGAGTTGTTTCAGCAAGAAAATGGCCCCTCCATTATGCTAGGCAGATAAGCAAAGTGGGACAGTCCTTTGGTAAAGTTTGATTTACTTTTTCTAAGGGGGAAAGGATTTGGAGAAAAGTTCGCTTTTTGATCCAATTATTGAGATTTCGATCACATTAGTTGTTTATAGCAATCCTTTGAAGCAACCCTTTTGAGAAAAAAATGTCCCAGAAAGGCCGTGCTTCTCCTTCTCTTCAGACGATCAAATCGTTACCTGTTGATTTGAGGTCAGTGGGATCATCAAATTCTCAATATTTAGCAAAATCTAACGGTGCAAACGCTAGCATTGGCGGAGATACAGCGGAAAGTCTCGTAGAAAACGGTGGGAGATTGAGTGGTGTAATGGAGAGTGTCAATGGCATTGCGAGCGCTGATAATGATGATTCCCCTTATAATAGTTTGAATTTATTGCCTGAAGAAAGGCCTACTTCCGCTGATGATGATTTGGATTCAGTGGCTTCTTCATTACGATCACCTGGTCCGACTCGGGTTGACTCCAAGTGGAGTGATACCAAAACTTATTCATCCAAGAAGGTATTTATTTTTTCAGTATCCATTACTCAGTTTTTACGCTTTTTACACATTGTCATGTTAGGTTTCTTCCTGAAAGTTGTTGCTATATATGATTTCAAAATATCCCTTCTGTTCGAATGACTTCTTCAGTATCATATCTCTGAAGATAAATGATGTGATATGAATTTTTCGTAGTTTGCAACCCAAGGAGTTCGTCCTTAGCTGCGTGTCAGCTTGGATGTTTGTAGGTAGCATTTTGAAGTTATGAGTGTCTTATAAAGCCTGGAATTCTTGTGATTAAAAAGTTTTATGATAAGCATTGTCTGGCGGTAATATGTTCTTTTGGGATGTTACGAAATCTATGTACCATCACTCTTTCATGAATATAGGAACCACCCGTACCAAATTGCAGATAGTAACTCATAGTTTCTACTTGAATGTATCCTTCCCTCTTTTGCTGGTGAAATGAAATCTTTAAATTTCGATCGAAAGAGCTTTAGAATGAAATTAAAAGTGGACATTTTCTGAAATTAAACCGGTGTTTTCCAAAGTTTGTCGAGAAACCTCAAAAGCTTTTATTGGGTTAGTAGATGACACCCATTGTGAACATTCAATGTAAACTGAGCATATTAGTTTGGGATTGGGGGCCTGATATGTGTTGCACGTGAAAGGGCTTTACACAGAGGCATTTGAAGGTGAATTTTTTATGCTTTACACGGAAGGGTGTTATCCATTTATTATTTTTTCTTGGACAATTCAGATAAAAGATCTTATGTAAAATTTAGGAGTTATGAACTTTTTGTGGCAAAAGCTACTGGCCTCGTGGCTTTTTCGGTTTTGAATATAGCTGAAAGAATCTTGAAGCACAATGCTGTATATCTAATTTGTTGGAGGCCACTATCTTGAAAGTCAACTTGGAAGTTTTAAGACCTTTTTCACTAGATCAAAGATCTTTGGTTTGTTTAAAGAAAATTTTATGGCAAAATTGCAAGTAAGGCCCTTAGATAGGTACTCTTCAGGGCAGGATGTCATATTTTATAATGGACACACATACATTTCAGAAAAAAATGTTCTTAATTTGATAGAACAATTATAATAATAATGTTAATTTATGGAAGTTGTGGTATGTAGACTGTAGAGCCCATAAACTAGGGGGTCAATAAAGTAATTTTTAAAAAGAAATCAATTTATGCTTTGAGGGCTTAACAATTTCCATAATTTCCTGAAAGCTGCAGGAAATAAAATTAATTTAGATCTCTTTGTCCAGGTAGATGAAAACACGCATAAACACCAAAAAGAAAAACAAAAACAAAAGGAAGGAAGAAAAAAAAGAACAGAGAGGGGATTCTCGAGAATTCAACAGGTCTTTCCCCCTCCATGCAACTAAGAAAAAAGAGGGGGAATCCTGTTAAGTTGTTATGCTTTTATGTCTGCAACTACAGGGATGAATGCTACTGGAAGAGAAAAAGAATTTATTAACCCGGTCACGGGAATACCAGTACTGGTATCAATTATTCCCAGTAAATTCTTCTATTTGTTACACATATAGTTGTATTCAGATGGATGTTGATTTTGAATATTTCATTCTAAATTTGGGGCACTTGTGGAGGTAATTAAAGCCCAAGCTCATATACTTCCAACTGTTCGAGCTTTCATGCAATTTGATTCTGGTATTGGTGATCTGTATGCATGAAAAATTTCTGGAAATAACTGTAAATAACTGAGCAGCAGCAAATGTTCACAAGATATAAAAATGATCTTTTTGGTTTCAGGGCATGACTTTTGTTGCCCTACCTATGAATTATCTAGTAATAGGTCTTTTGTGGCAATGCAAAGGTATCAGAATATATGAGAAATATGAAAAATAATAACATACTTTACATAGATTCTGATCTAGCTTCGGTATACTCTAATTTTCATTCCATATTAAGAAATTTGGTTTCTTATGTTTTCATTCTGATGCGCGAATGATGAGGTAGAAGGAGATTTTGAGAGACAAGACTAAGCAAAGTTCATATAGAAAATTATAGACTTTAACTTTCAAAGTTTAACTATTTATTATAGAGATAAACTTTTGAGGTTCATTTCTTATGATTTTGAACTGAAATTCTACGCATGAAGTTTTGCCAGGTAGCTAAAGAAGTTTTTCTGCTCATTTCTTTAAGATTGTGCATCCTTCTAGGTATATAATCTGTTTCTACTAGTTACGGGGGTGGTATTTGCATATGAAAAGACTCAAAAATCGGTGTTAAAACATTCACTATATCATGCTGGCAACACTTTTTTGTGCAAACTATATTGGTACCTCTTGACAAACCTCTTTAAACTTTGTGTTTCAGAAACAACAATCTTGGTTTCAACTTCCTGATGGAAACTGGGACCTTGGAACGATTCTTACAACATCTGGTGATGAAGTGGTGATAACATTATTGGAGGGAAAAGTGAGCATTGTATAATTGTTTGTCTTATCTATTTTTCGCATGGACGAATTTTGCTTACTAATCTTTTCTTGAACTTCAATCAAAGGTTTCGAAAGTTAAATCTGAAGATTTGATACCTGCAAATCCCGATATCCTTGATGGAGTGGATGATCTGATGCAACTAAGTTACTTAAATGAACCGTCAGTTCTATACAATCTTCAGTACAGATATGACCGCGACTTGATTTATGTAAGCTGCTAATCTCTTGTTACGATCTGATACGGAAGTATTCTCCTTTGGTAATTCCTCATTGTTTTTCAATTCTGTCTTCCAGACAAAAGCAGGGCCAGTTCTGGTTGCTGTTAATCCCTTTAAGAAAGTTCCGCTGTATGGCAATGATTTTATTGAAGGTTATAGGGCTAAAACTATGAGTGGCCCACATGTCTATGCCATTGCTGACACTGCCATGAGGGAAATGATTCGAGGTGTTTTTAAATTCTCTTTACGATTTAGCAATTTTCAAATTCTGGTAGAGATCTTGAACTTATCTTCCTCGTGTTGACCTTCCTTTCAGATGAAGTCAATCAATCCATTATTATAAGGTGAGTAAAATTTATAGGTTTCGCGATTCAACTTTAGTTTAATGCTTTATTGATCCAGTCAAATTTAATCAATATGTTTTCTGGGAATTGGAATTTGATACTCCCTTTGTCCCATAATGATTGTTCGGTTTGGATTTTCACTTAGTACAATTTGAACTAAAATTAAAAATCTAAAGTGGATAATCTTTTCGGGACTGAGGGAGTAGTTTCCATTTCTTGGCAAAGCGTGAGAAAATAAACAAGATGTTTTGTTTTATAGAAAGAAAATTTTTGTGTTCATTTTAGGTAAATGTGGGACATGTCATTTCCTTTTTGATAGAGCTTTTCTGGAAACCGTTATGAGGTTTCCTAGAAACCGTTATGGACATGGTCCATTTTCCGGACATTAATTTTTAAGTTTCCGTGTTCCCTTTCTTTTTCTTCACTTCTCTTTCCTTTCCCATCCTCTGTTATAAATAATTTAGTTGAATAGATAACATTCGGGATTCTGTTTGCATTTCAGTGGAGAAAGTGGAGCAGGAAAGACTGAGACTGCAAAGATAGCAATGCAATATCTGGCTGCATTAGGGGGTGGAAGTGGAATAGAGTATGAGATATTGAAAACTAATCCTATTTTAGAAGCCTTTGGAAATGCAAAAACCCTTAGAAATGACAATTCAAGTCGATTTGTAAGTTTTCTACGTTTAAAACTGCATTTATCAATTTCTTTTGGATCAAATTCTAAGTTTAGACATGTTGTCTTGAAACCAATAGGGGAAACTGATTGAAATTCACTTCAGCGAAACTGGGAAAATATCGGGTGCCAATATCCAAACTTGTAAGCTGGCATCCTTCATTTCGGTCTTCCAATCATTTGCTTATATTTGTATATTTGTTGATTAAATACTGACTACTTTCCTTCGTTTCTTTGCTGCACACTTGATTCCATCTCTTCCAGTTTTACTTGAAAAGGTATTCCATCAATATAAAATGATTTTGGTCTACATCTTCTGGAAAGCGCGTTGATAAATTACCAATTTTTTTTTTTGGGTACAGTCCAGGGTAGTTCAATGTGCTGAAGGAGAAAGATCATACCATATATTTTATCAACTCTGTAGAGGAGCTCCAAAAACCCTCAAAGGTACTAATACTCTTCAAAGCCGTGTTTTTCCTTTCTTGTTATTGATTATATATTGAACCATCTTTTTCTTCTCTTTCCTTCAATGCCAACCATGGAATTTTCTTCACTGTCATAATACATATTCTGCCCTTGCCCTATTGTTAAAATAGATGTACGGTTTTCTTGAGTCTTAAATGATAAGGTCAGACTACGCAGAGTATATTCTGACGGCTGCGGTGATTTTATAATTGGTGGGCTCGGATAGGGTGCTTCCTATCTACATGAAGTTTTTGTACTTGCTTTATCTTCTAACTTCTGTTTTCCAACAGAGAAACTGCATATAAGGAGTTGGAATGAGTACAAGTATTTGAGTCAAAGCACTTGCCATGCCATTTCCGGGGTTGATGATGCGGAACAATTTCGTGTTGTGCTGGTATGTTTATAATTAATTCCAAAATTAAGGAGTTCCAAATATTTCCCTCCTGTTAATTAATTTCTTTTCAAAAAATAATATTTTCTAAAGAAATTGACTGTCTCATTGGTTTCTCCTTCAGGAAGCTCTTGATGTTGTTCATGTAAGCAAAAGTGACCAGGAGAGCGTCTTTGCAATGCTGTCTGCTGTTTTGTGGCTTGGAAATATCTCCTTCACAGTCATTGATAATGACAATCATGTTGAACCCGTGGAGGATGAAGGTAAAATCTCCTTAGCATGTTGTATTTTCTTGATTAATCTTTTTCTCTTGCCCACCTTATGTACTGATTTCTGTCTTTTTCACTCTTTGGCTGCCTAAAATCAAGTTTCATTAGAGTATTAGGTAAAATAAATGAATCGTTTACAGAGTTTTCTGTTTTATGTTTGGTTTTCCCCCTTTATTCCCCTGGGTGTATATCTGAACCTAAATTTAACTTCTGGTTTTCTTTTGATTGAGTGACTCTTGTCGGACATTTCCATTTTTTTTTTTTTTAATTTCTGAATAGGGAAGTTAATTGGCTCCATTTGCTTATTGTCTCTTGTAAGATATCCTCTACGCAGCTGGGCTGAAAAATCATGATGGAGTTGAAGAGTGATTGGGCCTGGTTTAAATAAATTTAAAGACTATAACTGTATTAGAGAAATGGAACACCTCTGCTTTTCAGGGTTCTATCTGATTCTACTGGCTTTTTACAAAATAACATATCGGCTTGCATGATCCTGTAGCTTATGGGTTTACTTGAACTTGGTTAACATCGACTTTGCAGGTCTAATTAATGTTGCTATGCTAATTGGTTGTGGCATTACTGAACTAAAGATGGCTCTATCGACCCGGAAAATGAAAGTGCGCAATGACATTATAGTCCAAAAACTCACTTTGTCGCAGGTAAGAGTCATGACTTTGACTTATTGTTGCTACTCTGGTTCACTCTGCTACTATAATCAACTTCTCTTGTCACTTTGCAGGCCACTGACGCCCGAGATGCATTAGCAAAATCTATTTACTCGTGCTTGTTTGACTGGCTAGTGGAACAAATCAACAAGTCTCTTGCTGTTGGCAAACGCCGCACTGGGAGATCAATCAGCATCCTTGATATATATGGTTTTGAATCATTTGAAGTATGTCCTTGAGTTCTCTTTGATGCATGATCTTATTTTTTACAATTTGTTTCTTCAAAATTAAAAGAGGCGTCAATGACATTGTTTCATTTTTCTTTCAGAGAAATAGTTTTGAGCAATTCTGCATTAATTACGCAAATGAAAGGCTGCAACAGCACTTTAACCGTCACTTATTTAAGTTGGAGCAAGAGGTAGTTTATATTTCATGTATACTTCTCTAATATTTATCTGTCATCAAATGTTAAATAATGCATTTATTGTTCTTTTTGTTATCTGTATTCTCAAAATTATGCTAGTTTTAATTTTATATAGTATGGATATTTGCAAAATTTTTTTAGCAAATATGTACCCTTATGAATGGTGTGTGCTTTGAGCGTGGTTTGTTTTTATCATTTGGGTGGTTATTCAATTTTGTTTAACCTTGAACTGGCTCCTGTCCGTTTTTGGACCATTAGCAGGGATTAACACATCTCTTATACCCGAAAAAGTACATTTTTCTTTCTTTTCCATATAAAAGGAATCCAATTTGGGTCTCAAAATGCGCACACAATGTTCAGATGTTACCATTAGGAATGTTGACACAATCAATTTTGTGTCATTTTTGCTCTAATTTCTTATTTTGTTGCCATGGGCGTTGTTGCTATATAGGCACTCTTGAGATATCCTTTAAAGTTCATTAAATGCCTAATACTTTCCAGGAATACATTCAAGATGGCATTGATTGGGCAAAAGTTGACTTTGAAGACAACCAGGACTGCCTTAATCTTTTTGAAAAGGTATGTGACAATACATAAGCAAAGATTAATACTATTTGGTTGAGTTAAAAATTCTTATTTGGCCCTTGTCTCACCTATTGGGATTTTGGTTTGCAGAAACCATTGGGTTTATTGTCCTTGCTTGACGAGGAGTCTACTTTCCCGAATGGTACTGACTTGACATTTGCAAATAAGTTGAAGCAGCATTTGAATTCTAATTCTTGTTTTCGTGGTGAACGAGAGAATGCTTTCTCTGTTTGCCACTATGCTGGGGAGGTATGTTCTACCCGAATATATTTTAGCATTTTTCCGTTACAAAACCTCCCATTCTTCAAAGCACCCTTGTCTGTCATTATTTTTCTATTTAAATGTTTTGTACTCCTGCCACTGGTCTTCTCAGGTGACATATGATACTACGGGGTTCCTTGAGAAAAATCGAGATTTGCTGCACTCGGATTCTATTCAACTTTTATCTTCTTGCAATTGCCACCTTCCTCAGACATTTGCATCATATTTGCTCACTCAATCAGAAAAGCCTGTAGTTGGTCCGCTGCACAAATCTGGTGGAGTGGACTCTCAAAAGTTAAGTGTTGCCACAAAATTTAAGGTATCATATCTTCTCCGTGCTTAGAATGTTTTTGAAACTGGATGGAATTAATCTCAGGATTTGCTATACATAATGTCAGAACCTCCCAGTAAATGAGGAGATATTAACAAAACTAACGATAATTGAAGAAGTTGATTCTATTTGTTTGGTGTCAGGGCCAAGAAGTTGATAAGAAGTTGAGCGGAGCTTTCATTTCTGTTTTCAGAAGCCAGAGATGTGTATAATACTTTTTTCATTTGTTTGGTGTCAGGGCCAATTATTCCAATTGATGCACCGCCTTGAGAATACAACGCCACACTTTATACGTTGCGTCAAGCCAAATGATCGTCAATCTCCTGGGTTATATGAACAAAAACTTATTTTACAGCAACTTCGATGTTGTGGAGTTCTCGAGGTAGTTCGGATATCTAGATCTGGATTCCCCACTCGAATGTCTCATCAAAAGTTTGCGCGAAGGTATTTTCCAAACTAAACAATTTTTTTCATATCTTTCCTTCTTTATCTTGGTTTGTTTCGGTCTAATACTATTCCTGCATCAGATATGGATTTCTTCTTCTGGACCATGTTGCATCACAGGATCCACTTAGTGTGTCAGTTGCAATTCTTCATCAATTCAAGATTTTACCTGAAATGTATCAGGTTGGGTACACGAAGTTGTTCTTCCGAACTGGACAGGTTAGATGATTTCCTGGACCTACCTTTCAAAAAGATACAGTTTATCATTTGACATTTGCAAAAATCTAGAATAGAGACTTTCGAAGAAATCAAGAATCAATCAAGGCACAATATTGACCTTTATTCTGTCATTTTCAACTTCATAATAACTCCTGTTTATTTGCTCTGCACGTATACATGATCTCAAAAAGTCATTCAATACAATTTGGTGTTCTTGTGTCATAATGCATCTGCTTTGTTTGAAATTTGTAGATTTTGCTTGTTGTTATGGCCTATATGCTTGACTGCTTGTTATTCTTGCATTTCGTATGGGACGTGTGCAGCCTTAAAACCATGGTGTATCTATTATGTTACCTTGAGTATCAAAAGGATTCATTAAATGCTCTACTTGGCTTGTGTTGCCAGTGTTATTTCTTGATGATAAATTGGCACTTTTTTGAATACTAATTTTTCATGTCTGTTTGATCTCACTGTATGGTTCTCAGATTGGAGTACTGGAGGACACAAGAAATCATACGTTACATGGCATATTACGTGTTCAAAGTTGCTTTAGAGGTCACAAAGCTCGTTGTCACGTTAGAGAGCTGAAAAGAGGAATTGCAACTTTACAATCATGTATAATTCTTTGAACTTCTAATTGGTCCTGGAAGTGTTCTTGGCATGATGCTGACCATGATCTCTGGCATGATTTACTTTTCTTTTTCAGTTGTTCGTGGTGAGAAGCTTAGGAAAGAATTTGCAGTTTTGTTGGAGAGGCATCGCGCTGCTGTGTGTATACAGAAGCAAATAAAAGCCAGAATTCAAAGGAAAAGATATGAAAATGTTACTGATGCATCAGTGCTGATCCAGTCAGGTAATGCCAGGATTCTCAAGTGCTAGAAGGTTAACATGGGAAGTACTCTGAAAACATATCTGAGTAAAAATAATTGTTTGCCAATCTCTTTCAAGTTTGGACTATTTCGCTTCATCTTTACCTAAAGATAGTATAAATCCACGGATAATGTTTGGATAAAAACTGTAATTTGTGTTTTTTATTTAATATGTACCTTTTAATGGTTTTCCTTTTCACTTTCTAGTCATTCGCGGCTGGTTGGTTAGAAGATGTTCAGGGGACATAGCGCTGTTACAATTTGGAGCAAGGAAGGTATGAATAAAGTCCACCTGTTATGTGTTTATAAGTTCTGTTCCTATTTTCGATTCATCAAAGTATTGGGTTTTTAGCTGATCTGTGAACCTTTCTTAAATCTAACTGGTCCAAAGAAAGTCTTCCGGTTCATATTGCACGGTCTAATTTAATGTTCTTTGATTTCGCTTCCTTTAAACAAACATGAGCATGACCTATACTGCTTGGGTATCCAACTTAGTTAATTCAGATTGACATTCTTAATACCTTGTAGTTGACAATGTTTGCTATCTGATATTCGTCTAAAACAGGGTAATGAGTCAGAAGAGGTATTGGTTAAGTCGTCATACCTTGCTGAACTACAGCGTCGGGTTCTTAAAGCCGAAGCCGCTCTGAGGGAGAAAGAAGAGGAGAATGATATTCTTCACCAGCGGCTCCAACAGTACGAAAATCGATGGTCAGAATACGAGTTGAAAATGAAGTCCATGGAAGAAGTATGGCAAAAACAAATGAGATCGCTACAGTCGAGCCTTTCCATAGCCAAGAAAAGCCTTGCTCTGGATGAGTCTCGAAGGAATTCTGATGCATCAGTTAACACAAATGACGACCGGGAAATGAGTTGGGATGCTGGGAGCAACTATAGGGTCTCTGAGAGCAATGGCATGAGACCAATGAATGCAGGTCTAAGTGTCATAAGCCGATTGGCCGAAGAGTTTGAGCAGAGAAGTCAAGTGTTCGGTGACGACGCCAAGTTCTTGGTGGAAGTAAAATCAGGTCAGGTCGAGGCTAACCTGGAACCGGATCGTGAGCTTAGAAGATTAAAGCAAATGTTCGAGGCTTGGAAGAAAGATTACGGGTCTCGATTGAGGGAAACGAAGGTAATCCTTCATAAGCTTGGCAGTGAGGACGGTTCGGGGGAGAAGGCGAGGAAGAAGTGGTGGGGAAGGAGGAACAGTTCCAGGTTGAACTAAAACAAATTTTGTTGAAATGTTGGATTTGGTTCCTCACTGGAAAAGGTGTTGTAAAATCAAGCATTAATATGTAGCGAGGTTTAGGGAGTGAAATTATGTGGTTTAGTAAATGTTGTTCTAAAGGACCCAGCTGGCTTAGATTTGAGGTCCTTCTGGCTGATTTGTAAGCAACACCTTCATTCCTTATCACATCCCATTTGATATGTATAGTTGATTACTTGATTCCCATACTATTTCGAGTAGTATCATCTTTTTGGTATCGTAAATAGGTTACCTTTCCATTGAATAAATCGCGCTTACACTTACATACAATGTGTAAGATAAAGCAAAAAGTGCACCCTTAACAGAGTTATGATGTAAACGTACTCTAAGAATACAAATATTGTCTCAAATGAGTTTACACGCGAGAAAGATGTACTCTTGCCATATGAGGACAAAGTAGAAACTTTGTATCGATTAGCTAATTAAATTGAGGGAATATAACACGCCCCAAGATAAAAAACTGAACTAATTTTGAATTAGTGACACAGAGTCTTTACATAGGGTGATAGGGGTTCTGAAAACTGCCATCATGTCTGGTTTCTTGCCTTATTTACAGCGAGGCCAGCAGATGATGTTCAGAAGACATGATGGACAGAGTCTTTACTAAAGAGGCCATGAAAGATAAGGCAACATTCAGCACTTCCTGCGAACAACCTGGTCTAATAATCTCCCTTACCTGTGAAAAAAAAAAATCACTGCCATTAGATTCAACTAATAGAATGAACAAGAAAACATTAAATGGATCCTTCGTTTCGAACTTCAAACAAAGTCTGCGTCAACATGAATAGGCCCTTATATGATCCTTGTTTGTAGGTAAATCACGAAGATGGTGTATTGAAGTGTCAGGAAAAGTGGGCTTGAACATGTGATGCAAATATGGCATTCCCTTTCAAATAAACTACTCCTGCTGTCCCAAACAAAGTTCCTGTTTAATGTACTACCTAGTTCACAGAGCTCAAGGTCTGAATGCCAGAAAAAAAAAAAAAAAAAAAAAAAAGAAATAGGATTAAAGTAACCAAACCGTGTCTAGATGTAATTGCAACTCCTTCATGTTATTAATGTAGTCCTGATCCTGGAAATTCAAGCATGGTGTCTCTGAATGCAGTGCATCATAGGTGTATAAATCATCTTCCAAGGCCTTCTTATTGATTGTCTTCTGCACACTATTTCAGCAAAGAGGACAAAATGCAGTGAGGTCATCGCGTTAAGGAAATTATTCGTGCCAATACCATTAATGAGGAACAAACATATGTATTCCATCATTCGAAATTGTAAAATATGGTGGTAAAGGAACAACAGAGATCAGGAACAACGGAGATCAACAGCATATGACCTTTTACTATCAACATGGACCAAGTATGCACACTTTTTTCAGCCTGTCATGCAATCCTAAGTATTCAAAGTGCCGTAACTTTCCTATGTGAACTCTTCCTGGCAATGACAACTTCCTCTTTTCCAAAAGCTAAAATGCACGAGAACAGTAATGTACAGGACAACTTAACAACAACAAACAACGTCCAAAATTGAAATGCATAGAATTGCTCTTTACGCTATTAACACATCTCATGATCTACATCATCAGTAACCAAAGAAGTACTGATTTGATAACATAAGCTTCATGTGGCTAAGTGGATGGTTTAAAAAGAGCAGCATACTGATTAGAATATGGGATTTGAAACCTGATCATCAAATACTCATGGTTGGCAGCAGACTCTAACTTGTCCATTGATCTTGATAAATTCGACAAGAACCCTCGGGCCTAAATGAAAAGGAAATCCTGGGTAATAAACCAGGCACACCATGATTAACTTTAAGCCAAGGAAAAAAAGGCACAATCTTTATGGAGACAATAAGAGTTTAAGCTGCGTACTTTGCTTAAGTGTCATCTACATTAAACAAGAGAAATTGAACACACTTCATACAGCTCATTAAACATACTTCAACATCCCCTCAACCCAATAGGAACAGGGAAAAGAAGCGGAAACTGAAATGAACGTCCCAGTTCAAGCAAGAATTGTTCGACAACGAATGATTTCGGAACAAAATTAGCTGGTCTTAACTGTTATTTCTTTCAAACTTGACTAACTTAGGTGGATACTGGCCTAAACGAAGAAGGGTATCCCAAACTCTGCAAGACAGATCAATTAAAGAGGCAGAAATGCAGTAATCCCATGGTCTAAATATTTCCTATAAAATAAAACCCATGAAATTAGTCTCTGTGATTTGGTGATTGGGAATATTCCCAATGATCACAAACCATCCCAAAGATTGAAAGAACATGCAAGCAGATAGCAGAGAAAATGACACCGTGATGTAAAGACACAATCTTTGAAGCAATTATAATAAGGGAAGTAAGATTAATAATGTCAAAATAGATAATTTTGGAGCTTACCAAGATAAAACAGGGATGGGAGCTTTGGAGTTGGATTAATGGCGGTCGGAATGGAGTTCGCGATGAATGAAATTATTACGAGGGAGCTTCGATCATTTCGGAATTCGGACAGATATTTCAGAAGATCCCGTCTTATGATAGCACCCATTTCCTTACTAAAAATTGCAATGCTGAACACATATTTCGAGTTATATCTAGTTTCGTCCCCTCTTAGCATTACTGTCGCCCCTTTCTCAAACTTTCTGGTTCTTATCCGTACTCAAACGTCAAACATGGTGGAAATTAATTTCCATATTCAAAGAGTAAGAAAGAAGAATGTTCAATTGTTAACTAATCATAATCTGGTACATGGCGATTTACAACAATTATGTGTCTTAGCATCCTTTACAGAAACTTCTTTACATTCATTCTATACTTTACAACATTCCCTCTATTCTCCAATGTACAGAGATGTATATATGTTCCGGGACAAATAAAGGCCAACAAAAACAAAGGTTCTCTACACGTAAAAACTGGCACCATATTTCTGCGAATGCCTTTCTTCACCAGTAATCCCCACAAGAACAAGAACCATCCACAAAATGGTGAAACCGGTTCCGATCTCTCACGACTATCTTGCGTCCCGTGATTTTGGATATCAGTTTGGTAACTGTGTGACAATCAACACACACTCTAAGGTTCTTCACTATCTTGATCGTCGTTCCTGGTGTGGTACTGATGAGGCCAAAGGCAATGGCAAGCTTCTCACTATGAACTTCAAGTGATCGCTTCTTCTCAGCATACCTGATATCATGTAATACTGCATCAATCATAGGAGTGTATCCGTGAGCCTCTAGCCATCCACGCATTTCCTCCAACATGGTGTAAATCTCTTTACTTTTTGGATGTTCAATATCCCCAGAAAGAAATTCGTGTATTTTGTTGTTCACTTCAATTGAGCTGCAACCTGGCTCTTTTTGCACCCCGATGTCCTTCATTACTGATCTGACTCTCCCTACACCATCCCAATTGCCAGTTGCAGCATATATGTTGGAAAGAAGAACAAAAGTTCCAGAAGTTGCGAGATTGCTCTCCACTAGGTATCCCACAATTTCCTCTGCCAAGTTCAGGTTCTTATGAAGCCTACAAGCCGCGAGTAAAGTTCCCCATAACACTGAATCAGTATCTATCTTCATATTTTTCACGAGCTCATATGCATCTTCCAAACGCCCGGCTCGACCAAGAAGATTTACCATACATCCATAATGCTCAATCTTCGGCTCCATACCAAAATCATCTTTCATTGATTGGAAAAAACCCCACCCTTCCGAGACCAATCCAGCGTGAGCACAAGCATTCAAAACACCTACGAATGTTACATGAGTAGGTTGAAGACGCATCGCACGCATTTCGCGAAACAAATTCAGTGCTTCCCAACTGATCCCGTGCATCGCGTAACCTACAATCATTGAATTCCACGCGACAACGTCCTTGGACCTCATCGCATCAAACACCGTTCTTGCATCCTCTAGACTTCCACATTTGGTGTACATATCAACCAGAGCAGTGCCAACACGGACATTGCTGGAAATCCCATTATTCTCCAAGTAAGAATGAACCCAACGACCCGACTCCAAGGCTCCCAACTGACCACAAGCAGAAAGAACAGCTAACATTGTGACTACATCAGGCTTCACCTTTTCCGATAACATGTCCCGGAAAAGAACCAAAGCTTCATTAGGCCTTCCATGCTGAGTATACCCATCAATCATCACATTCCAGCACACCACATCTCTCTCTCCCATTTCATCAAACAGAGCCCTGGCATTCTCAACCTCGCCACTCTTTGCATACCCGGTGATCATTGCAGTCAACGAAACCAGACTTCGTTCAGGCATTGTATCAAACAGTTTCCGCGCAAACAACAAATCACCACTTCTCGCATAAACATCCACAAGTGCGGTCCTCACATACGTATCAAAGTCAAGCCCGAACTTAATAGCGTGGCAATGAAGGGCTCGCCCTTGATCAAAACCACAACCTTTAAGAATGGCGGAGAACGTAAACGCATTGGGGTCAACAAATTCCGTGAGCATCTGAATGTATAAAAGCAGAGCTTGATCAGGAAGGTTATGAATGGCGTGGGCGTGAATGATGGTAGTGTAAAAGAAGACGGTGGGATTGTGGGTCTGTTTGAAAAGTGAGACGGAATGTGGAAGATGGCCGAATGAAGCATAAGATCGTTGAAGTTTGAAATTGAGGAGTGGGTGGGCGTCGAAGTGGTGGCGGATGAGGAAGGAATGAAGTTGTTGAAGTTGTTTGATTGTCTTAGATTTGTCTATCAGAAATGCAAGCCTGTCGGGAGAAGGAGACGACGGTGCCGGAGAACGAATCTTGGGCGTGGGAGTGAAAACAGAAGGGGACGACATTGCCGTCTACAAGATATTATGGCCAACCATTCTACTACTACTAGACTGTTTTTTTTTTTTTTTTCCGTAACAAATATTGTCTCCCGCCCTTATTATAAATCATTTTGATTTAATAAAAATTTCACAGAGGTTTGTTTTACCGAAATAATTTTCAATGGAAATATCTATTCAAAAATATTTATTCCGAAGTGGTGTGAACAAATCTAGTTATCGCAGATTTGTCAAATCCGAATCTCCTTACAAGACAATACAACTATTTGATACATCATTTCTATTGAATAGATTCAGATACAAAATGGATAGATTCGGATTTGGTAAATCGAGAACAATTATTTTTGTCCACGTAAAATAGAAAAAAATTATTTTTGTCCACATTTTTTTTTTTTTTGGAAATTTTTTTTGGCCGAAACACCTAAGTTTCACATAGTATATTTTTCAATTAGAAAAAAAAATAAAAAATATTTCCTAATAAATTAGATCACAATCAATATGGAAATGTAATTTTAAAGTACTTTTTTTTTTTGAAGAAAAAATATATTAGGTAAAACCCAAAATAAATCAAAATAACTTATAATAAAGAGCGGAGAGAGTAATATTTTCTTTCTTTTTATTTTAATATGATTGTCCAGTTTGAATTTTCTTGAAACATAGAACAATTCGGCCATGGAAGATGGTGTGCTTTTTATAACCTCCCAAATATACGGCTTATCCTTCCAATTTCATTTGAAACAAAATATTCGGGCAAACACAAACGACATTGAACCCGTATCTTGTCTCAATGTCTGCGTTATAGGAAGCCGGATGTAGAATTTTTATCACGCCCTATATATATAGGTAGAAGATCAACCCAATTAATGAATTTACTCATAAAAACAAAGAAGAAAGAACAATAATTAATGGAGAAGAAGAGTTCAGCTCAAACCATTGTGGTCATTGCGCTTTTATTCCTCATTTTAACTTGTTAGTGTTCCCCCGAAAACTACTTGTTAGTTAGTTTACTCTAGCTCAACAATTCTTTTATGTTTTTTTGCCCCCTCATCCTAAGAAATGCTTTTTTTTCAAAACCAACATCCAAATAATATTTTTATTTCTCATTTAGTTTTCAATTTAAAACACTTTCTACTTTTAAGTATGAAAATGAAATGTAAGTTCACGTCCAAACAAGCACTAATCATTCTACTAATGTTGGCAGTTCAATCGTGGGCGGAGATGGAAGAAAAAGAAGTGAAGTTTCGAACGACAAGAAGAGGATTGAAACAACAAGGAATGGATGTGGGATGCTCTGTAACTGATTGCTATTCCGATGAGGATTGTTGTTCTGGTTCGGTTTGTATGGACGTTACCGCTGAAATTGATGGCTTTGTAACTCGGGAATGCTTCCCCTAATCAGTAGTATCTCCCCATATATTCCCTCTCCATCTTTGATTTTTCAATCTGATTCCACGAGGGGGAAACAAAAACTTCTTGAATGTAGTTTTCATTCAATATGTAATGAAAATGAAAATTCGAATTTAGTTATCATTTCAGAACAAAGGGATAAAAACAACAATAAAAAAATGAGAAACAATTGAAGATGAACAAATTCTCCAATCTTCCAACACGTTAGAAGATCAAACAAGCATCCGAAAGCAATTTATTTATGAATTTTCCTCCAAATCATTGAAACTGTTATTTCCGGAGACTTGTAAAAGTGATTTTGAATTTAATAATGGATATTTGATTTTATTAAAGTTTGAAAAAATTCATGAAATGTTTCTTGGGGAAAAAATTATTGGATAAATCTGTTGTATTCAACTTGTTAGTACAGCAAGTACTAGCACCTTCCTATTTTAGTGTTATAATTCTCTTAGAAATTTTCTTTTTTCCTCTAAAAATTATACTTTACCATATTTATTGTCTATGGCTACATAATCCTACGTGGTACAATAGCTGCACCAAAAATTTTTCTTCTTGGGGTACAAATATCTTTCGGCACTTTTTAACTGATTTTATATGCATACTTTAATTTTCAGCCATTGGAGGACCCTTTTGATAATTCATTTGCTCGTTTTGTTTAGTCAACATCTCATTTTACATTTTGATTTGATTTGAAATGGAGATGTGATTTAAAATGTGTTTTGAGAGGAAATTTAAAAAACTATTTAGATATTTTTTGATTAAAATAATTTTTTTTTACAACCACCGCCTACCTCCACCACCTACCTTCACCGTCGGACCGCCCATTGTCGCTGCCGGACTGACGAAAATTGTGGTGGACGAAAATTGTGTAAAAATAATTTTTGAAATATTTTTTATAAGGTAAATTATAAAGTTGTTTAGATAGTATTGGAATTTTTGTTTGACAGGTGTTTTAAGAGGTAAAATGAGACAAAAATGCAAAATAGATGTTGGACAAAGAAGACAATATTTTCTATATTTCTTTAAGAGGTGACGGGTCTACATAATCAGCCCAACTTTGGGGTTCTTTTGGATATTAAACCTAAAACAGAAGGCGTGCTGATTTTACAAAACTCGGATTAAAAAACATCACGACTTTAGAAAAACATATTTGTAAAACAAAACAGAAGTCGTTCACTTTTGATTTTCCAAAAGACTAAACTCTAAACAGAACGACTGTAGTTATTTAAAGGAAAACGCAGAGTAATTGGTACCAACGGAATCATCTTCTTCCTCGATGATATTCACCATCTCTGACCGGCTGAAATTCGGGTCAGAATTACCCGTGAGTCTTACGAATCCCCTCTTTTTATGAAGTTTCAAAATTTATGCGTATATTGCTTATGGCACGGTTCCTAATTGGATTTTCATTACTGGGTTTTTCATTTTTTTTTAATTTTATCTTCAAATTTTGCTCGTTGATGCTGGTCAAAAACCTGTACGAATATCATGTGTTTGTGAATATTTCCCTATGAAATTTGTGGTTCATTTTCTTTATTTTTCTAGTGGGTATGTTGATAAAATGGATTTTGGAGTTATGCTTGTTGGTAACGAATAAAATTTCTGGGCAAATCCAGTTTTCTTATGCGTTTATGATTTCCTAAGCTAGGCAAGAATCGTCTTGATAAATTTGGGATAAGTAAACTAGACTTTTCTTTTTAAAAAAATGAATCTAAGCTTTCTTCACACCGATTTTAGCTGACAATAATATGCCTGCAGAAAATATCCTAAAATGACAAGCATAGTTGCTAAGTGCCGAACCTTTGCAATACCTCTTCGAGATCAATTGCAGCGGACGACCCTTCCCCGGCTCTTGCACAATGGTCCTGATACAGTGGAGGAGCTTTTAGAGAGACATGTGGTGAAGAAAGAGAAAAGCTTGGATGATGACGAGAATGAGCTCATTACACGTCAACGGCTAACTAGCACGCGTCGTGAGGCATTGAGCCTCTACAGGGATATCATCCGAGCCACCCGGTTTTTCTTGTGGGCAGATTCTCGGGGAGTGTTGTGGCGTGACATTCTTCGGGAGAATGCTCGCAAAGAGTTTGAGGAAGCCCGATTGGAAAAGGATCCAGAAATTATAACCCGCTTGTTAATTGGTGGGCGTGATGCAGTGCAAGCAGCGCTGGACAAGCTAGTGGAGAAACAAAAGCAGCAGCTTGAGCAAGAACAACGTGATTCAACTCGTCGATGATTCTTTACTGTGAGGTAGTGTTTGTGTTTCGATGTGCTGAACTGTGTTATACTTGTCGTCCTGCTTATTATTGGTTAAGTTGGTAGTTTGTATACCTAATACTCGAGGTTGCAAATGTTTGTTTGGGGAGAAAAGTTGTCGATAAGTATTACTTGATGCCCTTGCAAAGTGGCAATTTTTGGTTATTGCTAAGTTAGGGCTTACAGGATGTGTGGTCAACTGCAGAAGGGTTGGTCATTTGCTGTTCATCTGGTTTGAGAAAAAAAAATGGAGGATAGCATTAGCATAATAGATCCATACAGATACTTGTTTGTATTTTGCATTTTCCTTTTCAGGAAAGTGTGGTTTATGTGAGTTCTGAAAGTGTATTGATGACTTTAAGCTTCTGTTATGCTTTCGTAGACACTAGCTTAGCATGACTCTTCGATGAGCCATTGATTAGGATTTTTAAACAGCCAAAATTCTAAATGGATCATCTGTCTCCTTTTCTTTGTGTTTCACTTCTACATTGCGATGAAAATTCTGTCATTTTTATTTGCAAATAATGAATCAACGATGTCATGCGTACAAAGTATGTTCGCAGAGGCAGAGGATTGCAATAAACCTAAGATACAACAATATCAGGCGATGAGACCACAGAGACTATAAAATGAGAATCAATGGCAGATTTAAGCAATACGTACTTTGAAAAGAAATGATAATCCACAAAAAATTTGGTCATGAGATAGAAGGTACATGGCTCATCAGGAGCCCAAAAATTTCTCAATTTGCGATTGCCAGTCAGTGTCCCACTCATCAAATTTAGGACAAAAACAACTGGGGTTATCTTAATCACTGTAACCTTCACTGCGGTTTACAACAATATATACAACACAGTTGTTTTCCAGCAATCATCTAGTCGTTCACGATTTATGAAATGTTTGAACTGCAGTCGAGCTGCTTCTGTCCTCCAGTTTTGAGAGGCATCTGAATTAAAAGCCAGGTTCTTGAAAATCCTTTCTTCCAAAACTTATGCCCATTTGAATCCCTCATTTCTTGTCCAAATAGTTCTTCAAAGTTCCAAAAGATCAGTCACCACAACTGCTTCGCCTGCAGTCACTTGCATTACATAATTCACCGTTATTCCTGTCGTTATTGAATATGTGGCAATTCTTTGCGATAAAAAGGGAGATCCATTTCACTTGCTTAGTTTTGCGACTCCGGTTTTTCACTTTGTCCCCAGACTGACCCTTCACCATATTCCCTATCATAGCAAATGACTAGCCAGTCTGAACAACTCAACATGACTGAGCACATACAAAGTCATTCAGTATATGTCCCTTAGAAGTCTTTCACCAGCAGCTTCAAACGCTGCACAAATGCATTCAATCGCCTCGAAGGGATATCTCCAACTGTTCTATTCTTTTAGCCAAGTCATGCTTCCCACAATTTTTTAACCCATCACACACAAGGTCAAAGTTTCTTGACAAGGGCAACAGATTTAACTCGGTCATTTCCACCAAATAGTTGGCAGCCTCAACAAATCTACCTCCACGGGTGCACATCCTTATCAGCATAGTGTAAGCAGGTCGATTCGGTGGATGTCCTTTTAATTTCATATCACTGAAAAAGCTGAATGCATCATCAAACATACCTTTCCGACAAAGAGCTTTTAAAATAGGAGCATACAAACTAGGAAATGGACGGAGTCCTTCCTCAATAGACCTATGAAGAATCTGAAATGCATCGTCAATCCTTCCAACTTTTGATGCTGCAGTTATTATAATCTTATATGTGTCAACATCAGGACAAAGGCCTAACTTACAAACATCACGAAAAAGGTCAATGCAGAAGTCTATTTCTCCAGATTTACATATAGCTTCAGCCAGAGAATTGAATGTGCTTACATCAGGGACAAACCCTTCCTTCGTCATCTTCCTCACTAATCCTTTTGCAGACTCAAGATATCCAGCATTGAGTAATCCATCAATCAAAAGGTCTCGGCCACGTACTGGAGGATTGAACCCTTTTCTACTCATCTCCTCAAGAAATTCTTGTGCCTCCCTCATCTTTCCTGCAGAACACCACCCATTTACAAGAATTGAATAAGTCTTCTTGTCAGGTACAGCCCCTTTGCGCAACATTCTACGAATCAAAGCATATGCCCCTTGGAAATTCTTCACTTCACAGAGAGCAAACAGCAACGAGTTGTATACCTCCGTTGTTTGTGGGCAATTGAAACTTTTAAGCCGATTGAACAGTTCAACGGCCTGATCAACAAGATCTTTCTTACCATAATGTTCAATGATGAACGAAACAATAGAAGACGAGATGGGGAGGTTCTGCACTTTCATCTGATGGGCAACCTTCCACATGGTTTCCCAGTGACCAGTACGAGCAAGGGTCTTAAGAAGCTCTTCAAACTCAAGAGTTGTGGGATCATAATGGGGGTGGTGTGTTCGGGCCCAATTAAAGAAACGGAAGGACTCAATGCCACTCCGGCTACAGCTGCGCAAAACACGGTATACCAGCTCTGAATTGACAATTTTGGAAATGCACATTTTGTTGAGGGTTCGTTCCATATAAATATCTCTTCGAACAATGTTAGATATATGGTGGATGGTTGCAAAGTAGTCATCATTTGACCTACTTCTCTGAGCGGCATCGTAAGCAGCTGTAGTTGTGAAATCTTGCAGCAATCCACGTATGCTGGTGATAGGGGTTACGACAGGGCCAAATGCTCTTTCATATAGACTGAATCTGCGGGCAGCGAACATCTAGGTGGTTGCTGACCGTGAATGTCAATGGTGAAGCAATCTGCAGATTTTGCGCATGTAAACAAGCCTGAACCGAACAACAAGACTTCAAAGATTCAGCTCTTTTCAGTAGGTGGTAAAACTTAAAAGCACTAAGATCATGGCAGAGATAAATTCGTCCAAGAAATCAAGAGGGGAGATTCAGTTAACCACTCACAATCTACTTCATAGAGTACAAAAATAATACATACATAAGGTACACTGATAAAACTGCCTGAATAGATATCAAGCTTCCCTTAACCACCTATGATGAGGACTTCCATTCAACATTGTAACTTACATAGGTAAGACAGAAAAGTGCAAAAGCTGCGGGAATAAAAAACTACATTCCTGACTTTCAATTTTTGATTCTCTTCAAGAAAGCATCAAAAGCTAATTCATAAAGTACCCTTCTTTCGTATTTTTCTCGAACGAAAAAGGGATAACAAACACTCCATCCCTGAAGAAAGATACTTTCAGAGGTCTACTACTAGCAACAACATATTAATTATTACTAAAACGAAATGCACGAAAACATATAAATTATTTCTAAATCTCCTAAAAGATGCAAATCCTGCAAATTTTCCATCTTTTGAGGCTGCAAGGAGGAAAAGATCATAAACCCCAAAACCCTTTCGAAAGGTATAGAAGCTCAATTCATTAAAAAAAAAAAAAGAAAAGGAAACATTGAGGAAAATTAGTACAGCAGTAAAAGGAAAGAAAGATACAATAATATTTGAGGCAATTCTCCGAGCATTGACGCACCTATTATTGGTGAAAAGATGCAAGCAAAAGCGCGGAAGCAATTGCAAAAGGGATATTTGTTGCGGATGGTTCAGGCGAAAATGAGTAGTGAGTGGAGGAAGATGGAAGTCGGCAGGGAGGGGTTGGCGGCCGTTCTGTAAGGCTTCGCCGGGGCTTTGAAGAGGCGAGTAAAAAGAAGGCTGCCAAAAATTAAAAACTTCGTAAATGGGACTGTAGATTTCTTTTTTCTTTTTTATTTTTTTACTATCTTGTAAATGGATCATACAGTAAGAGGAGGACGGTGATTTCGTGGGAATATTTGGGAAAAACTCCCCTGAGTTATGTCCAAGAGACAGATTGCCCCCAATATTTTTGTATAAGGACAATAACCCTCCTACTGCCAAGACAAAGGACAATTTGCCTCATGCATCAGCAAATCTTAGTGCAAGAAGACAAAAATGCCCTTAAGTCTAAAAATAATCTATTTTCAAGACCAAACATACATTCCAATCAATTCGTTTATTTTATTTTTTTTTTTTAAAAAACCGCTAAACATTTTGGCTCCGATTAAATCCACCGCTGACTCTGTTTTGATATATCATTTTTTCCTACCACAACAGCCTCTACAAAAATAATTTCGATATTGAAAATTTAATCTATCAAAACGATAAATTCTATTTATCCGGATAAATAGAATTTATAGTTTTGATAGATTAAATTCTCAATCTCGGTTTATTTTTATTGAGACGGCAATGATAGGGAGAAATAATGCATTAAAAAAATAAACCCGAGATTGAGAACATTTTTTGGTTTATTTTTATTGAGACGACAATGATATGAAGAAAAAATGCATCAAAACGGAGTCAGTGACAGATTTAAAATGACAGATAATAGAATCTATAATTTTTAAAAAAATAAACGAGTTGGTTGGAGGGTGGGTTTGATGTAATTTTTTTATATATATATTTAAGGGCATTTCTATCTTTTCACACTAAGATTTGCTAATGCAGGGGCAAAGTGTCCTTTAACCTAGCGGTCAAGGGGGTTATTGTCCTTATAAAAAATGTCAGGGGGCAATTTGTCTTTTAGACGTAACTTAGTGGGGTTTTTGTTCTTTTCGCGGGAAAATTTTAAGTTCCGAAGGTATTAATTACGAATAGATTAGTGCTACAAGCAAAGAGAAATTACAAGAGATATAATAATGTGTCAATCATTTCAACTATTTCTTCAACCTTAAATAGAGAGAGTTCAAAAAATGATAAGTAGTACTTCCTTCTTCCCAACATCATTGTACCTTTTTGGATTTTTAATTTTAGTACAACTTAGATCAAAAATAAAAATTTATATTAGACAATAATTTTGAAATGAAAGGAAGGAGTATTAAAGAAATATATATATATGTATATATATATGATCATATTTTCTGTCACGTTTTCTTCTAAAATTTTCACAAATGTATCATTAATCTAATTAAAATCAGTTGTTTTGTTTCTTGGAGAATTTTTATCCAAAAGCGCCTCTTATTAGATTGCTAATTTAGAACGTTCGGACAAATTTTAGTCGTGTTGGACTGCGCGTTTCTTCCCCGCAAACCTCCATTCCTAATTCGAATTCGAGTTGATATAATCACTTGTCATGTGTAGTCAAATTTGAACACACCAAACAATGAAGACTTGAAGATTTCAATGTCAGATTAAGTAATAGATTACTTAATTGAAGTGCACAGGTCCCAAATGCACGTATTACACCGTCGGGTGATTATCAATAATAACTATTCCATCGAGAAATTAATTACTCTGCAATAACTTCATCGAGTGCTTAAACACAATTTATTTACTACTCCAGCTCTAGTAATCATCCCTATATCCTTGCTATAAATTAGTGTCCCAATTTCTCAATCTGAAACAGGCTTCTCTGGCCAGCTAGCTAGCTCTAGTTACTAGTTAAAGAAATGAAGTTTTTACATTTGTTTGCAGCATGTTTGATGATGGCTGCACTCATTTTGAGTAGCAGCCAAGTTGAGTTGAGCAATGCCTTAGACGACTGTGCAGTCACGAAGCTGGTTCCCTGCTTGCCGGCGATCACTTCATCCGCCCGTCCGACAAGAGTGTGTTGCGTGGCCCTCCGGCGACAGTCATCATGCTTTTGCCGGTATGCCAAAGATCCGAAGCTCGCACGCTATGTCAACTCCCCTAAATCAAGAACACTTGTCCGAACCTGCCATGTTCGAGTTCCTAAATGTTGAAATTAAACGTCCATTTTTCGCATTTTGATAATTTCCCTTTTCTTATTTTGCTAAAGATATGTCATGAATTTAACATTTTGTTTTCCGTTGATTAGAATCTCAAGTATTTTTGTATTTGGAATAAACGAGTTTTTTTTTTTTTTTTTTTTTGTATGTTACGCACTCGGTGTCCGAATTCATTATTCTGACTAATCTGGTTCGAGCCGAGTTGGTCTCTTTTTAGAGGCAAAACTCTCCTAACAAGTATTTTAATCACTACTGCGTGTCTATACCCAGATTCGAACCACACTATTGATCTACAATGTATCATGACAATAGAATTACACTATTGATCTTGCTTTGGCAGGAAAAAAATGCTTCAAATTATTATTTTTTCTAATGATTCTAATAAAAATGTATTTAATCTATAAAAAAAAAAGAAACTCATAAATTTTCTGATATGTGCTGTTTTTAGTATAAATTTCAAAACATAATACTCTTTTATTTTTTGGTTGGAAAAGAGACAGTAATAAAAAGTGAAACCTTAAACTTTTGAATCGATTTATTAAAAATAGTAAAAAGTGTGCATGCCAAAATTACATCATTTCAAGACATTTAGGAGCCACACAAAACAAGTAGTAATAATTGGTAAAAGTTCAAAACCTGAGAAAGGAAATGAAGAAAAACGAAGGGGAAATGGTGAGTTATATAAGCGCGCGCATGAATGCACCGTGCAACAATAGCTTATTTGGCGGGTTAATGTAATTAATTAAACCGGGGAATTATTGAAAACCATGGTGCAATCCGCAATGTTGGCGTGGCCTCCGACACGGCCGTTGCAGTTGACGCTATTCAGACTAAAGGCAAGCTGAATGCAGGTGACACACTCCGCCGGGGTCAGGGTTGAGGTACAGGTTGCGTGGCCGTAGGCGACGGGGATCCCGAGGTATGGCGAGCGAGTGACTCGATTGAACCCCGGCGTGTTGGGGGTGACGGTGAGCAAGTCGTTGAGAACATAATCGACACTGAGCTTGTAGGGATCTTTGGTGGTGTCGTAAGTGCCGTCGTCGCAACCCTGACTTGTGATGCTCAAGTTAGGGTCGCTCCTCACAAGTAGTACTACATTACTGCAGCACAAAGCAAGTAATATTGTTGTTGATATACTTAAAGCCGCAACCTTCTTCATCTTCATTAATTAGTGACCAAAAAAATCTTAGCTTGAATATTATTAGTACGGGTACTACTGTTTTCTGAACTGATCAATTCAATTGGATGGCAATGTTTGTGATTGCAAAAAAAAAAGAAAATGTGTGCTTTAAATAAGGGTTTCAGCTGATTGACATATCCGCCTCTTTGATCTTATATGTGCGTCTTATATACAGTATGAAATTTTTAGAAATTGGTAAATCTTTAAAAGGATACACAAGTTTATGTCTTCGTGTATTTTTGAAACAATCAAAAAGACAAGTGGATATCTCTTGATTGATGGTTTAAATTTCGATATTCTTCAAGACTAGTTTTCCCGATGTAAGAACATCCAAATTTCATACTCCACCAATTTGTGTATCTAAGAAAATGAAACATAATGTGAACGTTGAGTCCACTCCACCAATGATGAGTTTTGGATTTCTCACAAGTAATCGCCAATCTGACGGATCTCTTGTGATTTTAAATTTTTAATGCCGACCACATTTCATACTGAATACTTTCACGTATCTATTTTGTTTTAAGTAACGTCGAAAATTCCATCAGGAATGAGTGAACACATGCATGTCCATTCGATAGTTTGCAAATCGCATTGAAACTGTAAACCACCTTAACCAAGCCCTAAATGAAAGGATACTAATACTTAAAATATTCATGTGAAAAATCATTTATTCATTAAAACAATTCTAAAGAGCGGAGCTTATTGATAATAGGCTAGGTGTCTTTGCTACATGTTCCAAAGCCATTTTGATTAAGAACAGAGAAGTAGCCTTCAGCACGCTTTAATTCTTGGTTTATGCAGCTTGAATGTTCCCCACGTTTTGTTAATGTTTCGGGGTTTTTGTTTTTTTTCCTTCCTTGTCGTTTCTCAATTAAGCTTGTGTCATGTTAGTTTCATGGTTTTATTTTCCAATCAAGCATGGGTTTTTTTATTTTTAACTTTTTTTCTTTTTGCATACTTTAAATGAGACATCAGTTCTAGTTCACCAAGAAATTAAATTAATGTTCGGATTCTTGCTTAAGCCAAAATGATCAGAAGCAACACTAGTCAATTGCATCTTTATTACACTATTCTTTTCGCACTGGATGCAGAGCTATTCAATCCTATAGTGATGTACTTTGTGTTACAATATTCGAACACTGATCTTATGTTACAAGCATGTCTGCAATTGCTAATGTTTTGTGAGGAGACACACATCACAAAAAAAAAGCCCAAATCAGTCATGCAAATAACTGTTCTTTTCCTTCCAAAAGAAAAAAAAAAAAAAGACTTGAAATTAATTTGACTTGGTGTAGAAGTGGATCCCAAAAGCCAATCCCAATATCAGCAGGAATGGAAGAAGCTTAAGAAGGAACGAAGACGATTCTTTATCATCTTTAGGGTCTTTATTCAGATATGCAGTTGAAGCAGGGATTTTGGCATTGGGTGGAGTAGGTGATGATGATGGATCAATCTCTCCAACGTAGTACTCATCCAGCATTAGTCTTGCTGCACTCCCATGTCCTGCATTCTCAAATTCCTCACTTGCATCCTTTCCTGCACACCCATTATCATTTCATGAACTAATGTAATTCTAAAATGATTGTTCTGTATTTGCCTTTAAAAAAGGACCAAATCGAAGAATGTTTGGAGTAGTACGTACCTGCTGCTGCGAGCAATACATCATCGCCTCCCGGATGCTCACTCAAGAAGTTTGTTACATCATATGCCTGCACCAGTCAAGAATCAAGGTAGATATAGTATTGAAATTTGTCAAAGGTTCATGGATAGAGACTAGGGAGAGAGTAATACTTACTACAACATAAAAATTTGGAATGATGAACTTATTAGTTACCTTATTTTTAAGTCTCAGAATCTTGACATCACAACCAGTATGTATATTTCAAGCTTAATTAAGGCTATGAAACTCAAAATTGATGGGCATGGCAGCTAGCTTTGACTCTTTATAATTATTGATGATGAAATGAAATTTATCCATACAACAATAAGTACAGGTTATTGATTTTCCAGTGCTCTCTACTTGCGGCATCACTCTTTGGTACAGTGAAACATTACAGATATATATGAAGCCAAATGGTAGACTAATTTCTTCCTCCAATTCTGAGAGATGGAAATCGAGAGGATGAAGAAGAAAAGGGTTAATTTATATACACTTACCTTAGCATTGATGATGATCCAACAATCACTGGAATTGTTGTGTACAGAAACCTCATCATGGCTGAAAATCTTGTGATTAGCTCCCATTTTAGTGATCTGCCAGATGAGAGGTGATCAATAACAAACAACTAATGATTGATTTGCTGATGGTTATTCTTTCCAAAACCACAAGTAGAAAAAAAATTATAAATGTTCAATTTGATCCATTATTCTAACTTGTAAGTTCGTGTCCTGTTTGCTTCAATTATTCTTTTCATGATGGTTACCAAAAACATTGTTTTCTCACAGCTAGTTATGTCGTATTTGATGGATCTACAGTTGGCTGATAAATTTTTTTTTTTAAAAAAAGGACATGTTGATTAGTTAGTAGGAGTTAGGACCAATGACAATGTTGTGTAGTTTGATAAAGGAATTTTGTAGTATGGGCCAAAAAATACGATGACCACGGCGACAACAACAAGCCCTTTTTTTTTTTTTTTTTTTTTTCACTAGATGGGTCAGTTATATGGATCATATGTCAACTATTCAGTCGATGTGTAAATCCTCGGTCAAATTTAAATATTTCTAATTATTTTTTCTGTATTTTCTTAGGTCTATCTCTAACTCTTTTAATTTGAATTCTTAATAATATAGTTTTTATTCTCCTAAGCGGGGCTCCACCGATCTCTTACGCACATGTTCAAATCATCTTTAACGATTTTCTCTCATTTTTTCGTCTATTAAAATTACCCCTACTTTTTTTCTAATACAATTATTTCTAATCCTATCTAATCTATAAGTCGATTTTAACATTCTCATCTCCCCATTTTTTTTCTCATTTTCATATTTAGCAGCTCAAGATCAAAAAATACGAATGCGAGTTACTTCTTCATCTGAGCCCAAGATTCCAGGCTGATTTTATTGACTTATTGGGGCCATTTTTAAGGGGCCCATCTTCGAAAACCAAACGCTTTCGTTTTTCGTTTTCTTTCCGCCTCAGCAAGTTGAACACCGCAGGACGATCTCTAACTGTTTGATAATTTGATCTTTCCTATCAGATTCTCATTTCTCCCGAACTTAGGTAGATCTCAGTTCTTGTCTCCGTGTGTGTCAAGATTAGGCGGTAGTGAGATTAACAGTGACCCCTTCTCAAGCATATAGTGTGAATTTTATATTGTTGCTTTAGTTGCATATTAACTGTTCGTAGGAATGCCGCACCGAGATGGTGTTGCTAAAACTCTTTTAGGACAATTGCTATGCAACAGACGGATGCCCCTCATGAATCTTCATAATTGCTTGCTGCAGTGTCGAATGATGACCACCAGCAAAAGGGTTCAAGATAGGAGCAAGCGAAAACGAGTTCAGGACCTTGAAGTTTCTCTGGAGAAGCACAAAATACTTTCCAAGATTCTATTTTTATTTGAAATCTTGAAGCAACAGCCAGAGCAAGTCATGCCCATCAGAGACTTGGATAGACACAGAAGGCAAATTAACCTTCCCAAACCCCACAAGTTATCTGCCTTTCTTAGGAAGTCGCCGAAACTTTTTGAGTTGTACAAGGATGACCACGGAACCTCGTGGTGTGGGATAACTAAACTGGCTGAGGACTTAGTTGAGGAGGAAGAAAAAATCATTGAAGAGAATAGTTTCAAAGCTGTGGAATATGTCTGTAGAATGCTGATGATGTCGGTCGACAAGAGGCTTCCGTTGGAGAAAGTTGCACATTTTAGGAGAGATCTAGGGTTGCCGTTTGATTTTAGGACCAAGTGGGTGCATGAATATCCCAAACATTTTAAAGTCGTGCGGCCATTTTTACCGCTTGATGAGAGGGAATATTTGGAGCTTGTCGAATGGAATCCTAGTTGGGCTATCACCGAGTTGGAAAAGAAGTGGAGGAGAACTCAGGGGATGAAGTTGGATGATCCTGATCGTGTTCCAGGGCTGCTTTCTTTAGAGTTTCCTATGAAGTTCCCCCCCAATTATAAAAAGATGTTGTCGCGATATTCTGAGCAAATTAGCAACTTCCAGAAGAGGGAGTATCTGTGCCCGTATGCTGATGCTAGAGATTTAAAAGCAGGATCACATGAATTCGACAAGAGGGCAGTTGCAGTTATGCACGAGCTACTGAGTTTCACGATTGAGAAGAGGCTGATAACTGATCATTTGACACATTTTAGAAGGGAATTCGTGATGCCACAGAAGCTGATGAGGCTGCTGCTGAAGCATTTTGGTATCTTCTATGTTTCAGAGAAGGGTAGGAGATTTAGTGTGTTCTTGAATGAGGCTTACGAAGGTTCGGAGTTGATTGAAAAGCATCCGCTCATTGTTTGGCGGGAGAAGGTAGATAAATACATAGGTTATAGAAGGAAAAAGAGTCCATTCATGGGACTGGAATATTTATCTGAAATGGAAGATAAAGACCTGCTTGAGAGTGACTCTGAGCATGATAGTATCAGTGTTGAGAGTGAACAGAAGGATGCCATGCATAATTTCAATGATGTCTCATCTTCAGACAGTTCTGAGATGGAGATTGAAGAGATTTATGCAGCATACGAAGATTGAAACTCTGTGCCTGATTGTGCAGAACTCCAGATACAAAAAATTTGAAGGCTTCCAAGTTGGACAAAAAGTATAGAGGGCATAGAAGGCCTCCAAAGATGATGGTGATATTGGCGCTGTGGCTCAAGCCTAATAAGTGCTGGTTTTTCAACTGTAATTAAAGTAAGAATCGGCTGGAATTTTTTCAGATTGATGATGATCAATTTGGTCATGGGTGAACCGTGGAAAGATTGGTATTTCCATCTCCATTGTCTCAAATTTTTATATATATATATATATAAGGTTGAAGCAAAGCTTAATTACATATTGCTACTACCTAGATAAGGAGTGCTGGAGCTATTTAACGCCAGGTAAATTATCAAAGTTTTAGTGGGTTGTGCCAAAATACGTGACCTACATGTCTGTCGCAAGTCTTCCTTTGCTAAAAGACCGGCCACGCTATTACACTCTCTAAAATTATAGACAATTTCCACCAACCAATTGCGTTTTAGAAGGAGTCTAATCTTGCGCAATAAGTTGGATTGAAAGCCACTATCATCGACATTTAACAAAAGGGCTAATGCCTCATAAGAGTCTGTTTCTAAGATAACGTGAGAAAATCCAAATGAAGAAGCACATTTCAATTTGAAAAAAAATGATAGGAGTATAATAATCTATCTATTTATCTATCTTCTATATATATTCTATCATGGGAAAATCCACAACAATCTCAATTGTTTATGTATCACAATATCCTTTAATCAATTCCCGCCCAAACCCCCAGTAAATCATGGTAACTAAATTACTTACATCTATAGTACTTAATTAAAGCAATAAACAAAAAGGACACATGTTAGCTCCACAATGAAAATTTTCCCTCCAAAAGGCTTTTTTAGTACAAAATGAAAACTGACACGTGGCACTCTAGATTTTCAGATAAAAGGCAGCCTTAAACAAACCCCCAAAAAACAAAAAAATCATCTAATTATGATCAGATAATAAGGAAAATAATAGGCAATTTAAATACAAATAAGATAATGAGTAAAACAATGGGTAAAACTTAAAAGGGGCCTAAATATATAACAATTATTATGAGAGATAGTAAGAGATAATTCCTTAATAAATAGACGTGTAAATTATGCTCCTGATTTCATGCTCAGAATCCTCTTCTTTGTTTCTTTGAAATCAAAATCCTATTCCTTTTTTTTTTTTTTTTTGAAATCAAGAATCCTCTTCCTAATGTAATGTTAATCCGGAGATCAAGCCCCTAAAAATATCTAAACTAACGTGATCTGTTTCAATTCAAAAGAATCTCATCCATTTGATCACTTCAAGTTGCCAATCGCCATAAAATAAATCCGCCTTCTGCTTGGCCTCTCAAAGGATCTCTTCCATTCGATCGATTTCAGAGGGCAAGGATTTTGGATATCGGTAAGTGCCTCCGTCCATGCTCAGTCTGGTTGCTTTCATAATTGCAATTCGCATGTTGTAAGAGTGATTTTTATTTTTCAGATTCCTGATTTGGGATTAACAGAGTTTGTCTATCTGAGATCATAGGTTTCTTTGTCCATGGTGCTTTCATAATTCATTTGCTTCACATTTATGGATGAATCGAGCTGAGTCGCTTGGGGTCGGCCAATCAATCAAGGTATTGTAGCTGTTTGTTTTGGTGTCGGGTTAGCCTTATGAATATATATATATATATATATATATATATATGGCCAAATTCTCAATTAGGTTTGTTTTATTCAATGTAATTTACTCCCAATTGCTGATGATTGCAAGCATGAAACTTACCGTCCTGGAGTTGGTAGTCTCTTTGCATATGTAGGCCAAATGGGGAAGAACATGGGAGTTCGTGTTGTCCGAAATTCTTCGCCCCCAAATAAAAATTCAAAAACAGGAAAAAAGAAGTTTTTAAGTTACCATAAACTGATTTTCATGTGAAATATTTGCCATCACTTGAGGAATTTGGGGTTAAGAAGAAAAAGGTGGGATGAAATTCAAGGTTAATATTGAAAATCCTACATTTAGGTGCAGCTTCCAGAACTGTTGTATTACCATCAGAAAGAGTAAGAACTCATTTGAGGGTTGGGAGTAGCTGCCATTTTGTTAGTGAGGTATTTAATAGTATAATGAAGCATGATGGTTGGAAAGGATTGTTTAAGTGCAATTTGATTAATGTGATCAGAGTTGCCCCCAGCAAAGCCATTGAGGTAAAAGCCAAAAAAAAATAAATAAAAAATTCTACTTACCATTGTTTTGTTTTGCTGTTTTGTGTAATGAGTATGCTATTTTCTGAGAATGTCGTTGTATTCACATTTCTTCTAAGATTACGCACTTGAAACATTGTAGTTTATTTGGTTGGTACTTTGCTGGATTTTCTTTATTGATTCAATTAGGAGGAAGGTAGATGAAACTAATTGGATTATTTGTGCGATTTATATGGTCATGTAATTTATAGGATTGTTGCACATTTTTTCTTATTATTTATTTCTTCCACTGAGATGCGATAGTCTTTTTGTTACATCTTATTCCTATATTGATTTTCTCACAATTTTTTTATACCTCTTTGATAAACTTCCTAATGAGGTGTTGTACTTGCTCTACTATTGGTCTTTTTAATTGCTTGAAAATTCCCTTTGCAGTATCATTTTGGCAACAGAAATGGGACTAATTTGGAAGTGATGAAAAATATAATGGATGAAGCCGCTAATGATCTTGAAGTTGAAAATAGCCAGAAATAAAGGAGCTGATGCAGTGATCTTCAACAAATAAATACACCGATAAAGTCTTTTCCTTCATTAAACTTTCACGGTGATACAACCAAAATGTCGAAGTGAGGACACAGAGCGGTTGACAAGTTAATGATGTCGTGAGCTTAAGAAACAGAAAAACAAGTAGATTTTGTAGCAACAAGATGTGTCCGACTAGCGGCTGTAACAACAAAGTACGAATAGTAGCAGTCGGGGTTGTTAGCCGAGGAGGAGGTACACTTTCCATGTTGATTGAATTTGCTGAAGTTTTATTCATTTTCTTAGATTTGTATTGCGATTGAGTTAACCTAAATTTCAATCCATGCTTTTAGTTCATCCGTTTTATTGAAATTGGTAACTAGCACATTGTGATGATCTTCTGTTGAAATAGTTTCCGTGCAGATTGGTGGTTTACCAACAAAGGGACCAGCAGGTCGTGAAAATTCATGAGAATGGAGATTCAATCTTTGCTTAAAAAGCTTTTGGATGTAAATAATTTAATGAGTCAATGTGTAGCATTTGCTGCCTCTGCTACTTCAGTTAATCACAAATTGGCAAGAAATAGGGGTATACTCCAAGAATTCAATCACGTTTTCCTCTTAGCTTGGGATGTTTCATGTTTAGTTATACCCTGCCATGCTTAATTACACTCTGTCATGTTCTTTCTGTATTTGTTGTATGGCCTCTTATGCACAGTCCATCTCCTCTTAACTTGATACCTTTGTTTTTTGTAATAAAATTAATTTCTATAGGTTCGAACACATGTATTTGTAATCTAGATTATCGCATCAGGTAGGTGTTTAATTATAGAATAAAATGAGAGATGAAAAATACAGGTCAAGCGCCCAGGAGTTTGAGGTTGAGCATGCAGTGAACAATCTTAAATCGAGATTATGTCGGAAAATTCAAAGGCAGAGGAGCGATGAGTCTAATGTTGACTCTGACTCTGTTTGTACTTCAATTTGTAAATTATCATCCCCGTTCATTTATCAAGCAAGATTTGTGTATTTTTTTATGCAGTAATCCCCTATTTCTAATTATTTTGTCAAATGTACAAAGAAAAGCATAAATCAACATGTCTACGAAAATTTGTTTCCCAAATTTCTTCTGAGATGTGGTTATTTTACTTAAATATTGATAACTAGATGATTTAATATCCCGATATTTTGAATATAGCTGTAATTTGTTATTAACTGTCGGACATGTACAGGGTTAAGAACAAAGATTATTTTATACTAATTAGTGTCGTTGTTTACATGTACAAAATTCTACATCATTTTACTCTGAAACACAGGCACTCCCCGAGCATTCGTCCAGAGCAATTATATAAATACATATTCACAACGTATATAATATTTAGTGGCAATATAAATATTTAGGGGCTCGCCCGGGCATCCGCCCGGGCCAAGCATCTAGTTATTACTTAATGGGGAAATAAAAGCACACGTTCACCATCAATGTTGTGCTTCTCCGATGGATAAATGGAACTAATTAAACTTAAAGAGCTACTACAACTAAAACTGCTCCATCCCACGTCTCTCAAATAGAAACTGAAATAAATCACTAATAAATTGTAGAAGACTCGAGAAAATATATATCTAACACAACGCAATAGCCAAAGTGAAGCCCGTCAAAGCAAAATCAGTTCCGGTACTAAGATAACACCATGACAGCGCAAAATTTCACAGAGCAGAGAAAGGCATTTCGGAAGAATAAACACTGAGGTTTTAATATCTAGAGATGTACACAATTGCTATGCCAGAATCCAGAGACTGTGATCGAGGTTTTTTTTTTTTTCTTTTCTTTTTTTTCCCCTCCATGATAATCTGTTTTAATTTGTTATAGGAATATAAATCTTCTGCAATTACTTATTTTATATTCGTCAATCTGGTTTTATGATCATCCCTTTTTTCTTTTCATTTTTTTTTGACAAACAACAAACTAAACAATGAAATTAAAGAGAAGAGTTATGGGGGCAATTACATTCGGTTTCTTTAGAACGAACTAAAAGCAAACGTTCTCGGCTAACTTTACAGTCAATTCTCATCCATGTTTTTGGAAAAACTATACATCGCGTCTTCTTGCCTTGATTTAACATGTCACTCGTCGACATGTCATAGATAAATAATTATTTCTTCTTTGTTCAAGTTCTGTTTAGGGAAGATTAAGTATTTTTGAAATGGATGCAACATGTCTAATCTAAAAGGGAAACTATGTATGAAAGATATACTTTCGTTTTTCTTTTATGTATGCATCTTGAAATGTTATAAAGGAAAAATTTAGTCCCAAAGAAAAAAAAAGTGAAATAGTCTTCTATTTTGACATGCGCTAATATTTGTCACTGCAAAGGTTGAACATGCATTTGAGAAGTCTAAAGTTTAATGTACTCTTACACTGCTTTTTAAATGTACTTTTGGTCTATGAAAGGATAATTAGATTATTTTCTATTGAGAAAATGTATTTGTCAAAGTCTTCCTCATATGTTTTATGAAACACTTTTTGCTTTTATTGACTGCAACAGTAAGTTTATGAACCCAAAAAATTAAAAGGAAAGGTAAGTTTTAATTTGGGTTCAAGTCTACCGTCAATAATTGTCAAGAAAATTTGTCTATGTTCTTCATTTGTATAAGATGGTAACACCTGTGGGTTATTGCATTTTATGTATTCTAAAGTGACGCCTCAATACAGTTCTGAACTTTATCGTAAATCAGATAGCTAAACATTGACTTTTTACTCTCCGATGAGAGCTGTTTAAGATGTATTAAAAGGTAGAAGTTGAATCAAATAACTATTGTATATGAAAAGCTTAAGCCAAATTCATAAAATGATTGGTTTAGCATGTTTTTTGGTCTTTCTATTTATTTGTCTTGCAAAAACTTGGGAATTTTGTGAAAATAACAATATTTACTACTGCCATTTTTCAATTCCTTCAAATTTATGTTGCCAACTTATCCATCTTGTGATTCTTGCCTCTGGACTAATGTGTTTCTTAAAGCTATTGTACACACAACATGCTCGAAAATCTTTACGGTGACCATTGGCATTAAGTGAGGCGACATATCTCAGAATGACCCTATAAATGTACCAATGGGAGATGAAATTTATTTCTTAAAATTGTTAATTTTCTTGGTGTTCTCTGCAAATATTGGACCCGTGCGAAAGATTGAACATGGAAAGTGATATGATGGTCAAAATTGTTCTTTTGGCTGCACCAATACAGTGTAAGTTAGTTTATTGTTGATGTGGTGAATTGATTCGGTGTTCCTTCCCCTCTTAATTTACTCTTGTGTTTGAGAAATGTAATAATAACGAGTTGTGCTGATTCTTGCAACAAATTGAGCCATGATCAAAATAAATTTTAATGAACAATTATAACTTAATAATCAGTTGGTAGAGAAATAACTTGAAACTTTTTTGCAACTGTAGGAGAAAATGAGAAATAAAACTTTATGAAAAATGAAATGGTCCTTCAATAAGTTAATGGAGCCTAAGAAACAAACTGTGAGAGCATGTATGCAGGAAAAACACGGATATTAAATATTAAGCTTCATAAGATGTAAGATGTTTGTTTATTTTTATTTTCTTTTCACAAAAGATGTAAGATGTAAGATTCATAATATAATATACACTATAGTTACTTACCTACCCGTGTGAACGCACGGGTCTTAAACCTAGTAGGAGTATTATAATTTAACCTGTTGAGTTAGAGTAATTTGTTATTATTTATTCAAAATTTTGGGTATTTTCTATGAAGATTTATTCCATTGAGGGTTAATTTTTTTTTAAAAAAAAAATTGAGGGTGATATAATAATTTTTCATTGGGAACAAAATCATTTGGAGAAAAGGGGAAAACGAGAAACAATTTGGATAATGAAAAGAAATTAAAAAAAAAAAAAAACAACGTTGACCAAAGGTCAAAGGGATTCCAAAACCTATATATAAAACCACAGCGAAGCCGACTCAGCTCTTCTTCTTCGTCACAAAAAAGAACCTGAACTGAAACGCAACCTTTTTCTCAATTATATTCATCTTCTACGAGAGAGAAAGAGAGCGAACACACTAAAAAACAATGGCCGGAGAAAGCATTTCTGCTAAAAGATGGCTTCCTCTCGAAGCTAACCCTGATGTTATGAACCAGGTTCCTCTTTCAATTTTCTTCTGAGGGTTTTTCTTTTTCTTACATATAATTCTTTCAGTTCGTCGATTGGGGGAATTCCGGGTTACTTGAAAATTGATTTTTTTTTTTTGTTTTAATATCCATGTTTATTTTTTTATTATCTTACGTCTCCCTTGGTAATGAATTTTATTGATGCTCTGAGAATTCCCGAAAGCGACTTTGTTAGGAAAATTTTTAGTATCTTGTGTTAAAAGATCAGTGTTTTTATGCTTAGGCTCTTGGCTTGGGGAACTATTTCTGCTAGTGGGCTGTGTTTGAATACCTTAATTGTGGAACCTTCCTCATTTTAATTTTAGGCAAATGTATATATAAATGCTTTTTTGATTTTTTAGATGATTGGTATGTTCCCTTTTCAAAATTTTGCTTGCAGTTATAAACTTATCTGTATAATTGGGAAGAGGAGAGAAGAAAGATCAGCTACTTACTGATTTTATTTTTTTTCCAGTTCCTTTGGGGACTTGGTGTCCCACCTGATGAGGCAGAGTGCTATGAAGTTTATGGATTAGATGAAGAACTCTTGGAGATGGTTCCGAAGCCAGTGCTTGCTGTTCTGTTTCTTTACCCCATTACATCATTGGTATGTTTGGTGATGGGGTCTTATCTGTCTAATTACCCTGAATTTCGGGCTTCTTTGTGTTTATGCCGATTTCAGATGTTTAGAAAAGACTCCCAAGAGTTTTTTTATGGATTTGTATGTGTATTTTCAGACTGAAGAAGAAAGAATAAAGGAGGACAGCAAACTTAAGGTGAGGCTGGTAGAGTTATCTGGTATCTATTCCTGTGGTTGCATTTTTTTAAATCCAAGAGTTTTGTTTATGAGTTTATATAATTCTCTTGAGATCTGTACTAAAGAGAATTTACAAACAAGGGTTTCACCGTACACTAGCATTTGCAGCTGATTGCATCCGTAACTGCAAACGGGATCATCTTCAGGTCAACTGACTTCATTGTGTTGGCCATATCCTTATTGTGGTGGAACACATCAGTCACTTGGCTTTTGCATAGCCGCGTTTTGGCTGAACTATTTTCTTCCTGTCACCTCTAGATTGAAAAAAGGAGAATCAGGAAGCAAAATTGACTCTTAAACCTGTTATCTGAAAAATCCACCTCATCGTAAAGACCAAGAACGTGCTCATCTGATGTTCTACTGTTGATAGAAAAGTTTTCTCCCTGACTTCTTTTTGGAAAGACTCCTTACCTTTTTTCGTAGCTGTGTAGCTTTTCTTCATGTGTTTTTCCCCTGGTATGAATGTCAGTTAGAACCACAAGTTTTATGCCTGCTCATCCATTCTAGTTACACTGAAAAGTGGGAGGCATCACTGAATCTACTTGCAGGATCCTGCAACTGGAGTTTACTTCATGAAACAAACTGTTGGAAATGCCTGTGGAACTGTAGGGCTTCTCCATGCGGTTGGTAACATGTCTTCGGTGATAAAACTTGGTGAGTTCAAGTTTTATTTATCAGTTTTTACCTTTATTACATGAATACAGCAACAACCCTTGCAACTTATCTTCTTTGGAATCTGTTGCATTGGTTTATGGCTTTGGCTTTTGATTTCTTTCACAGTTGAGGGCTCATACCTGGACAATTTCTTCAAGACCACGAAAAACATGGATCCGTTAGAGGTCGGTCTGCCTCTCTCTCTCATTTCTGTGTATGTATACACAAGTAGACGTAAACACTCCCCCGCTCCCCCAACATACACACACAGTGGCTAGGAAGTGGGGGCTGTTAGGTCTTCTGGAAACAGATACACTCACTTGATTGGCTTCTATTTCTGAATGGATTTTGCCTTTTGCAGCGTGCAGTGTATCTTGAAAATGATAGGGAAATGGAAGTTGCTCATTCTGTTGCAGCTTCTGGTGGCGAAACAGAGGTCAGGATTTAGGAAGAAGCACTACGTTTTAGTTGAATTTACTTTTGAGTTATCCTTTTGACATCATTAGGTCCTATCTCTGAGTCATTCTGCATTAATGATTCTATAGCTGAATCAGGGTTATTTATTGGGCAAATTTTCGTGTTCCGTATATGTATTGGGGGCTTTCAGTAACACAATCTTCGGAGGAAGGAATAGAGCACAGTATAACTCTGGTTGCCAGCTATTCTGTCTTATAGATTATATACTTCAAATTGATGTTTTTTCCCTGTACATGAAAATCTTTTGCTGCAAGTCCATGCCAAGGTTCTTTTTTCCCGCTCATTTTTCCTTCATTTCTTCTTCTTTAAACTGTTTAAACTAAAATTGTATTTGGCCACTTTCATTTTTCAGGCTAGAGATGATGTGGACAACCACTTTATCTGTTATACATGTGTGAATGGTAATTCCTGATCTCTGCCTCCATTATCTACCTGACTCTCCCATTATGTGTTTCTCGTGCTACATGCTTAGATGTTCCTTTGTAGTAATTTTCTCTTTTAAAACTGTGAATGAAAATTTAGAATTTAGATTTTTGAAGCAATTACCATGCAAAGTGATCCAAATGCTTGCTAAAATGTTTTGGCATCGCTCTGCGACAGATTTACATGCCCTATACTTTCACAAGATTTACGTTCGTGTTATAAATTCCTCAGCTGTTTCATCTACCATTAAGCGAGCGTCTGCCCTTTTGAGCTGAATGAGTTCAGGGCTTTTGTTAGTTTATAGTGTCAACACTTTCTTGTCAGTTTTCTGGAATGCTATATATACTTGTTTCTGGAGATCAGATAGGTTAACAAGGGAGCTTGGATTGAAGCCCGCTCCAGTGACTAATACGTGCTTTGAAACTAATGAATAGTATAAGTACCAAGCTTTTGATGTTAATGTCAGCTAGGTTAGCTAGTAAAGTTCATTATTCGTTTTCATGATGTGCCACATCTACTTTCCATATTAAGTATGCCGCTTCAGGTGTTGTCAACTCAGACCCGACATGATAGAATATCATATTCTTTGCACCTTCAAATTATTCAGTTGCATCTCATTCTCTTTTCAGGGCAACTTTATGAGCTTGATGGAAGAAGGTCAGGACCAGTCTCACATGGTTCATCCTCCCCAGACAGTCTGTTACAGGTAACTGATTTTTCATTTCTAGAGTTTGTTTAGAGGATACTTTGGAGAGAAACATTGGACCAAATTTTGCTTTGCTGGGTAGTTGAAAATTAGTTAAGGAAAGGCTAATATGAAGTCAATTTCTTCTTCATCACAAAAACTACTTGCTCCTGAATTTGTAGTGGTGTAATTTGAATTCTAGACGTTGAATGAAGCTGTTTTAGGATACATATAACCAAAATTACAGCAAGACCAAGATATCCTCAGTTACAGGGATACACAATCTTGCGTGCATTGAATATTAGCCAATGTTCCTTTGGTAGATGTTGTCCTGTATGCCATATTGTGTAGATTACGATGTTGTCCTGTATGCCATATTGTGTAGATTACTTCTCTATCCTCCGTGCGTTCATGGCCTGATTTTTCTGCTCCATAGATACAGCTAGTTATTTTTAGTGCAGATATTAAATATATCCGTTAATTGTTTGCAGGACGCTGCTAAAGTGATTAAGAAGATGTTCGAACAAAACCCAAATTCCCTCAACTTCAGCGTGATGGCCATCTCCAAGAGAGCTTGAGCTGAGCGGAATGATGGAGTGATGATGGACCTTTTTTGCTTGAGACTTCTAATGATTAGATAGTTTTCATTTCAGAAGCAGCATTTTACTGTACGAATAGACTGTCTCGCTACTCTGTTTGATTTTCCATCTCTCAGCTGAATGATCCTTTCTAACAGGCGATGGAATGATCCTTTCTAAGAGGCGATTGAATGATCCTTTCAAACAGGCGATGGAATGATCCTTTCTAAGAGGCGATTGAAAAGCAAAGCAAATAAATCTAGTTTATGATTGAATGATCAGTGTTAAAAGCAAAAAAAAAAAAAAAAAAAGCCGCGGATTAAGATACAGTTATCAAGCAAATCTGAATTAGTACGAACCCAAGCCGAAAAGTTGAAAGAGAGAAACAATAATGTACCATTAATTAGCAACAAGCGAGGAGGACAACACAAGTACATAGAGAAATCCCTCTCACGAAAATACAACAGACGAATGGAACACCACTTTCTCTGGGGAAGAAATGATGATCTCCCACACACAAACACCACACACAAACACACACACACACACACACACACTCAAAAGTACAATCAACCTGAAGAGTCAACCAAAAACACCTTGCAAAGTCTAATTATTATTATGATCACACCCAGCTGCAGGATGTGGTGTCTAGATATCTTGGCTGCTCTTAATGTGCTGCTGAGTCTGATGCCCGTAGTGCTCGGCTTTGTCCCTCATCTCTTTAGCAGCATGCGCAATTCGGTCTTTAGCCCTGTCAATCTGGTCTGCCCCAATGGGATGCTTCCCCGTCGCGTACCGATACATCCAGTAGAACAGAAAGCTGGCCGTAGCCCCAAGCCCACCTGAAGTAATCAGCCCAGCTGTTATCAGGAACAGGGTTATCGCCGCCGGAACCAGCACCGGGCTAAATATCACCAAGAGGGGTGTCAACAACACCAGCCCGATCACCGTACCGGTGAGTGTCAGGCCGGAGAGAACCATAAGGGAACCCCCCAATGTGACCGCCGTGGTGGTCTTGGCCACCTGGTGAGACAATTGTTGCGCCTGAGGCTGGTGATGGCGCTGGAATGGCTGGTCAAACCGAGGCTGATTCTGAGCCATCGTGTTTTTCCTTTCTGTTTTTTTACAAAATGACGATATGATAAATCAGAAAACTGGTGAGGTTTTGGTTCGGAACAGTAAGTATTGTGGGAGATGTTTGTAACGTTCCGGTTTAAATAAAAAAGAGGTGGGAGTGTGGAGCTTTTGCATGGGTGTTACGTGTAACTTGATGGTGCAGAGAGCGTATGAGTTGGAGGTGGTGGGTTCTTGACACGTGTGTGCTTGTTTTTTTTTTTTTCTTGAGACTACTAATAATTACTAAAACTAGATTACCATGGGCGGGCGATGAGATTTCTGGAGGTAGCTTAAGGTATGTTTGTTTCGTTTTTTTAGTTGTATTTTAGGTATTTTTTTATTGAAAATTTAAAAAAATGTATTAAAAATATAAAAAGAAAAATATTAGGATGGAACAGTTATTATTTTATTAATTTTAAAAAAACCATAAAAAAATTAAACAAACGAAGCCTAAGTTATGGAGGAAGTTTTCAGCAATAAAGTTGAAACATATATTGATGCATATCTGTAGAGAGAGGATTCATCATGGATGGGGGATGAGAAAATTAGGAGGCTGATGATGATGTGTTGCAATTAAAAATTGGCGTATATGGAGCAATAATACGTATGTACGTAACCGGATATGCTTGATTTGATGTCATCATCATCATCCTTCCCACCGATCATCAAATTGGATTAGGAATGCGAAAACTAGTAAATGTGTTAGTATTTTGCCATCTACTACGTACGAACATTTAGTGGGCTTTTTAGTGAATGGTGAAAGGGACAAAACAAAATAATGAAAACATATATTAATTGCTGGAATTGTTTTGTCATAAATATGGGTTTTGATTTCACCCCCTCATCTCTTTTTTAGTACACTGATTTTATCTCCAGTTTTTATCTGATACTACGTCCATATACGAACCTCATCCCACTAAATAAAATATCTGAGAACTTAGTGTAAACAACCTCAATAGCACAGGTAGGTAATTATTAATATACAGGTACGTACCACCGTTAAAAACCTCAAATAGTTTTTGACCATTTCTCCCTAAATTGTGTTAAAGCTCTAGTGAATACATTTATGTCATTTGACAAAAAGGAAAGCTTAATCGCATTGGATTATGTTGAGATTTAAAATAAAAAAAAAAAAAAAAAAGATTTGACATGTCAATCCAGAGACTTCCCAACAGGATAGTAGTTACAACCTTAATTTGTGAAATATTACAAGAGACAGATATAAACTTAAACTCCATGTGGTCGATGGTCCGGAGGATAAATAAAAAGTTTAAAACTGCCATTTTGAGACTGTTCCTGCAGCTTCAACATCTGTAATTTCGCGCCTGAAGCAGCCACCGTTGGATTGTTGCAGTGAAGAACAACTGATTTCAGGCTGGAAATGTTAGCCAAATCCTGTGGCAAAGCCTCAAGTTCATTGCAATGCGCCACATGAAGACACCTGAGTTCCGGGAAATGATCTGCCCAAGTCTCCCATACAACCAAATCCGTGTGTCCGATTTGCAAGTGATTCAGAGACAAGAAACCTCCCCCTTCCGTCTTCCAAAACTTCCCTTGGAATGCATAAATCTTTAACTTGAGAACCTGAAGACATTCTAGCTTTCCCAATGTAGACATCTCCCTCCACTCTAGTAATGTGTTTTCAAGAGTGAGGCTTTTTAAATTTTTTGGAAAGCTTTCCTCTGGGGGAAGTACGCATGAAATGGAGTTCATATCATCATTCAGCAACTTCAAGTTCTCCAAGCATTCCAATCTGCCAAGATTCTTAAAAACACTGGATTCTCCCTTGACCCCGAAAAGCCTGTTTAACTCCCCGAATATCCCTAGCTTCTTGAGTTTTGGTGCCTGATCAAAGACTTCTTTTCTGCAACTTTCAGGAGAGATGGTGGACAGTGTTTGGATAGTCTGCTCGGTTTTGTTGTTTCCTGCTTCTGGGGGTGGCAAAGTTGCACATGAATTGGTATGCAGGTGTCTGAAATGAGGCATCTTCCATATGTTTGCATTGATTGCTAGGGTTGGAGATGATGTGTTTACTATAAGGGTTTTCAAGTCTTTCATGGTAGACATCACAGGAGGAAGAGTAGTGAAGGTTGAAGAAATGGCTATGTATTCTAAATGAGAAAGATAGCTTAGGTCGATTGGGAATCGAGTGAAAATGAGTGATTCAACCTCTAGCACCTTCAGAAATTTGTAGGCTTTTGGAATAGAATTCACAAATTTTGGCTCCACAATTGTTCCATCTTCCTTTGGAAAAGTTAAGAAAGAGAGAACACGCCCGTTGCTTGAAGGCCTTTTTGAAATATAATCGCGAACATTGACGTTGTTGATGTAAAGACGAGTATATTGGTGATCCAAAACAACTTCATTATCCTTGGTTATTTCCTTATTTTCTTGCATACCTTTCTTCTTGCAGAACTCAAGTAATGTGTCATGAACTCGACACGTTTTCATCTTTCCACATGATCTCCTCTTTCCAACCATCACTAAGTTTCTGCAAACAAGCTCTTCTAGGTACCATTCCGCAATACCTTCCGAGTTCGGATCTCCTGCCGGCTGTATGATCAAACCTTCCGCAATCCATAACCGAATCAATTTCCATACTGGGATCTCGAAGTCTCCGCGAAAAACCCCGAGATATGTAAAACAAGGCTTCAAGGGGTCTGGCAGGTAACTGTACACAAGCTCTATCATTTTGGTTAGTTGATTATGATCTCTAGCATCACAGTCCTTGATACTATCAGCCACTAACTTCCAGTGCTCACCATTGTATCGATCATGGTGTATAACACCTGCAATGACCACTATTGCCAAAGGTAAGCCGTTGCAATTTTCCATGATCTGCAACTCATATGGCTGGAACTCCTCAGGGAAATTTTCATTGCCAAAAACTTTCCTGCGGAATAACTCTGAGCTCTGATCCAAACGCAAGAAGTCCAGCCTATAAAAAGGAATTTCCGGGTTCAAATTTTTCACCACATCTTCGTTGCAAGTGGTTATTAGGACTCTACAACGCTTGTCGTTGTGGGGAAAAGCAGATTTGAATCTATCCCAATCATCTTCCTTGAGAACATCATCCAAGATGACCAAATAACGCTTCCCTTGTAATTGTTGATGGAGATGTTTGCGTAGTTGATCTTCAGGCATCTTTTTTACATCATCTTTGATTTTTCCAAAAGAACTCAAAATCTTGAGGAAAACCTGCCTAGTCTCATATTCTTTTGATACATGGACAAATGCTCGAATCATGAACTCATAATCAACATCCGGATGTTTTAAAACCTTTTTCGCTAATGTTGTTTTCTCATTTCCTATCTTTCCCACAATAGAAATCACCTGGAATTGTTCAGATCCTTTTGCAAGAAGTTGGCTCAAATCTTCAACTGCTCTATCAAACCCAATTATTTGCTCTTCCTCTATCTTAGGAGCCTTTTTAAAAAATTAAAAAAAAAAAGAAAAGAAAAAAAACCATTACTCGACAAGAAAATTTAAAAAACAAGTAAACAACATAATGAATGGAGGTAATACAAAATGTAGTCCCAACTCTAATCTACTATACACAGATCGCATAAGTAGTCTATGTTGAAAGACTTAAAAGAGAGAAATTGAATACCTCCTTTGTATTACACTGTTTGTCACATTATTTAAATGGTTAATTAAATTAAAGGTTGACACTTGACACAAACATAATTTTTGTTCTGCCGGAAACATCACACGCCAAAAGTAGAAGAGTCATCATACTACTATAAAACAATATATATAACTTGTGATCCAACTCTGTTTCGTAGAAAAAGATTAGTTGATATTCAATACTTAATACATATATTGGTTGGCATGTCATTTGTCTAGTGCAACCATTAATCTAAACTTTCATGCGATTAAATTTATAGATTTACGCGGTTTGGTTTTTTTTTTCTCTTCCGTAAAATACCTTCGGCACACATGAAATGATGAAACGAATGGAAAACCACTTAACAAACAATGAATGTAATAAATTACTGTACACTTTGAAATTTCACTTTTAGTACAATTTGAACTAAAAATAAAAATCCAAATTGGACAATAATTATGGGACGGAGGGAGTACCTAATAATCAGGCTCATTACAAAGTCACCGTTCTCAGATAACCGACACTTTCTTCTCTTTTTTTCCTTTCGCATGCCTTGTGTAACTTACGACTAATTAAATATACTACACAGCAAGGTGATAATGAAACTTGAGAAAAGACCAAATGCCATATGAAGTTTTTTCTATAAAAGTCTACAAAGTTGAAGGACACAAACGCATGTTGTTCTCATTTAGGAGTAAGAGTAAATTAAATCGTATCATCAGAAGGCGGAGACTTGGTATTATGATGAAATCAAAAGTCAAATAACAATTTAAAATAAGTAATAATTAAAATGAAGAGGTAGAGCCTTTTATTAATATTGGGGTGGGAAACGCAAAACAGGGTTGACCAACCTTTTTAGACTTTTCAAGTCGATCACGGTGGTTGAAGTTGAACAATCCATGAGGTTGCAGCACCTCGTAACCACCGCCGGGGACGGCAGCATCATTCATCAGTAGTTCCATATTGTGACTCCCAGCTCCGTCTTCAATCCATGTCCACGCATCCGAAATCGTCTTTCCTGGAAACCCAGTCATATTTGAATTTGGGGGAAATCCGGAATCCCCAGATTCTCAGTTCCCACCGGCGGCAGATGAACAATATTCAAATTAATCTCCGGTTCCCAGCAGAAAAGCTACAAAACTCTAGAATGAATCCGCAACAACTTACAGGAAATCTGTGTGTGTGTGTGTGTGTGTGATATATCTTTCTGTTTCACTGGCGCTCTCAAAAACGATGTGAGAGCGTTGCTATTTATACAGCAGATCTATAATAACTAACTATAATCTTATTTTAGTTTAAAAAAATCTACAACAAATCGCACTAACACTGCTACTAATTTTTTGGCTTTGGAATTTAAGAAATAAAAGTGAAATCCTTTTTTATAAAGAAGAAGAAATTAAAATGTAAATATATATCTGGAAATGAGGTTGCCCTCCTCTCCACTCCATTTATAAACAAATGGTTTTTTTTGTTTTTTTTAATAACAGCAAGAGAGGTGTGGAGCTTCCTCCTTTTTCCAGATGTAGGAGTAGTAGTTAACATAATCAGATTCGTTTTTCAGAGAAAAGAAAATAAAAAAAAAAAACACCATTTCAAATCTTCATTTTTTACTCCTTCCTAGTTACGCGTCTGCATTGAATCAGTATTTCTCTTGAGGGCATTCAAACTATCATTTCTCCCGTGTAACCAAACTTATACTTTGTTCACCAAGAATAACTAATTAGCACCAAAAATCTATGTCAATGTATGTAAACTTATACTACACTAAATTTTTATAAATCAAACGCTCTCCTAACCACTTTTTCTTTTTCATTTATTTATTGTATTCTTATTATTGTTAGAGAGTCTAAGTCGTACGCGTCTTATTATTATTATTATTATTATTTCCCCTCTCCTCCTTGCTTGTTTTTCTTGATTTGAATTGCAACCTACCTTTCTTTGCATGTTGTAGTTGGAAGTTCTTCAAGCACCTGATGGACGGAAAGAAGTGTTATAAGCGTGGAGTCGTCCTCCACTAAACTAGGGCACTAGGCTAGTAATAGATTTCCCTCCCCCAGACTCACACATATAATAGCCTAAGTGCTTATAATGATTGTATTAAAAAAAAAAAAAGGAATGTCCAAAATTCCCTTTTATTAGCATTTTCCTTATCGTATATATTACTATACACTTGGATCATTACTTTGTACTCGTATTGCACTTTCTGTTTTATCAGTTTAATACTGAGAAATGATAAGCGATTCGTGATTGAACACTTGTTATGTGCGTCACATTAATTAAGATCAATATTCATCAAATGATAAAATTAAAAAAAAAAAAAAAAAGCTCTAGATCTTATAATAGCACATGTATGTGATTAAGGATTCTATAGTAATTGGCTAACTTCCAAGATTTGTTTAGTTGTGTTGCTTTACTTTTTCTTTTTTCTTTTTTTCCTTTTAAAAGTAAAAGTAAGTCTTAAATTCGCATATTCATCACTAACTTTAAATTCTTTCATTTTTTTTAATCCTTAATTAAAAATTAAGATGCTGGATTACACCTTATGACATTGTTTATGTTTTTTTTTTCCTTCCAACTTTTGAAATCTTTTAATACCACCATACCTCCTTACCAAAGTAATAATAATGTAATATTCTTCATGGCTAAGTAAGCTTCATTTGTTTAGGTTTTTTTTTTAAGGTTTAAATGAAAATAAAAAAATTCCATGATGAGTTCAGATTAGGCAAACCATAATAACAGTCAGACATAATAATTCCTTAGAAGTAGCTGTAGTAGGATGGGTGAAAGATGGGAGAAAGAGTGGGTACAAAGTATGAACCATTGATGGGGTTTGGGCTCTCCATAGGGAGATGGCCTGCCAGCGGGCCAAGTGTCAAGCCCAACATTTCTTTCATGCATATTGGCAGAGTAATTAAGTGGATGGATTCTGACTTAATTAAGGAACAAATTACATGGTCTTTGGTTCGTTTTAATTCATCAAATCAAATTTTAGGAAAAAAATCATCCGCGATACAACCCTTTGAATGGTAAGTAGGTTGTTTTTTGTCCACAGTTAGGAGTATATGTTTTGGAAAAATAATCTATTTTGTTTGCACTGTTTCGTTCAATAAAATACATTAATTTTTTTTTTTTTTTGAAACGTATAATGATAAAAACTATTGAGGTACCACAATGATTTGTTTTCAAAGGATTGGCAAGCAAGAATGTAATGTAACATGGTTCTACATTAATTTTATCAAGCTAAACCGAACACAATTCTTCCTAATATACATACACACAAAACAAATCATGTTACATTCTGATACATACAAATCCGCACATTAAGTCTATTAACTCACACGGCTTGATATGGTTTGATAAGAACCGTATTTCTTTTTTGATACTGAAAGTTGACAAGGTTTTTGAGGTTCAACAACGGTGGCGACAATTAATAATAATAATATAAAAATCCATGAATTAGAATGGAAACGGGCAGGTAAAATTGGCGGGACTAACAAGCCGACCACTCTTAAGGAATTCAATACAAGCAAGTACCTCAGTACACCCTTTCCACTCTACCTTAGCCCTCAAAAATGGAGGAAAAAACAGCCAAAAACTTGTATACATCACAAAAGCAAGCGTCAAAGGCCCAGACACAATTCCAGGTACCCCACTAATTCTGCCCTTTAGTGCTCTTTTGACCACAATTTCAACAGCCAAAGCCACCCCGTGAAGAAGGAAGAAGCACAGAACTTCCCCGTCGGGCTTCAACCTACCAAAATTGTAGAAAACCAGCTCGTGCATTAGCCCAGACACCACGAACGTTGCAAGAACGGCTGGTATGGCAGCCCAGTCAGAGCCCAGGACGCTCTCCGAGATCAAACGGACCGGATCATACACTGTGGGCCGTAAGATGTTGGAGACCATCAGATTCCATCTCCTTCCCCAAAAATCTTGGAGTGAAGTGGCCAAATATGGTTGGTTAAACGGATGCTCTAACTCGACTCGAATCGTGGCTCGCGCAAGGGCTGAAACCGATGCCAGAATGATTTCAAGGGTGAAATAAATGTGGAGACAATAGAAAAACCAAATGATCTTTTGCGGGATGAATTGTTTGTAAGCATAAATCCTTATGCACAAAGCCAAAAGTGCAATCTTGATCCAATAGCTAATCAGAGCTGATGATTTTTTGGGTTTTCCGTTAAAATTGTTGATGGAATTAGAAGAAGAAGATTGAAGCTTGATGGGAAGGCAAGCGACGGCAACAAAACGGGAAATGGAAGTGATGGGGGAGGAAACCAAAGGGCCTTTGTTGAAAGCGAATAGAATTAGCTTGAAGCTAGAAAGCCAAGCTATGAAGAAACAAGTTGTGCACCCGAGATTGACGGAGTTTAGATTCAAAGGGAGATAGAAGAAGAGTAAAGCTACCGGAAGTATGGCCAGGCTTCTCGAGACGCCTTGCCGGAAAATCTTGCCGGCGGCGTGACAGTAACAGAGGGATGCCAGGACCGTTGACCATACAAAAATGAAGTTGTTAATCTCACCTTCCAGTACCGCCATTTTGCAATTGGCCTTAAAAAAAAAAAAAACAAATTTCGATCAGAAAGTTGGAAAGTTCAATGTAGATGGAGACCACGTTAATTATACCCTTAAAGGACGCGCAATTTTAACATTGCTTACGGGAAACTAAATCTATTAGTAATAATCAGACATTTATTTCCGAGATGTGTGACAGTTCATCTGACTTATGAATTAGTAGTAGTTTAATCGTTTTTCTTTGGTGAGAGTGTTGAGTTGTGTAAAAGATCCCAAATCACGTTGATACCGACCTACAAGGCTGAACAAATCATATGCTTCTTCGCCACTAACCACAAGGATTCTTTATTTCATTTTTTGGTGTCATCTCTGTGGTGACGGCCACATGATTCTGTACGACCCGGCGTTCAAATTGGAGTATATATTAAGCTGGTTATTGCATTGACTTATGAGTAGGTATTAATGAAAACAAAAAAAAAAATTATGAGTAGGTATTAATTAATAGTGAAGTAAAGAAACATGCATACAACCCAAAAATTTAAAAAAAAAAAAAAAATTTGCGCAAACTTCTCTCATTGGGAGAGGACTAATCTATCTATATCTTTTTATATATATTAAAGGAGAGTTTTCAATCGGACACATGGCGGAAAACTAAATAGGCTAATCCACATGATGTAAAATTAGTTATCCAAGTCCACATGTCGCAACTACATAAATCCATCATTTAATAGTAACTTTTATTTGTAAATCCTTAAAATCTATAAATAACAAATCTTACCGGATTTATTTGTGCAGAAAAATAATACAAGTATTAAAATAAACTTAAAAGGAAAAAAAACAAAAGGAACACCGAATTAATCTAATATAAGTACTTATCTTGATTAGATTTATGTATTACGGAATTAAAGCACTTGAAAAATAATTGGACAGCGAATACATAGGCACTTTTTTTTTCTCTTTTTTTTTTTTATTTGTATCTTATTTCCTAAATCTAAGAATCCAAATTAATTATAGGATTTAAAAATTTAACTATAATTTAAGTATTATCTTGGAATTACTTTTTAAATATTATGACTAAGTCGCCGAAATCCGGTTGGCCGGTCGCCGGCCGGCGACAGTCCTGCAGCAGTGATGGGCGGTCCGGCGGCAGCTGTGAAGGTGGTCCGATAGTGGTCTAAAAATATTATTATTTTATTTAAAATATTAACCAAACAACTTTTTAAATTTTCTTTCAAAACACATTTTGAATCATCTCAAAACCAAATCAAAACAAAAACAAAATGTTGGCCAAACAAGTCCTGATATTCAGGCCGACAGAATGCGTGTAAAAATGTCGAGCATCGGCCGGGAGATTCGAGGCCGACATCGTAACCTTGGACGGCAACAGTCCGAGGCTCGTTGAATGTGATCCAATGTTTTACTCGGTCCCCGAATTCTTCAAAGCATGTCTCAGCAAACACAGCAAAGTCGTTGATGATTTCGGGACTAAGCCATCCTTGATATTTGTCCTCCAATGCCTGAGGAAGATCCCAGTCGTAGATTGTCACATAAGGCTCAATCTCATTGTCGAGTAAAGCGTTGATGAGATTGTTGTAATGATCAACTCCGGCCTGATTCAGTTGCCCTGTTCCATCTGATCAAGAGAAGAAACAGAGGAATAATGATCCAAGTCCAACCCATCAAGATATATAATTAAATCAGTGTACACACTTATATGAAGAGATCTTACTTGGGAAAATCCTGGTCCAGGCAATGGAAAATCTGTAGCCATCCATGCCCATGAATGTGCGATGATATTGAGTCACGGCTACATCGGCATTGCTGAGATCATATATATTTTGCCGTATGAATGTGCGAACTTGTCCCAGATGGTTGGACCTCTTCCATCCAGGTTGACAGCTCCTTCATACTGGTGAGCAGAAAGAAGCTGTCCCGAAGACAAAATCATATGCAGGGCTGGCTCTTAACTGTACGGCAACAAAGTCCTTTGATCTGTTGATATTCAGAATTAATTAGACGATCAATTTCAAAGGAACAAATTAATTAAGACGCGCGTCAACCAATATGTTTTTTTTATAGTATATGGGTAGTTGTTAAGGCCGACAAATGTTCATCGTTACTAAATCATTATTCTGATTTCCAGTGGGTTGGCAAAACCTATTTCAGCAACACAACAAAAGCTCATTTCTTGGTAAATCTCAACTCTAGATTTGGTTAGTATAACTTAATGTTTAAAAATCAACTTCTTCAGGATGATTGGGTGATGATAACAAACATGTAAGTTGTCGTCCTATATATATATATATGGTGACCAAGAAGATTTAACTGTGATTGCATAATGAATGCACCAAACTCATCAATCAACCTTGGACATTAATTGTGTAACATTTTAGGCTTCGCGCCTCTTTTCTTTTCTTTATTTTTTTTTTCTGTAAATGATTAAGTTATCGAACTCAGTCCGATTGACCAAACATAAAATTTAGAAATCTGAAAAAAGAAAGAGTTCCAACCCCAATTTCTTTAACGGTCTGAAAGCTAGTATATATAAATTAGGTCAAGAGTTATAGTTGTGTCCACCAAAACGCCTGTGTCTTTGCTGATAAGAAACAATGGCATCCACCATATCTTGTTGTTCCAAGGCTGGGAAGAGTTTATCCGTGAAATAAAATTCGGTGTATGCCATTTGCCAAAGCATGAAATCGCTTAGCCTTCTGGAATCGCCGGTTCTTATGTACAAATCCGGACTGGGAAATTCAGAGCAGTTTGTTTGTAGCTCTGCCTCAAATGATTTCTCGGTAATGTCTTACACCGACATCCGGCCGTCCTTAATTTTGTTAGCCATTGATTTGGTGGCATCAAGGATACCATGCCTTCCACCACAGTTTAATGCTACCACCAAATGGATTCCTTTGTTGCCTCTTGTGATCATTTCCGCCATCGCTATGCGCTTTGCCTGAGACTCTGGAAGTTTTGAAGTGTCACCAATTACAGATATCCGTGCCTGGCATCTACCAAAAAGTAAAATAATTAAAAAGAGAAGGCACAGTGGATGAACTTTAAATTCGTTAAGAAAAAAGTAACATTCATATAGACTGTGTATGCTTTTTTTTTCTTGTTAGTGAAATAATTCCAAGCGGGCACATACTTCAAATATATTGCTCCATCCGTCCTATAATTATTGTCCAATTTAGATTTTTATTTTTAGTTCAAATTGTACTAAAAGTGAAATATCAAACTGGACAATAATTTTGGGACAGAGGGAGTAATTTGTTTATTAACAAGGAACTGAGAGGATTGCAATAGGGTTAATTTGTTTATGGACCGTTTATCAAATATTATATTAATTTTTCCTTAAAAAAATAATCTATATTGCATTTTGTATTGTTTCCAGTATAATTTTTTTTTAAAAGAAAAAAAGATTCATGTTTCTTCAAATCCATATTAACTAGCTAGGAAAGGAAATTTTACTCCATCATGATGTCAAACCCCCCTCTGGTACTTTGCTCTTCAAAATAACTCATTATGAAGTCAACTTCTTCCTGCTCAAAACCAAATAAAGAAATATGAAAAAGGAATGTAACGAATAGGCTTTCTCACGAAATAATTTGTCTAATTTAAATTTTTACTTTTAATATAATTTGTATTAAAACTGAAGACTTAAATTAAACAATCATTTTTGGAGGGACGGAATAGAAGATCAAGCCAAAATTTAAGGTTGAATTAACATATCATGATTTGCATGCATGCATCGCTAAGAATGTAGGTAAAACATTGAAAACTTACTTTGGGGCGCAGCCAATTCTTATCGGAAAAGCCGAAAATGGTAAAAACTTTGACTCCAATTTCATTAAGGAAGCGAATCGTTTGTCTCATTGGTCTTCCGGTAGCCCTGTAACCCTCCTCCCAGGACAAGCCATTCTGGGCAGCCCATCTCCGATGACCATCGAAAAACAGAGCAACATGCTTAGGTATAAGTTCAGGTTGTAATATCAACTTTTGGGAGGACTCCTTCTGATGATCGTGATTAAGTCCCTCAATTCCGACCACATCACCACCATTCACCTCCTGGGCTGCTGCCTGAATCTTTGAGCAGATCAATCCAGGATGAGCTGCACGATTTCAGCGGCTGGATCTGTAATGTTTGAGGTTTTTGCCGATATTTGTGAACGCGGATGAATGATTGATAATAATATTGGAAGACAAGAGTTTAAGTTGAGGGGGATATTGATTGAGTTTGAAAGGGGAGGAGACGATATGAGTTGGGAACTGAATTGAAGTGCAAGAAGACATCATCATCATCATCATGAACTTAATTTGGGAAGATAATAGTGACAATCTCTCGAAAATATTTACACAACTTAGTATTAATTTGGTGCACCTTGATTAGTAATTACTCCCTCCATTCTAAAATAAGTGTCGTTTTAGCAAAATGGAGAAATTTCAAAATAAGTGTCGTTTCTCACATTTCAATGCACTTTTTGTTAAAAATTTCCAAAATTACCCTCAAAAGAGTTGATGCTAATGGTAGACAATTTTATAATGAGGTTGGTTGAGGATATTTAAGTAATTTTATTACCCTATTTAAGAGTTTCTTAAACTATATGCAAAGTGTAGGACGACACTTATTTTGGAATGGAGGGAATAATATTATGATCACTTACATGAGTTTCTGTTTTTGTACTCAAATCACCGCATGTGATCAATTATAGCTGCCCTTTGAGGGATCCTTTAATTGAAATGACAATTAAGATAGCATAGTACTATGTCCAAACAGCAGCGCTGCTTAACCGGCATATATAGCTCATTAATTAATCCCATTTTGCTTTACGCCATTACTCATGTATCCATCAATTCAGGATTTATTTTAGTTATTATTACATCAAACTTCCTCGGGTTTTGTTTTTTTTTCCTCCTTTGGTACAATGATGAAGGTAAATGCCTAAGATCGTACGTTTCTAGGATAAATTATTCCTATAACATTTTGTTTTAGCCATGATAATACATCACGGGGTGATCTGTCTGATTACTGTAAACCTCCCGAGCCCTGAGCTGCCCAAGAAACTAAATAATCAGCCGTGAAGTGAAGTTAGCTTCCCGACTACGTGTATTAGCCGTCGAAAGCTTGATACGTGAAAATTAATAACAATCCGTCCGTACCACCTCACCGTAACTCTCTTACCTCCCGTGAGTCCGTCAAGGCAGGAAGCCCCCCGATGAGCGTGTGATAGTCCAATACGGGCCCAACAATGTCATATATTGGCCCAATAAATAATTGATAGTGAGGAAATGTATGAGCCCAAACAGAAATCAAACTGTACTAAATTCCAATGAGAAACAGGGTTTAGGTAGTATACAGTGATTAGACGATCCATTTTGAGGTTAATTTAAGTCGTGCCCAAAACATGACCCAATCGATCTTTCTCAGTGATGCCGTATTTTGGTTTATAGTTTTCTTGAGTTCTTATAGGCTACCAGTCTCCTTTTAATTCTTACCAATAAAATAGTTGTGAATGTATCGCGTATATGATTGCAAATACAGTAGATGCCAAGGTAGAATAGGCATTATGCTGAAATCATACCAAGATTTGAGAGCAGATCCAGGATACTTGTGATTGAGAAAATCATGATGGGCATATGGGGTATATTTGTCCACTAAATTAAATTATAAATATGGCTGCACTCTGGGTAATGCAGTCAAATCTTGTAACAAAAACAATTTTGATCAAGTCATAACCGCCAGAATTCTTCGGAATTCAATACGAGTGGCAGCACGCCCTACATACAATGTTAGTCAAGGTCCATGCGTCCTGAGAAAAATAAACCGCATGAGTGAGGAAATTTAAAAGGGCAAAGTCAAAATTAACATCCAAATGAGAACCTGCTGCCAAGTGCAAACGATGTTACATTTATTTGACCCCGACGAAAAGTAAAACTACACCAGAAAGATTACACTTTGCATGGGAAAAAAAAAAGGACTACTACAAAACATACGGTTTATTGTAGTAAAACAATAATGAGAAACAAATTAAAAAAAGATTACATATCGTCGACCATCTTGCTGGTGGAATGAGAGTAATGCAAGACCATGACTTGGCATTCAGTGGGTGGCCTTCCCTCGGAGACGGGGCCGGTGTAAGTGTTGTCGACGGCAATGCCCTCGGCCAGCCGGAAAGCACCGGAACCTCCGACAACGGGGTACTCCCGGTACTGGTGATCTCTCTTCTTGTTGCCCAGGATGGAGAGGGTGCTGCCCTTGAAGTGGCCGTCGGTGAAGACGAAGTTGAGGGTGAGGAGGAGACCGATCTCGGATTGGGAAGCGAAAGTGAAAGTCCCCTGGCAACGCCCGATTTGCTTGGAACTGAGCTCGGGTCCCTCGGTCAAGGGGCTGTCCATGACGTAGACCAGGCCGAACCGGGTCGGGGAGGAAGCGGTGGAGTTGGCGCTGGCGATGGGGACGGTGGTTGGGTGGTCTCCGCTCATGATGTCGTGAATGTAGAAATGAAGCTTGGAGAGATGCTGCTTTGCGGATGGAAGCTTCTTGAACCATTTCTCCACCGCCTCCGGATCCTCAGCAACTCCATGACACACAACAAGTGGGACCAGAAGAAGGAGAATAAGAATTACATTAATGGACATGAACTTCGTCGTCGTCGTCATCACACAAATATTTTTAATTCGATACGTACGTTTTTTGAATAATTAATACTAGGAAAATGAAAAAAAAGTTGGTGATGGAATATATTAATGTGAAGAGGCAAAGGTATACTACTATAATAATGAATAATAATAGAGAGTGAAGATTTATATTAGTAGCAAAAGAATAATAGTAACAGAGAGAGAGCGAGGTGTAAGGAAAGGAGTTTAAGGGGTAATTAAGCTATAGTCAAACATTAAAACGAGTCTTCTTACCGGCAACCCCCAAGCCTAGCTCTAAGCCGCCTACGACGTTACTATCGTTTGTCGTGGTCAAACCTACTTACGTTCGTGACCCCCCCTCGGAATATTCTAAAGTCTAAACAAATAATCTTTTTTTATTATGATTTCTAGAGTTTTTTTTTTTTTTTTTACCTGCTTCTCACCATCACTTTTTTTCTATGTCCGTCTGCAAAGAAAAGGAGAGAGAGAAAAAAAAATAAAGATAAATCAGGAAAGGTACGCTGGTACGCTACGACTTTTTTTTTTTTATTATTTAAAATTGTTAGGCAATTTTCTCCCCATGGCACATTGATTCCAGTCACCACTAACAATACAAAATTGCTGCATTATTGAGCTACTTGCTAGAGAAGATGCATATGAACAAACATCCCCACTTGCTGCCTAATTTATTGAGACCGCCACTTGATCATCATCATAATATTGTATACACAACAAGTAATGACCTAATTACTTAAACTAATTATTCAACTTGATTAATCACTCCAATCATATTGTACTATAATCGTTCTCAATTCTCAATCGGGTCATCCATCAATGTCATTGATGAGTCATTTTAAATATTTGAAATGCATATACGAAGGTGATGCTTTTAATTATACGGCTTACATTCAACAAGTCAATCAAGGTTTTTCTTTTATATATTTATATACCTATACATAATAATCATAATAATAATAATAATAATTCCAGAGACTAGAGAAAATTACGTACTCATATATAATCAATTGAAAATCGAATCAATCTAAACAATGGTTAAAATATGAAATACTCCCTCCGTCCCATAATTATTGTCTACTTTGCCCAAAAAAATTTGTCCCAAAATTATTGTCCAATTTGACTTTTTATGGATCAAGTTACACATTTGTCCTTAGTAAAAAACATTATCCATAAAATCTTAGTGGTTAAACAATTACTTATGTAGGGGTATATCCCATTGTTTAAGGTAAAATATAGTTAAGTTTGACCAAAAATAAAATCTTTCATTTTAGTAAAACTGGACAATAATTGTGGGACGGAGGGAGTAATCAGTATTTGTTACCCACGAAATATACCAATAGTCTACTGTTTCACGTAAACCCCCCGATTTATTTTATTTTATTTTTTACAAAAAAAAAAAGAGCATTTTGAGTGCATTTTGCACTATGCATGATCAACTAGTTTATTTTTCTATTTCTGGCAGAAGAACTATGACCATGAGGCAAGCCAGTTTAATTGCAGGAAATTTTAGGAAATACTCTATCCGTCTCATAATTATTGTCCAGTTTTACTAAAATGAAAGATTTTATTTTTGGTCAAACTTTACTATATTTTACCTTAAACAACCGGATATACCCCTACATAAGTAATTGTTTAACCATTAAGATTTTAATGGATAATGTTTTTTACTAAAGACAAATGTGTAACTTGATCCATAAAAAGTCAAATTGGACAATAATTTTGGGACAAAGTTTTTTGGACGAAGTGGACAATAATTATGGGACGGAAGGAATACTAGAGAGTGAATCGAACCATTTGATGAATTTAATTTTTAACTGGAACATAAAATCTACAAAGAAATTGGGGAAACTGAGAGGCGTTTCCAATAGTAATTTTTCTTACTTTTTTATGTATTAATTAAATAAGGGTGGCAAGCATACATGTACATGCGACCTTGCAACCGATGTTGATAAGTTAAAAGGGATTAAGAAGCGGAGGGAATAACAGTATATCCATGTTGTTGTAGTAATGTATATATATTATGACTAAGTACTAACACTTTAAAGTATATGGAGGAGCAACCACGGTGGCTGTATTTGTCACTTTAACAATTTCAACGTTCATTCAACCCATACACAGCAGCAGCGCGCAAATACAATGTGGTTTAGGTGTTGAACATGCACGCAAGTATGACGATAATATAGAGTATACGGGGACTAGTCATTCATTGAACATGTATGCAAATGAGGTGACACTAGTGTTTATTAAATTAAATTAGAGTAGCGGATTGGACTTTTCTATGAGAGGGGAATGAGTATATTTTTACAACTACATCAAACTTTATTAAAAGTCGTCGAGTCGATGATAGACATCAACCATAACAACACCGCGAAGCAATTACAGGAGAAGATTGTAAAGGGCAAAGACCAAATTAAATAAAGCAGACTCAAATTAAACTGGGATTATACAATCTTAATTGCCAAGCGCGCGCCGTTCACATTTATTCATTTGAAATAAGAAGAAAAAAAAAAGGGACAGAACCTACAAACATGCATGATTGATTGAAAATTTGAAATTGATATCCAGAAGGAAAATAAAAAGAAAGAGAAGATTAGAAGGCGCCGTCGGTGACGAGCTCAATCTTGGGCTCAACATAACGGAGAACAAACACTTGGCACTCAGTGGGTGGCCTTCCTTCAGAGATAGGGCCGGTGTAAGTGTTGTCGACGGCGATACCTTCTGCCAGCCGGAAAGCACCGGAACCTCCGACGATGGGGTACTCCCTGTACTGGTTGTCCCTCTTCTTGTTACCCAAGATCGCAAGGGTGCTTCCCTTGAACGGGCCGTCGGTGAAGACGAAGTTGAGGGTGAGGAGCAAGCCGATCTCCGACTGGGAAGCAAAAGAAAAAGTTCCCTGACACCGTCCGATGACCGTAGAATTGAGTTCCGGTCCCTCGGTCAACGGGCTGTCCATGACGAACACCAGACCGAACCGGGTTGGGGAAGTGGCGGTGGAGTTGGCGCTGGCGATGGGGATGGTGGTTGGGTGGTCTCCGGTCATGATGTCGTGAATGTAGAAATGGAGCTTGGTGAGCTCCCGCTCGGCTGATGGAAGCTTCTTGAACCATTTCTCCACGGCTTTTGGGCTCTGATCGTCTTCAGCAGCAGCAGCGACAAGCTGTACTACTGCCAGAAGCAGCAACGTTGCCATTGCCAAAAGCTTCGCCATTTCTTACCAGAAAAGATGAGAGAGAATAGATGAGATAAATGAAAGAGAGAGTATTTTGAGTAATTGATTTGACTGGTTTTTCCTTTGAAGGGGTATTATTTATAGACATGTATTGAGGGATCAATTATGTAATTTGCTCAAATATATGAAACCTAAAAACATTGTTAATTCATCCTGCCTCGTGCTCAAATTGTTGCCCACTGCTTCATTTATTTAATTTATAGATTTATATTAATTTGTCCGAGGCTAATTACAGAGTGTTTTCAAATTGCTTTAAAGGCTGTGAAAGTTTTTTTTTTCCCCAATACAAAATTAGGTCGTAGATCTCGATCATTTATTTTATTCCTTGTACAGAGCAACATATTTTTTTATGACTAATTCTTTATTCATTTATTTGTCTTTCGAAAATAGTACTTTTTTCTATCCTAATAAAATAATTTTGAGTTTTAGATTTTATATTGTAATTAGTATAAATTTAAAAAACTCATTGTTGATTATTTTTTAGTTTTAGGACAAAGAGAGTATATAATATTCTAGCTTAATATCTTAACCATGGTTTCGTGAAGCTTTTTGTTTCGAAGACGGTGAAAAAAACTTATGAAGAAATTGCATTATGTACATGCAGTTGGCAAAGAGCAAATTAATAATCTGTTTGCTAGACTAGCCATTGAATGTGAAGGGTGAATTGTTATCATCACCAAGTTTGCGTCCTAATTTTTATTGAGTTATCCACTTTTTGCAGTAAAAAGAAAACTGTGATGGAGTATTAATTGTACTTAGTCAAAGAAATGAGGAAATGTCACCATTAAAAAAGCTTCATTTCCTTTTCATTTTCATTACTAATAAACGTGCGAGGTGCGAATAGTATGTGATTGACTATTTGCACTTGTCCTTTTCCCTAATACTCTTAGTTTTTGAAGAGTTGGTGACTAAAAAATGATTCCATTTCCACCAAACCCAACTTATATATATATATATATATATAACACATTTCATAATTGGCGCTTTGAAAGATTTGTTTATGTTAAGGGGCAAAGTTCAATAATCTGAGCATGTGAAAGCCACACATGAACAATTTCAAGCATATACCATAAATCATGATCGTTTTTATTTTTTTTTTGAAAGGGGTGAATCATGATCATAGTTTTCATTGAAAGTCCTTTTTTTCTCTATTTTTTCTCCCTTTCTTTGCCTCTGCTTCATAAACCGAGCTGGGAATTATTAGCTTTATTATTCTGGATGTTTTAGGACAGACCTAATTAGATCACATTTTCAGGATTTTTTTTTTACTCCTATAACTTTTTCTTTTTTTAACTGATCAAAATGTATGTGTACATGTTGTTACGCCTGTCAAACATGAATATCCCCAATGTGGTAAAATGTTAAAAGAGTGAAAAGGTCAAAATAGTGAGGATGGAGTTCAGATTTAGTCGCTAGCGACAACCCAAATTCAAATGACTTAGTGAGATGCACAAAATGGATGATCTTTGTCGACTTTCATGTAGGTTTTTTTTTTTTTTTGACTCGTGCTAATTAGTAATTAGTAATACTAGTATGGTATCGCACAAATCTTAGTCCCTCCTTTTAAAGAAAAAAAATAAAAATTTACTAGTTCATATCAAGATAGAAACCAATACATTATTAATGTGAACTATTCCATCCGTTCCATAATTATTGTCCAGTTTTACTAAAATGAAAGATTTTATTTTTAGTCAAACTTAACTATATTTTATCTTGAACAACCGGATATACCCCTACATAAGTAATTGTTTAACCACAAAGATTTTAATGGATAATATTTTTTACTAAGGACAAATGTGTAACTTGATCCATAAAAAATCAAATTGGATAATAATTTTATGACAAAATTTTTTGGGCAAAATGGACAATAATTATGGGACGGAGGGAGTATTTTTTTTGAAATGAAAGAGTATTTCTCGCAACTGATGCTCTTATCTAAATAATCTAAAGGGAGAGTTCACCGGTCAGCGCCAGTTTCTGTTCCGCCCCCGGTCGGTTAAACCCGGTGAACTCCCTTTCTTCTTTTTTGTCGTCTCCGTCTCCTTCTCAGGCTCTGCTGCTCATTCCGGTTGTCCTTTTGTCTTCTCTCGCCATCACAACTCTCCACAACATAACTGGGACGGCCAAATTGATAGGCAAAATCTCTCCGTCTTTGGTTTCTCTTCTCAAAATTATTCTCTGCTTTTTCTTGGAATCGATGTGAAAATCTCACAACTTCCGGCAGCATTCGGCATCTCTTTTTGGCAGCGGCCGCGTATAGAATTAGCAGACGCAAGGTTAGCGAAGCAGCAACGTTAAGATTAGCAATTTTATTTGATTCAAATTTTATTTGATTTGGTTCAAATCCAGTGTCTTCAGTCTATCCATGTTAAACTAAATTTTGTTAAATTAGTGGGTTGATGATCAGAACTTAGAAAATTTTAAGGTTAGAGTTTAATGGATTTCTTAGTGGTGGGGGTTCGGAACTGGAATTGAACTTGAGTTTTGGTTTTATGAGTTTCACTTGCACACGAAGTGTTCGAGTCTTGTTCTTAACGAATTTTACTCACTGAGAACCCATCAGGGACAAGTATTTGTCTCAATTTCAAAAATTCCAACATGTTTTCAGGTAAGCGTATGCTTATGATTAAGCGTGTGAGACTTGGACCACCACTTTCCTCTGCAGCTTCAGTACTACTCCAATCAATAATAATCATGAATCATCTCTGTGGAGGAGCTGGAATTTGATACCTGTTTGACGCTCTTAAAAAAACAAACTTCTACTTCATTATCTCTTTGTGATCATCGTAACCGTCAGATGAAGAAGCTTCCGGTTTATTATTCGCTCTTCCAAATGTGACCCAGGTAGGTAAGGTTAATTTTCGAGTGCTATTCCAAATATGAAGGCCGCCTTGATTTTAGCCCACTATATTCAGCTATAAAATTCTCTGTCTGTGCTGACCTTTGGTTAGATCTAGAACCGATTGTATGGGTCTAAAAATTGAGTCGAAACAACAACAAATGATTTTTCCTCTTTTGAATGCCAACTACAGTGGTTTTATTGGGTCATTAAATCTTTGTAGTTTGTTACAGGTGATTGATACAAGTAACTTTCAGTCCATAAATCTTTCTATTCTTTTTATTGATTTTTGCTAAGCTTATATTTGGTTTTAACTTCCATAAACTAAAAGCTTGTTCTGTTTCTTACCGTTTAAAAAGTGGGTTTGGTCTAATTGATTTAAGTATGATCTACCTGTTAGAATAATTTTGACACTATATATATAACAGTTTCATTGTGACAACATGTAAGTATATAAGTTTGTAAATTCATAGTTTAGGGAGTTTCTACTCTTTTTATTTTTGTGGGTTTCAGTTGGAATGATTTGCATCTAGATTTGTGAAATTTGAAGTCATTATTTGGTAAATAGAAAAGATGTAGTTTTTTGGCTGAGCGTTGTGATTTTTTTCTGGGAGGTACTGATGGTTTGGCTGCTAATGTTCATCTTCTTGTTTGAAGAAAATAGACTGAAGGTTAAAAGTAAAATTACGACGAGTTTTTACTTAATATTAGAGTGGGATTGTAATAGAGTATAAAGATGGATTATATTTTGGCTTGTATTTTAGCCATATGTTAGGTGTTGGGTTTTAAATCTGAACGAGTGTTATGTGAACTTGACAAAAATATCAACCTTTCAGCTTTAAGATTTTGTTTTCCTAAAGCTTTCGGATAGTTTAAAATTTTCAACATGTAAAGTGTTCGATTTTTTGCCTCTGAAAATGCAATCAGGACATTCAATTCATTAGTTTTCATATTGAGTGGCTGTGGAATAGAGAATCATACCTTGTCTTTAATGTGCTCTATATCTCTAATTTGTTTCTATTTGAACTCTGAAGTGAATATCTGTAAGAAAATTCTCTATCCCCTGGTATTTTTAGGTTTTGTAAGTTCCTACAAAGTGAATTCATGTTTCAAGATTTTTTGAGCTCTTATAAGCACAAATGTTCTAAATTATGATGGTAAGCTTACTGTCAAGTTTTTATTTTTCCCTTTAAGACTATTTAATGAGGACATTTATGTTAGTTCTTTGTTTTGTCGCTGCCAAATGAAGATCTCATGTTGCCTTTGATATATTAAGAGCAAAAATTAAGCATAAAGTTGAATTGGCTTCGAGCTCTGCTTTCTCATGAATTTAGATTGTTCAACTTTGACAATTCAATCAATTTCGCTTTAGTACATTAACTGAGTGTAAATTCTCTGAGTTATTTTCATTTGACAGTTAATGGTTTATGATAGGAATTTCCTGCGTACATGAGGGAGATATTTGCACTTGTGAAGCTGAAACTTTGGCAAGATGTGTAGCCATCTTTGCTCCTTTGCCAGTGATACAGAGGAATGTTTTCACTTCAAACTAGAGTCATCAAAATTAGACTTCAGTTTTTGATGGTACAATCTATTGAGATTATATATAAAGAAGTGACTGAACTTATAGTATCATATGGCATGCTGTATCAGAGTACTTTATTATCTCAAAAAATTTCTTTTACAAAACTCTATTAGTATTGAATTGGCTTTCATTTCCTACCACTTGCAATATTGTTGAGAGATAATTGTAATTTCTAGGAACTATTATATCTTTATCTCAACAGTAACTTATGAAAAAAATACTGGGCTACCACTCCCCTTTCGCTGCACGTGCAGCCCCTTTCCCTAGTTTTTAATTTAAAGGCCCACTATTGATGGTCTATAAGAATAATTCTAATACATTACTACCCAATTTCATTAGACTTCAATTCACAGACTTTTAAAATGTTACTAACCTACGCAACTTTCTGTCGCATTATATACAGATCGTGATAGGAAGGTATAGTTAAACTCAACTTGGATTGAGGGCATCTTTATAATTCTCTTTGTTGCATGATTATTAGTGCACCGTAATAATGATAAAGATATATAATTAATCAAGTTACATATGCTAGTGTCTCTATAAAAATTATTATATGCACTTGGTGTACCGATAAAGATAAATAATTAACAAATTTTTTTTTATCCCCATAAATTTCAATGAACTCTTTTATCTGACGCGCGTCTCGTAATTCTTACTTCACATTTAAAGTTGGGAGTGCCCCTAGCACTAGTAGCTTTTATACAACGGATACTGACAAAAATAAAAAATAAAAATTGAAGACTAATCAATTATGTTCATTTTATGTAAAATAATTAAATGGTTTATATTAGTCAATCTCTATAATCATCAACTTTCTATATAGTATGACCAAATTTGGTACGCGTCGAACTTTGGTACAAATCTTGAGCTAAAATGATGCACTGAAGACTAGAAGTTATAGAACACTCCCATGAACTTGTATTTCTTTCCGTTCTAATTATGAAATATAAATCAATATTCAATTTAGTTGGAATTTGTGCGTTACAATTAAGACCAGAGGAAGTACTAATTTGCCTCTGTCGGACATGGTTCAAAACATAATTAAAATTACTTACAGCAAAAAAAAAAAAAACTTCTGCCAAATTATTTATTCATCATGAGTTGCATACCCTTTTAAAAACAAAAAGAAAGTGATAATAGATTTAATAGTGGGAACAAATCAAAGGCTTTCATCAAAATCAACCCTTAAAAATCGAGTCTTGCCCTAATAGTTACCCTAGTAGTTAAGGCGTTGTGTGACATCCCAAAAATGTACTAGGAAAGGGTTTAGTAAGACGCATATATAGGAAAAGAGCCATAAAACATAATAATCGATCCCTCAAAACAGCTAACCAATCTGGATTTCTTCTTTTTTTTTTCCCAATTTTCATTTTCTTTCTTTTATTTCAGAACTCAAATTTGTGCTCTCTTTTTTTTCTTTTTTTTTTCACGATAGTGCCTAACTCCCAGGTCCCCTATTGGACAAATTGCAGCCTTAAGCTATGGAAATCAAATTTGGAAAGAAATCTCTCAATTTCAACATGTACGGAAACATTTAAGATCTAACAAACAAATTCGAAGAAATACAATAGCTATAGCTCTAATCCTGGCCATCAATCTGTGTTTCTCAACCAATTATTAAAATACTAAGATTACTTAACAAGGAATGAAGCTTACTATTTGGGGGATTTCGATGAATTCGTTAACAAGGATTCTCATCTGCGTTGTTGCTTTGATTTTACTATTGGTTACTCCTATATCCCTGTAGCATGCTTCCTCCCTCGACTTATTGTATGGTAAGGCCATAAGTGAATGGAGTTTCTTTTGATTGTTTAATCTTCCAGAAAAAATGGATGAAGTGAACCTTTAATTGTGAGAACTAATTTAGAGTGGAGATGGGATAATTGATGGTGGACAGAATGGCAAAGGTGGAGCTCGATGTTGTTGTTGTGATGAGAAAAAGAATACAAGGGAAGGGTGAATACGGCTGAGTAGAAAATGAAGAAATTGGAGATGAATTGTTAATTTGATGAAGTGAGAAAAAAGCTAAAGAAAAGGGGCCATGGTCAAAATAAAATAACGAAGAGAAATGGTGGGAATGTGGAATGGATAATGGAGACACTTTCTAGTCTTCTCTTCTTTGTTTTAATTAAATTAAAAACTATTAGTTACTTAAAGATAAGTTCTTTCTTCTTTCTTTTCAATAGACAATAGATTAAAAATCATTTACTTAAAAGATAAATAAGCTAACCTAACTATTCATGAACAATATAACCTGATCAAATTACTCCTTATTTGGTTTTTGGCTAGTTAATAAGACTAAGTAGCTTTAAGCAAAGAATAAAAAGAAATAATAGTAAAAGACTTCAATTACTTAAAATCTATTCTTCCTAATAATGTTTTAAAAGTCTAAATATTTTATTGAAGCTATATTTTATGTTCCTCAATAGTCAAATATAAATAAATCTGGAAATAAAAACATTAATTTATACATAACTAAGTAAAGAGGTCTCAATATTTGGGACCTCACACGTTGTACCTTTAACCACGAGGTTGATGGTTCGATTCCTACCACGAACGCAGAAGCAGGCATCTCAAGGAGGAAGCATGTAGCTGACCAGTAACCAGCTTAAGCAGGCCTGCCATTATCAGTCACGGAGGACTGGACAGTCCGAGCAAGAGACACACGCGAGTACAGTCTCCCCCTATTAATATTACCCTTTTTCCCAGTAGGCTTTACTCCGATTGCAATAGTTTAGGTACTTTTAAAGATCTAATAGGTACGGCCTAAAAAAAAAAAAATCTGAGCTTATCCCACAAGAAAAAGAAGACTTTTTTTCCAAGCCCACGTGACTTGGAAAATTCCAAGAAATAAGTATTAATGATATATTAACCTTCATTTTTAATTTTATTTATCGTGGTCATGTACCTCAGAAATTAAACAAGCTCAATGCCACTAATGAAAAAGGACCGTTTATTAATGTTAGAAAATATTGCACATTTCCTCTGAGATATGTTAACGGCCCACGCATAATTATGATTTTTGTTTTGGTTTTGGTTAGAATTGTTGTTACTAGGGAAAATTTACCATTTTCCATTCCAAATACAGTATCATGTCATGCTTGAATTGCCTTCCAGAAAGAAGGCCCTAAAGAAGTTACAACGGTGACTAAGATCCAAATTTTGATTTGATCCATTAGCTTCTGTTTTGGGTTGATCCAACCGTACACAACCAAGGCATAATGCACACACGAACTACAAAATTCCGGTAGGCTACGCCTCCGTCCAGGATCAGGGATCTCTTAGAACTTGACAAGTTAGAATCATCCCAATCACATAGGGATGTTTTTGTATATCTAAAGCCTGTGGCCTCCATCATATATATATATATAAAAATTCGGGTAGGCTATCTATTCAATACATACAAAGAAGCATATTCAGGCACTATGGGAACTCGGACCCTCGGTTCCTCCAAACATGTATCCATGTCTATCCTGTTAGCACTATGTACAAAGCTAAGGCCAGAATCCTATAGAATTTCCAAGAGCTACATGAAATGTTACTGTGAAAGGAGATCCAGTGACCAACTGTTGCAGTTTTCATCAGCAAAGAATGAGATGCGAAATAGCAATGGAGGTACAGATCAAACATTATCCGGCCAGAATTCCCTGAAAAAAGCTCGTTCAAATTCCTTCTCCTTCAGACGCTTCTCAAACTCTAGCATTTTCCTCATCTTTTTGGTCATGCCCTTATTTTTCCTTTTAAGCTGCAACTGAAAGAAGATATTAGCAACATATTGCTTAGTTGAAACAATTTATTGTTAGCTGTCTTCAGTAACAAATATATTGAATACAATAACCAAAAACGTTTTTTCCACAAAAGCCATACAGTATCAGTATATAAAATGATAACAAAAAGTAATAAAAGCAATGATAGTCAACCTCTAAACCAGCTTTACAACAAGATCGAGGGAACACAAAATAATGTGCCTGTAATACTGGGTTGTCAACAATTCACTATTTGGGAAACACCGGCTAGTCAACATTTGTAATATGATCATGAACGCATCCTTAAGTCAAATACCGCAGTCAAGTTTCCTACAGATCAGATATGAACACAACCTATAACTATCTTGTGTCAGAATTACAAAATAGAAGCAGTTTGTGAGCTAAGAACATTGAAAGAGTTGATCATTCTTAATATGAATAAGGACTCTGCGTACAGGACAAAAACAACATTTAATTAGCTGGCCGCAATATGTATTCATCAAAAAGCCAAAGTTGTCTCCTCAATATTACACTGTATGGTGATCTCAAATTACTACAAAGTTTGCACAATCAAATCTTAAAAGAAAACTTAAACATTATTCTTGCTACTAATTCACCTCAGTAATCATGGAAAGAATAGTATATGAATAGAAGAGGTACATAGAAAATCAAGTGATTATATCGACTAATATTTCTCAGCATAAAAGATTGAAAATCAGAAGCAACAATGATAATGTGCAAAAGTACAAGGAATCAGAGGAGACTAACTAAAATGCAAGAAAAATTACCTTCTCACTATCCTGATCCATAGGATTTTCAGGATCTTTGGACTTTCCCTTGGCCTTTTTAACCTTCTCTGCACCTAATCCTCGCTTATTTGTCTTCATATGAGCCTCCACTGGTTCAAGCCTACCCTGTCAGTTCAAATTCAGAATTCAAAGGCACATCAATCAAAGAAGTAACACTACAATATTTAAGGTAACAAATGCAGGGGAAAAAAGAAAGGCAAGGATGAAAATGAGTGGGATGCAGAATTAGAGGATTTTAAATGGTACTGGTAGTAATTAAGCCCCATTCGGGATAGAATGAATGAACAACACAGATTCAAATGATAGTTTCACTACATATTTCCAAAATTTCCTCATCCGAGTATAATATATGCTACAAAAGCATCCGTGGGAGGACAGTATATGTTCTAAAGATACTACCCAACATGAATCAGTAACGCATAACTAATAATACTATCCCAACTGCTCCGTCATCAACCAAACAAAAATCATGTATCATGATGATACACCAAAAAAAAAAAACCCACACTATATGCAACCGACTGACTGACTGGTAGTTATCAAGGTTGCTAGTTTATATAAACAATGGACCTTTATAATCCATTGGCTATGAGTACAATGGTAGAGAACTCCATCACACAAAAACAATGAATTTCAGCCAGGATGCAACAAGGCACAAATTTGAGGAAAATACAAAGGATCTCTAGCAAGCTAGACTCCTACAGAACCCGAGTAAACATGCTTAAAATGCAGGGTGAAATAAATTCCATGAAATAGAGAATAGAAAAGTTAAATCAAGAGAATAGAACCTGTTCAGCGACACCAAGCCCTGTCCCTTCCTTCCAACCATGCTTCTTCAATAGCTGCCAATTTTATCAAACACAACAATAAACTCGAATCAGGAAAATATCCCCAAACAAAAATCATCAGAGATAAGAAAACCAAATCCAGTAAGTTCCAGATAAATGAAAAAAAAGAAGATTACAGGCAGAAGCATACCTTGAAACCAATATTGGAAGAGTCAATAGGAACCGAACTGGAAGATGAGGGCTCCGAAGCAATAGAAGTGTCGATACCATAATTGCTGCCCAAACCCATGACCCGAAATCCGAAATCATCATCACCGGACCCCATAATCGAACTCTTCCTTCATCAACCCGTGTGTTTTAGGGCTTTTCTGGTTTTGCAGCTGGGAAGTCCGGCTTTATTCATTTTTCTTAAATTCTTAAAAACAAAATTACAAACGCTAGCCCTCCACTTTCCTGAATTGTTTTCAATTTTATTTTAGTACAAAAAAAATCGATTTATGAATGTTTACAAATAGATAAATCCTACTATATTAGAAACAAAAACCTCTATTTCAAACACCTCATATGATTGCCACGTGGCATGTAGAAAATACTAATTTGCCCTTTTATCTAACCATAACTAAATTACTAAATCTCCCTTTGCACTTTACGTGACACGTTTTTTTTTTAATTTTTTCTTTATGTTTCATTCAACTAGAGTGGTTTTTTAAATTGAATTGATCAATTAGGTTTTTTGTTACAAAGTGTCAATTTTGTTTTAAGCGTATAGCCTTCGGATGAAACTTATTACAAAGCTATTAAAAATCTCCAAAACTAAGTATTGATTTGGCACGACCAATGAACGTCAATAAATCATCTTACTAATATTTAAATTTATTAGGATGTTTTTATATTTTATCTAACATTTACTTCAACACATATATTCGATTAAGCTATTTATATTTAATAAGTAACACTTATAAAACATTTCTAAAACATACATGGCGAAATATAATTTTTTTTTTTTTTTTTGCGAAATACAAATATTTCTATGATCACACTTATAAAACATTTCTAAATCCTTCAAACATTTCTAAAATATATCGCTCCAAATACAAAATTTTATTTTTTTCAAATATAAATATTTCTAAAATTTACAGATAGACTGGGCCAGGGTCGCGCATTGCGCGACCAGACATCACTAGTACTAGATAGAGAGGATTAGGAAAAATAGTTTTCTTTTTATTGTAAATAGTTTTTCTTTTTGAAAAACAACAACCAAAAAAAAAAAAAAAGACTATTTAATTTGAAGAAAAGGGCATAATAGACAAAGTGCAGAAATTAATACAAACAAAGGCAATGCTCCGTTCCGTCCGCCAACCACCTCCACTGTTCACCGCGCTTCCCGTCGTCATTGCTACACTTTTCACCACTACGACCTGTTGGGCCCCACCTGTCGGGAAATTCAAGTCGCCGTCGCCGTCGTCCTCCTCCGCCATGACTGTCGGCAGTGCCAACAGCGGTTCTCCGGCATCACCCGTGCCAGCGCCGGTGGCGAAGAAAGTGAAGCACGAGATGGAGATGTTCGGAGACGTTCGAATCGACAATTACTATTGGCTCCGTGACGATTCTCGCTCCGACCCCGAAGTTCTATCTCATCTTCACCAGGAGAATGCTTACACAGATTACGTCATGGCTGGTTCGTTCTTTAGTCCTCGCATGCGTAACGTGTCTCAATTTGCTCTTAATATTTTTGTAATGACTGTATTCCATTTAATTTTGAGTTAGTTGTACGTTCTAGCTTTTGTTTATCAAACTTTGATTTGCTGAGATCAAAGTCGAAGCCAAATTGCAAAGTTAATCGTCGGTTTAGTGGAACTACGTATCTCGACTGACTCGTACTTACATTTATTGAGGTAAATAGTACTTCTTTGACGTCTCGACGAGCAGGAAAAACAGAATATAAATATGTTTTGAGGTTGCTCACTTTTAGAAAATTGGTATTGAATAATGAGATAGTATGTTCTAGCGTCCCAATCTTCATGGGACAATGGAAAAGAAAGGAGCTAATTGGCTTCAATTTTGTTTAGCAGAGCATTTTTTTTTTCGGTTTTAGAGTGACGGTATGGAAAGGAAATTAATGATTGATACCAAATTGATTTTGGAATGCAGTTCAAATTTTTAGGTGTTTCAGTCTCTCACATCCCCCTCCATTCAATTTCTGGGATTTATGAGTCAGTTTTCTTTCAGGAACTAAGCAATTGGAAGATCAGATCTTTGCTGAGATAAGAGGGAGAATCAAGGAGGATGACATTTCTGCTCCTATTAGAAGAGGGCCTTATTACTATTACAAAAGGACACTGGAGGGCAAGGAGTATGCCCAGTACTGTCGCCGTCTTGTACCTGATGATGGAATTCCACCTTCTGTTTATGATACTATGCCAACTGGTCCTGATGCTCCTCCAGAGCACATCATACTTGATGAGAATATCAAAGCCCAACCTCATTCCTATTACAGTATTGGTGCTTTTAAGGTACGACCTATACTATACCGCCTTTTAGATCCTTCTTTGTGTCAATTGATGCTTATGTTTATTTTGTCATATTTTTCTTTCCAGGTTAGTCCCAATAACAAGCTAGTAGCATATGCAGAAGACACAAAGGGGGACGAAATTTATACTGTTTATGTCATTGATGCTGAATCTGGAGCAACTGTTGGAAAGACTTTAAGTGGCACTACATCATATGTCGAATGGGCAGGTGATGAAGCATTGGTATACATTACCATGGATGAAATCCTTCGGCCAGATAAGGTAAAAGATTTAACATTAAAATCACAATTATGCAGGTAGAATAGTTCATCTTAATTTCTAATTGTGATGATTCTATGTACTCTCTCTGTCCCAGAAAAATAGTCCACTTTGTTGAACTAAAACAATACAACAAAGAGGCCAAAGGGAGTACATCACTTCTCGTGTTCTTGCAAATTGTTTTTTCCCCAACCCTTTTAAAATGCTAAACCACTTCCCTGGTGCTTTTCGGAGTAGAAAGGTGTGTTTGTGGAGTACTTTAAGTCATGAAGTTGTATAATGGAGTAGAAAGGATAGAAAGGAATAGGAGCTGGAATACTTCCTATGGGGCATCAACAAGTCATCAAGTTGCATTATGAAGTTAATTAACTATCAATACCTCTTATCTGTAACTTTTTCAATTTAGTCATCAAGTCCTTTTAAAAACATCTGTTGAAGCCCCTCCAGGAAGAACATTGTTACAAACCTTAATTTGTTCTTAGACTAATAGTTGAGGCTTTGCTATTGGTTGTGGTAATCTAGTAATGTTCGAAGGCCAAAGTTATTATACATGTAGGATTTCATATCGGCTACCAAATTTTTGTTATCTTGGTTTCCAGCGAGTGTTAGTGTTCTATTTCTTTTTGGTACTTTTGAAATCATTTCCTTTTCTTTTTTCTTGACAAAAGCATACCCACACCTCTGTGGAACCTAATGTGTCTTGACTTATTTGCAATTTCTAGGTTTGGTTACACAAATTAGGAACCGAGCAGTCGAGCGACACATGTCTATATCAGGAAAAGGATGACATGTTCTCTCTGGATCTTGAAGCATCTGAGAGCAAAAAATTTTTGTTTGTAGCATCTGAGAGCAAAATTACGAGATTTGTGTTTTACCTGGATACCTCAAAACCTGAAATTGGGCTAACTAATTTGACCCCACGTGTTGTCGGTATTGATACATCAGTTAGCCACCGAGGGAATCATTTCTTTATTAAGAGAAGAAGTGACGAATGTTTTAATTCAGAACTCCTTGCATGCCCAATTGATGATGCATCCGCAACCACAGTTATTTTACCCCACAGGCCAAGGTAAAATTCTGATCATTTAGAGATGCACGCTTTAATGGATAAAATTTTTTCCAATCACTAGCTTGTAATTATTTTGTACTGAGTATGAATTGTTTCACTTTCTACTGGTATAAGTTCGAAAACACAAGAACGTGATTGGATCTTAGAGATGGTAAGAAGACACTCTTTGTTGCTTTCCTTTGTGGAATCTTTTCTCGGAGCAATTTGTCTGCCATTCTCTCTACCATCTTTCCAGAAATTTACTGTAAATTTTTCAATATTATCTGTTTTTTCTAGAGAACTTTAAAGAAAAAGAGTTTAAATACTTTAAAGGAAGTTTTAATTTCTCTTTAAGTTCCCCCGTTTTTTAGGTGATTACAATGTACATCTTTGACCTTTCTTTTTGCAACTATTTTTTTTCTCAGTCCTTTATGGGTTTGGTAAAATGATGGTTGTTTTTGTACTTGAACCACAATATTGTCTTTTGGAACTCTTTAAGCTTTCTCAATAGTTTGTACTATCAGTTTTCTTTTGTTTACTACTAATACATCGAACTCTTAATTCAACAGCGTAAAGATTCAGGACATTCAACTTTTCACAGATCACCTTGTTGTGCATGAGCGTGAAGGTGGTCTTCAAAAGATAACTGCATATCGCCTTCCTGAGGTTGGACAGCCACTTGAAAGGCTTCAAGGTGGTCGATCCGTTGATTTCCAGGATCCTGTATATTCTTTGGATCCTGCAGAATCCCAATTTTCATCCGCAATTTTAAGGTTTTCTTATAGCTCATTGAGGACACCGCTCTCTGTCTTTGACTACGACATGAACTCTGGAGTTTCTGTTTTAAAGAAGATTGAAACGGTGGGTCAGTAATAGCATTATCATTCATAGTTGTGTTACACTTTGTTTACTTTGAGATTCATATTACTTCTTTTAGTGAATAATGAGTCAATCTGATTAAGAATGTGTATTTTCCTCCTCTTCATATTATATGTTATTAGAGTTTGGGTCTCTTGGCATCTGATTATCGACCCTGCATTCTTTTATTTTTTATTTTTTTCCTTTTAAATCAGTTTTCCTTAAAACAACTAAAATTCTTTTCTCTGTCTCTTTTGGTATTGTTGCTATCCAAATAGGTTTTAGGGGGTTTTGATGCATCAGAGTATGTAACTGAAAGGCAATGGGCTATTGCATCAGATGGCACTCAAATTCCCTTATCAATTATTTACAAAAAGAATTCTGTGAAGCTTGATGGGTCTGATCCGCTGTTGCTTTATGGTTATGGTTCCTATGAGGTAATGCAAGATCTCACCCAAGGTTTTATTTTATTTTATTTTATTTTTCCCAACCTTTTGAATTGTACATGTGATGGAGTAAATTGTTTATGTTAGATAGGCTGTTTCATTCATGAATTATTTTATATATTTACAGGTGTATATAATTATTACTTGTGATGATATTTCAACAGATATGTGTAGATCCAAGCTTCAAGGCATCACGATTGTCTTTGTTAGACAGGGGTTTTATATTCGTAATAGCCCATATTCGTGGAGGGGGTGAAATGGGGAGGCAGTGGTATGAAAATGGAAAGCTTTTGCACAAGAAGAATACATTTACAGATTTCATAGCCAGTGCAGAGTTTTTGATAGAGAAAAAATATTGCACCAAAGAGAAATTATGTATCAATGGAAGAAGTGCCGGTGGCTTGCTAATGGGAGCAGTCCTTAACATGCGTCCAGATTTGTTCAAGGCTGTTGTTGCTGGAGTTCCATTTGTTGATGTTTTGACCACTATGCTCGACCCGACTATCCCTTTAACGACTTCAGAATGGGAGGTTAGCTCATTTAGTAGATGTCATTACAAATATCGGTTGCTAAATGTTATAAAGTGTGTGATTGTAGTTCTAACTTCTGTTGATTTGGTTTAAGTTGAAATTTGAGGTTTTGGTTTGTACATAAAAAAGATTGCTTTTGTTGCTACAGGAATGGGGTGATCCTCGGAAAGAGGAGTTCTATTTCTACATGAAGTCATATTCCCCTGTTGATAATGTCAGTAACAATGTACTTTTATTTTTTCATTTCTCTTTTGTTTAGATTTGGTTCTTTCAAGTGTTTCACTAAAATGACTGTCTCTTCTACCAAGTGAATTGAAAAATTCCTTCGACCTGCATACTTCTGTAGTTACACAGTGCCTTTGACTAATATAGGTCTTCTTTACACAGGTTAAGGCTCAAAACTATCCAGCTATTCTTGTCACTGCTGGTTTGAATGGTATGTGGAATCATGATGAACACCATCTCTTTTAAATACAGACGCGTTAACAATTGTGTGTCTTAGAGTCTTGAAATTAAATATAGCATGGTACTGCTCATGGCAACTTGGTTGACATGACCTTTTCATCAAAATTCATCTATATGTTTTAAACTGTTCATAAGAGACATCAGTAACCGCTCAAAACACGAAGCTAATGAAAAAGTAAATGTAGATTAGCTAGTTTTGTGTAGACATTTTTTCCTATGCAGGATGCACTTTGTAGAGTACAGTAACCATGAATATCCCTGGTGATCTTCTGGGTTTTTGTCTGAGTTGTACTACAAATAGGAGACTGCTTTAGTTCTTTTTTGTTTTGAATGTAAAAAATTGTATTCTGTTTTGTAATGCCTTGGAGCATGCATAAGCTTCGGATGCTCCATCAAGGTGAGTATATTATCAATTTTACAGGATCTCTGATAAACAGAATAGATATAATGTTTGGTTATGTTGTTACAGATCCGCGTGTTATGTACTCGGAACCGGCCAAATTTGTAGCAAAACTAAGAGAGCTGAAAACTAATGATAATCTTCTATTGTTCAAATGCGAGCTGGGTGCAGGACACTTTTCAAAGTCTGGAAGGTAATTAACTCTGTCCTCTTTCTCAGTAGTGAGTTTCGGTTCCATTTATTCCCAGAGTTTACAATATTTATGGGGTGCTTCTGTACATGTTTGTGTTCATTGCTTTCTTTGTATTTTTATTCCTTCTTCCTCATAGTGCCTTTGTTTGATTGTGCCACAGGTTTGAAAAGCTCCAGGAAGATGCCTTCACATATGCATTCTTGCTAAAAGCTTTGGACATGGTACCTACCACTCCTGCACAGAGCCAATTATAGTCCACACTTGAATCAATCTCATTTTGCTGTTATTATTCATCAGAGGTTGACATTGGTGTCTATCTGAGAATTTTCATTCTTCTTGGAACTTGTTATTCCATTGTAGACAAATAAAAATATTTCCTTGTGTTGATTCATATATGAACTTAATCAGTTTTAAGTTGATCGAGGGTTAATTTACCAGAACATACGGGTAGAGAGAAAACAATATACAGGTAACCTTATAAAAGTGTTCCATTCTTTTATTAACTTCCATCATATAAAATTTATTCACGTAGATCGCAATAATAACTAATTCTCAAGCATGAATACATTTTACTCCTACAATATCCATCGTGTTTAGAAGTTCAATTCTCTCTTTTTACTCCGTCTAGTTTGAAGCAAGCTCGATCAAATTTAGAAAACAGGGCTCACACATAGCATTGCTTAAATGTTTCCAAATAGGGAATTCACTTTTGTTTCGAATTGTGGCACCTGAGAGAAAAATGGTATAAGGTGTTCTTGTCAAGCTATAATTCCAAGTTCCAGGCACTACGAGATTTATTTTGTCATTAGCACGTTCATAAAGAAATCAATATGGAGAATTCTCCACGGATCCAGAGAATGCACTTAATTACCACATCAAACTGAAGCATGTCAAAACTCAAAAACTTCTAACGAATGAGGAGGAATCACTTTACTCTCGAAAACTTTCTAAGTTCCCATACGGAAAAACAGCTGAACATTCAAAATTTCCAAGACGACACAATATATAAGCATCTGACAGCTTCAACCAGTAAGAAACAGAGTATAACTACTACAGAGTAGAGCAAATAAGAAAAGCAGCCTCCTACACCAATGCGATTAATCTTCTTCCTCAGCCTCGTTCTCAGCAATGTTGAAGTACCTCAACTCATAAACATTTCGATCCTTGTTGGAGGCAATCACACGAAGCCAATCACGCACATTGTTCTTCTTAAGGTATTTCTTAGTCAAGTACTTCAAGTACCTGAGTAGCACAAAAGAATTAAACTACATATTAATAAACTAGCTAGAACACTTAGCAGAAGTATATTTTGCAAAAGGAGTTGAGATTACAAATAAGCATGTCCATGTTAACCCAAGAGGTAACAGGAAACAGAATGAAACTTCTGTGAAGTAATGGCAACAATCTAATAAAATCCAGGTACCACCTATTCTCAACAGAAATGTCAATGAAAATATAGCTTCTGATGGGAAACAACAGGAAGCCCACATAATGGAATAAATGCTCATTAGCGTCAGAAACCCTGTACCCGAAAGGGAAATCACTATTTGAAACAGGTAAAACTAGAATACCAATCACAACAATGTACAAAGCAATGCTTAGGATTGAGATTGAGAGCCACCAATTCAGTAATAAACCTAGCCAAAGATATAAACTTTCATTCTCAAGTGGAAGAAAAACGAACTTAGATAAAATGTAAAATTGACTATGAAAGGTCATTAGCATTATCAAGTCTCCAAACTCATTCCAAACCAGGAAGCCATAAACACACCAAATCCCAGAGCAAGCTCATAATAACCCTAAATTTTCTTCACAACAGAAGTCCTACACGACTAAGCAGCTCCACATGCATCCAATTTGTTTACTAATTAATAGGTTCAAATGGGGCAATACAACAGCAACAAATACATCGAGCTCAAAAGAAACAAGGCTTTAGTCGCAGAATACTCAATAACCTATAGTTCGATACAAGTGGAAAAAAAAAGGAAAAAATTGAAAGAAGAAGGTTTACCGCTTGGAGAAGTTGGAGTCAGCGGTGACGGTGATCTTAGACTTGTCACGAGCGACGGTGACGGAATCTCCGAGAGCGCCGGGCTTGCCGCCGACTTTGATGCGTTCTTGGAGGTATTTCTCCAGGGCTGCTATTTCCATGATCTTGTCCTCCACCGGCTTAGAGCAGTCGATCACGAAGGTCAATCCTTTCTTCTTCCCGCCTTTCACGGCCGCACCGCTGCTTCCTTTACTCATTTTAAGTGGAGAATCTTCACCTGATGGCTCAGTGGTTTCTTCGGATTCAACAAAACGGCAACGACAAAGCAGCAGCCAAGAAATGACCTAGGGTTTTTCCGGGGAGAAAGTTATATAAAGGTCTTGGGGATCATTTATTTTGGGCTTATTTCCAAGAGGCCCAGAACAGGTATAAACTTAACAAAATGCTCTTGGATCAACTTTCAATGGCCCATTGCAATTTATATTTCTCTAATAGTGAGTGTTATGTTTCTTTCTCCTTTTGTTTTTTTCATTTTTCCTTTTTTTGGAGACAAGTACTGCATATATTTCTTTATTGAAAACCCAAAACAATATGTATGAGTAATATTCTTGTTGTTTCAGCATAAAGAAAGTAAAAATAAAAACACAGATTAGTGATTAGTTATTATGGATAAACTGTTTACCACAGTATTTTTTGTTTCATCTGCTCTAAAAGGAAATAAATTTTGACCAATTTTGAAATACAACCCCTCCCCCCTTCATCCGTGGTAACAAAGAGAAGCTCACCCATAGTTATGGTTACCTTATCTACCTTTGTAAGTTTGCCCCATCTATATTTGGTTAAAAAGAAAATATTGGGGATACTTTTTGATACTCTAATGGTTGGAGAGCTTTGGAGGATGGTCTTTGATACTTTTTTTTATCTCAAAATTATTGTCCAGTTTAGATAATACTGTTAGTTCAATATGTACTAGAAATGAATATCTAAATTGGACAATAATTTCGAGATAGAGTAATACTGAAGACTTACAAATTTCGCAACAGATGTATCTAATATTGCACTCATGGAGTATTGGTTAGTTACTGTGTAGTTGATCTCTCAATCTATGGTTGACGAGTCCTTGGTACGCAAAACATCTGCTTGCAGCGTAGATTGAGCGTAGTAAATGAATTCCAGAAAAACTGCTCGTAACATCACTCAGAGAAAAAGCACCATCCACCCCTAACCTAAATGACCAGGTTGGGTAGGTTTAAAGAGCAATCAAGAAGAGGATGAATGGATGAATCAGAAGCAGATGCATTGATGATATGCCTGTTGCCCGTTCACAAGTATGTGATGTTCGTTACATGGAGAACAGAATCTCAAATTTATGAGATAGAGATTAAACTTGAACGTAGAACATCAATTTCTTAACAAATAAATCATATAAACCAATGTTACATAATGTAGAGGCTTGATTATTGTTTAATACAGAAGCCTAGTACACAGCTAAGTACAACAACTTTAAATCAAAACTGGGCTTATGCACCATCCAATAACTGTAAGCCTGCACGAGATTAAGCATCCAGGTTAAACAAAATGCTAATGTTTGTTTAGTCCTTGTGTGTGTTAGCATCGAGTGGAATAAACTTGGGATATCTATCCTGTGTTTTCCCAGTTTTGTGGTCATAGTACTCAACAACAGCAGCTCCAGCCAATGCAGCCAGTGTCAGAGCTTGGGCGTGCAACCTGGAATGAAACAAACAAGGAGACGTCTTAGGAGGATAGAAAATTTTCGGCATTGCACGACCAGCATTGAGTCCCTATGCAAATCACATTTTGTATGTACATATTTTCAAAACAACTTTTGGTATTATTCAAACTATAAAACAGAAACGGAAAGAAAACCTAAACAAATGTTGTCCATGTAGAACTACCAAAGAAGCAATGCAACCATTGCCACACAATAAAATCATTTGACAGCATTGGATATGTACTCATTTGATAGCATTCGATAATGTAATCATTCGATGATGTACTCTATATTGTAACAGAGTTTTCATCTAATAAGCTTCACTACTAAAAAGAATTTGCAGCAAATCAACCATCTAAAACTAACTACACTGACTGACAGAACAAGAAAATAGAAACAACATAAGTGGTTGTGACCAAGGTAGAGATCATGCCAGGTGTTCTCATTGTAAGTAATGTGCTTGTGCTCTTTTAGCAAAGGGGAACAGAAACACAATTAGGTGGCTATTCCAAAAATTGATGATTTGGGTTGGACAGCCACCTCAAATCAAAGGATCACACATGTCAAGTCTTCTATGCCTAAGAGAGACCTGAACTGGAAATACGCAACATGCTGAAATGTTTCATAGAAGTGAAACACTAAGTGATACCACTAAGGTGTGTTCTTCAAAATGTACGAAACTCAACAGCATCTTGCCAACAAAAGCTTTAGTTGTGGTAGCAGTCCGATGTAGTTGTTCTAAGCAACATGAGATTTTCTCACATTGGCAATAAGCACAAGCTGTCTAAGATACCAAAGACACCTCCTAGACTTGGATAGAAAAGAAACTAAAAGTAGGCCGGCATGTAATAGTGGGAATCCAACAATTCATCTGTTCAACTCATAGAACGAATACAAACATCTAACTACAGCTACTTGTAAACAGCCCAAGATTCTCCAAATGCCAAAAGAAAATCCAGGAAAACTTCAGCAATGAAGCAAATTGTCAGTCATAATATGATATCACATTCCAATCAATTCCTCAGTAACTCTAGTAAAAGAAAGCATCTTGAGCAATTTGTTGAACAGGATAAGCTATCGACAGGTGAAACTGTGTTCAAACCTATTCATTGCGTTAACATCAAGATAGACAATCATCATGGCATACTGAAATCAAGAGCAAATTCACGGAACTCTTAATCGGTATCCAGAAAGGGTAACAAAAAAGTGCGAACTTGAAAGAAAAGAAGATGTAGGTACCTAGCGTGGATGATCTTGACGCTGGTTTTCATGGCCGGCTGAGACCAATTATAAGCAATGGATCCCGTGATTCCACTCAACCACAAGCACCCTTTTAACACAAAACAAACTTTCAGAACCCCAACCGAACAAAACAAAAAAAAATCCGAGCATAATAAACAACATAAAAAAAATTGCATACCGACAGTACGAAGCTTGTGGTCGGAAACCCATTCTCGAATGGATTCAAAAGATGATTTTGGGGCATTTCCAGAGTCAGCCATAATCTCCTTTGACGAGATGATGATTTGGGGGGTCAAAAAGGAAGGAACGATTGGATAGAAAGCAGGTTGAATGTGATGAATTTGTTGGGGGTGAATTTGGTGAGAGTCGTGTTATATATACGGGTTGATTGGGCGGTGGGAAGGAAGCGAAAGGGAAGGCGGATTTTGCAACCCAGAAACAGTGGGCGTCCTTTTACCACCGCCGCCACCACCCAGGGCCTTTCAAAAACAGCAAACGTCAAACGTGTGCCCGCCAGAATTGTAAACGGATCCGGGCTTCCCTATCGGGCCAGTTTAACTTTGAAACCGGATCTGCATTCGTGTCATGGTGTCATGCCTCATGGACCCAAAATTGATGACTTGTCAAATTGCTTACAATAATTTTGTACATTTGTCTAACTAATTTCAGTATTTGACCCCAGTCTCCATTCAGTTACACCTTGCTGTCATCTCCTGTATCTTTTCTTCTTCCGTTTTTTTTTTTTTAAAGATTAAAATTTCACAACTCAAGGAGTGAATTAAATAAAAGTGTTCCAAAAGAATAACCAGTATTTTGGATGAAATGGTAAAAATGAATAATACTCCATCCATCCGTTTTAAACGAATATATTCGAAATGAAACCAACATAGTTGGCGTAGTGGTTAAGCACTTCGTCCCTTAAATATGAGGATAGGGGTACGATCCCTGCCCATATGAATAGAGCAAACTATTTGGCTAGTCCCCTACAGCGTGCTAACCGTAGAGACGAAGGATTAATCCTCTCAATATCGGCGAGAGAAATAATTTGGGAAAAAAAAAGAATATATTCGTAATGAGATGAGCCAAGTGCCGGACAAACAAATCTACAATATTTTGTTGGTAATGCTCCCTTTTTTTCTTTTTTTGTGTGTGATTATGATTATATAAGAAAAATCCGAAAAAAAAAAGAAATATCCGATTTTCCTCACCCCAATAACAAAATCCAAAACAAAGATTACAACCTCTTTCTTCCCACATCACCATCGTTATCAAACTTATCATCGACACTGTCATTTGTATTTTGATCAATATACAAAATATATACTCCCTCCGTCCTATAATTATTGTCCAGTTTTACTAAAATGAAAGATTTTATTTTTGGTCAAACTCAACTATATTTTACCTTAAACAATCGGATATATCCCTACATAAGTAATTGTTTAACCACTAAGATTTTATGGATATGTTTTTTACTAAGGACAAATGTGTAACTTGATCCATAAAAAGTCAAATTGGACAATAATTTTGGGACAAAATTTTTTGGGCAAAGTGGACAATAATTATGGGACGGAGGGAGTACATTTTGATAGTAAAATAATAGGAGTAATAATTAATAATTCATGCTATTATGAAGATGATGATGATTAAATGAAAATTTGCCTATAAATTGTGAGTAGGAATAAACCTTATCCAGCAATTTCCAATTTCAAGGCCACCGATAACAAAACTACACCACAACCTTCTTCTGTAATCACATTTCTCATCAAAACCATGCCACCAGCTTCCGTCTCTATTTCTTCCTCCTCCTCCCCAGATCCTAAACCTCTTCCCCAAATTCCCGCCGCCTCCGGTGTTGATGACGATATCCTCCGCCGCGCCCGCCCTTTCCTCCGGGGAGAACTCCATCAGGTGAACCCCGATTTACCTTCTCTGGTTTCCGTGCTCCGCTCCGTCGGCGCTGGCGAGTGCTGGCACAAACACGGCAGCTTTCTCGACCACCTCCTCGACATCTACCGCATCCTCAAGCTCTGGAAAGCCCCGGAATCCGTTTGCCTCTGCGGCCTCTTCCACTCCGCTTATTCCAACTCTTACGTCAACCTCGCCATCTTCGATCCCTCCACCGGCCGAGACACCGTCCGTGCCCACGTCGGAGATGCCGCCGAGAGGCTGATTCACCTCTTCTGCATCGTCCCCCGGCAGCCGTTGATCCACGACGACCTTCTATTCCACTACACGGATTCCGAACTCGTCGAACATCTCCGGTCGTCGGAAGTTTCCTTACGGAATGCGAAAGAGAAAGGTTCGTTCGACGGGACGGAGGCTTGGAGGAAGAAAATCCAGGCTCTGGTTCCTGACAATGGGATTACAGTGAAGCACATTAAGACCGGCGAAGACGTCGCCGTTTCGAGGAGAGTTGTTGCGGTTTTTCTGATGATGACGATTGCTGATTTCAGTGACCAGCTGTTTGGATTCCAGGACGTGCTGTTCGAGAATTCCAATGGGCGGTTAGAATTCAATGGAAATAATTTCGCCGGAGGACTATGGCCAGGCGACGGGAAGCCGGGGCTGTGGTTGAACTCGCTGTCCAGAATGGCTGCTCTTTACAGCCTGATCCTCAGGGAAGAGGAAATCTTCTTGGAGGAACGAAAACAGGGCGTCAAAGGAATTGCTGATCATCACTCCGAACCCGATGGACATCAAGAAGGTAATTTCACTAGTATTTTTTTTCCCCCTTCCTCTGGTTGGATTAGTTTTACCAAATTAAATCAGTGATGACATTAGAGTATGTTAAATTGTTAGATAAACAATTATTTTTGCGATATTTCTGGATCGAGAATGTTTATTTTGCGTTTTTTTAGTTATGTGATACCGCTTGCTGTTTTTCAGGATGCCTTGTAGCAATAATCCTTACCCCATTTTTGCATAACATGCGCACCTGATTTGGATGATTATATTTTTCAAAAATCTGATTACATCATAGTGAATTCAAATTACATATATATGATTCTCTTGGAGTGATTGTTATATCGCAGTCGTCACGTATGAATAGATTGTGGAATTTTACGCGATGTGAAACTTTACCAAACTTTTTCAACTGCTGAGAGCACTGCTCTAACAGTAGAGAAGATCAAAAGTTGTATTTATATCAAATTTGTGAGGAATTAGTGTTGCTCCTCCTCCAACATTAGAGTCTTGAATTCTTATTTTTTGGGACAGGAAGAGAGTGCATACCATTTATAATTGATCCTTTTTGCTGAATGTCAAAGATTATGGCCAACATCACAATTTATGGTCTACAAAATTCACAATGTGATTGTGATGTATGAACACTTAGGGGGTGAGCGATTAACGATCACATGCTGCAGGTAGGGACAGGGATGAAGAACTGGAGCTGGTGATACCGCCGGTGTTTGAGAACTGCAGCAGGGTATTGGATGCAGAGGAACAGAAGGCAGGGAGAGACTTGTACTGGGAAGCAGTGTGTGATTCAGAGAGGGTGGGATTAGAGAAAGCAGAGGAGATGTTGGTAAGGGCAATTGAGAAGATCCCATATGTTGGGGAGCCTCATGTGGTGTTGGCACAGATATATTTGGGGAAAGGCAAGTTTGAAGAGGCTGAGAAAGAGGGTGGGAAGGGGTTGAGGTTGATACTGGAATGGGGGAGTCCATGGGATAAGAGGATGTCATGGGAAGGTTGGGTTGCTTGGGCTCGGGTTTTGGTCATGAAGTCTAAAGAGCGATCTTGGCCTCATACTTCTTGGGGCATTCTCAATTTGGGTCTGGTTAGGTAAATTGTTCAATAGGGCTTGGGGTTGTGGCCAGCATTTCTTCGAATTCAGTAGCAGTAGTAATAATCAAATTATTATCAAACTATTTAATTTAAAGTTGTTGTTATGGAGAAATGCTCGAGTAATAATCAAATTATTTAAGCATTTCCTCCTTCCCGAGAAAAGATGTTTTGGACATTTACAGTGTTTTTAGTACAAAAGAATCAAGACAATTTATTTTGAGAGAACCAAAGTGATCTATTTTGGTTATGTCAAGTCAGCTTTACCAATTTTGATCAATTTGAGATTGTTTTTGTCGAGTCAATTCCAGAAAAATGGGTGATGGAGTCTTGGTTGGTTGTTTTAAAAGTAACTCTCTCATTCATATATGAAATTTGATGTTGAGACAGAAAAGTAATTTATGAGAAGATGAAAGATATTAGGAAGATATAATCAAACAAGATCCAACCAAACGCATGCATGCAAATCACCGGCCTTTTAAACGCACAAAAAATCTCAACCCAAATGTTAGTATCAAAAGTCAAAAAAAACAAGGAGTCCTTTTCTTGCAATAGTGAAAATCCCATTCCCCCAAATTCCCGCATTTAACGCCTAATTAATTTGCAAATCAGCGCTGAAAATTTTGTCAAAATGACATCACTCCAAATAACATAAAAGCTTCTCAGGCGGATATTAAAAAATAAAAAATAAAACTCTCATCTCAACTGTAGTGACGTTGTTTCCTGAATGCGGGGGTAACTTTTATTAATCTTTTTTTTTGTTAATGTGTATTTTGATAACATGGATTTGGTTTTTCTTATGGGGGAAAAATATACCAACCTTATTCACGGTACTGCATTGTTGTTTCCACTTTTTTTTTTTTTTTTATTGTATATATGGATGGATGGTCCATACTATCTCCCCTAAAATTGGGTTTCACTTTTCAGGAACTACTCAATTTCACTTCCCTCCATCATTTTTGCCAATTTTCCCAACTCATTGTCTGTAACTATAACTATACATTTTTGCTCTCTCTCTCTTTTTTTTTTTTTTGGTCTTTGGTAAACACCACCAGATTAAATATAAAACTTTACTCTTTACTTTCAAACAAAATAATCCAACTTAATAATTCAAAAACTATGATCTCTTTCCACACTGGATTATTATGTTAAATTGACACAATATATAGGAGTATTCCATAATTTCATTAGAATAGATCATGCATGGTAAATAGGAATTGACCAATCTTGAAGAAACAAGCTGTGTGTTTCAAATTTGAACACCATTATTGGTGCAACTATATTGCTCATCATTACTCTTGTTAATAATAATTCAACCAAATTTACGTATGATGGATTACTAGTTTACATTGAAATTGTCATTTCCAACAAGCTTTGTGCATGCTGCTAATATCTTCTTCTGTTTTTTATTTTTTATGTTTAAAATTAATGCTCCTTTTATTCTCAAATAATTGTCAAATTTTTATTTTTTAAATAATTTACACTAAAAAGTGAAATCTCAAATAGTACAATCTTTTCGGAATGGAAAGAGTATTTTAAAGACTGTTTCTACATTTGTTTAAGCTAATAATCTTATCATTTCCCCAAGAAGATAATAATAATATAATATATATATATATATATATATGTATGTATAGCACCAAGGAGATTTGCCAAATACTAGCAGCTTCTTATTGTTGAATATTGTCCACTGGCCATACTCCTCTCTTTACTTACGCACTTGTTCCTCCAATTAATATAGTAATTTCATTTTTAAATCAATGCTGACAACAAGTTTTGTTCTTTCATTTTCTGTTGCTTATATTCTGTTTGTGCTGCCTCCGATGGAGTTGATATTCTGTTGCTTATATATCGTAACATTATATACGTGAGTCATGAATTCTCTCGTTTTTAGTATTTGCAAAAAACAGTCCGTGAATTACTTGGTATAACTAAGTCAATCACTCTAGTTAAACTTAAGGCTTTGTCTGAGCAACAAGAGTACTGAGTGTAATGTGACCTCAACAACCCTCTCTCCCCAATCCCAACCAAAAAGATAATAAATTGAAAAAGCGTCTATGTATATGATCTTGTTGTTTTAATTTGAGCTCTTTACAGCGAAAAAGGATATGCATTTTGCATATTCATCCATACTTCCAATCCATCTTATCTCAAGCATTCAAAATGATGGCAACCATCATTCTACCAAACTCTCCAACTCTGCGGAAAAAAGAAAAAAAAAAAATGAAGCTGATCATTAATCTTTAGTGTTAGACATCAAGTACTTTTAATTTACTGATTACTCTCTTCATTTCAAAATGTAAGTCTTTTAACTAATTACTCTTGATTTGATGTCTAACACATGCACATATATCACCTAGTTCATAATATGAGTGTCAAATTACAAAATGAACAACCCCCTAAAAGGAAAAAAAAAAAGGAAGGAAAAAATGTGGTGCAGCCACCAAAATGGACAAATGCTTGTGTCTCTAAAAAGCAGTAATTATGAAACCAAGCTGGGTGGGGTGGTGGTTCACTTCATGTGGTCCAGCCCAGATAATAAGAAGGAATAACCCCAACATGAAAACAGTGGGATGGAGAGTTTTTGAGTTCAATTTTTTGTAAGAAGAAGAGGAGGAAGAAGATGGGGGTGCAACAAAATTTTTGAAACCAAAAAGTGCGCTCCAACGTTCCAAAGGGGTTGGAAAAACCTCGTGATCTATGAAAAACGGTAACAATTTTTACATGTGAACCCACTTAAAATCAACCCCCTCCCCCTTTTCACCTCTGAAAATATATATTTGCATTCCTATAAATAAGCAAGATTATTATATCATCTTCAAAGCATTATTTATTTCGATAGAGGTCAATTCTCCTTGTTGCCTTATAGTCAGCCTTTTGAAAAATTTTCAGACATCTTTTTTCATCATTCTTTCTAGCTACCTTATTGTTTAAGTGAAAGAATTCAACCCCATCATAGTGTCCCTTTTTGAAAAAAAAAAAAAAAAAAGGAAAAGGCTTTTTTTCAGTTTCTCTATTTTGTATAACTCTATAAAAAGAAAAATTTTTTATAAAAAAAAAAGGTTCTCTTTTTTGGCATTTCATTTTTTTATGATTTTGAATCCCTCCACTGGCAGTGTGAGAAGGTTCTGTTTGTCAGATCCCAGAACCCTTGAAAAAAAAATTTCCATTCCATTTTGAAAAAAAAAAATCTTTGTTGTCAGATCAAACAAAATCCCACATCCCACAATGCAGTTTCTGATGTGGGTTCTCAACCTTTGTCTCATTTTGTCCTTGCATTTGCCCACAATTTGTGGCCAAACTCAAGAAAAAAGTGAACTTGATGAGGCAGCACCAGCAGCTTGTTCTGAGGTTGATAGAGCTGCATTGCTTGGGTTCAAGGCCAGTGTGTTGAAGGATTCCACTGATATCTTGTCATCTTGGACAGGCAAAGATTGCTGTGGAGGAAACTGGGAAGGTGTTGATTGTGACCCTTTGACAGGAAGAGTGAACAGTCTGATTTTGCAGAGGCCAGCTGATGGTAAACAATTGAGCGTGTTCATGAAGGGAATCTTGTCACCTTCACTTGGTAATTTGCATTTCCTCCAAGTTATGGTTATCAGTGGGTTGAAAAGGATTGGAGGCCCAATTCCTGAGAGTTTCTCTAATTTGAGTAGACTCACTCAGCTGGTTCTTGAAGACAATTTCTTACAAGGTGAGATTCCTTCCAGTTTGGGAAACTTGCCTATGTTGCAGATATTGTCACTCAGTGGGAACTATTTCTCAGGCCAGATTCCTCCTAGTTTGGGGAACTTAAGGAATCTTCAGCAGTTGAGTTTGGCTAGGAATTCACTGACAGGTCAAATCCCTACCACTTTTAAAAACCTTGTCAATCTTCAGTCTTTTGATGTCAGCTTCAATGCATTGTCAGGGACAATCCCAGATTTTATTGGCAAGCTTCAGAATCTAACTTTCCTGACCCTTACCAGCAACCAATTTTCAGGACAGATTCCTGTTTCTTTGGGAGGTTTGGTTAAGCTATCAGAGTTGTCACTTGGTCATAATCATCTTGTGGGTCAAATCCCACTTCAACTTGGGAATCTCAAATCCCTCTCAATTCTTTCATTAGATTCCAACCAGTTAACCGGTCAAATCCCGGAATCCATTTCTCAGTTACAAAATTTGTGGAACCTTAACCTTTCTCGAAATGTGTTTGCGGATCCCCTGCCTAAAACATTCTCCAGGGGCCTTCCTTCTTTGTTGTCTATAGACCTTTCTTACAACAACTTCAGCTTAGGGACTATTCCTGAGTGGATTATAAACAGAGAATTATCTAGTGTTTATTTGGCCGGGTGCGAGCTTAGAGGAAAACTCCCCAATTTCACGAGGCCTGATTCATTGAGTTCCATTGACTTGTCAGATAACTACTTCACTGATGGTCTTGCAGACTTCTTTGCAAAGATGAGTAGCTTGGAACTGGCAAAGATCTCAAACAACCAACTGAACACTGATGTCGCCGCCATCAAATTTCCGGATGGACTTTCCACTATTGATCTCCATGCCAACCAGTTATATGGTTCACTATCCAGTATTCTGAACAACAAGACAAGCAAATTCTTGGAAGTTATTGACATCTCAAACAATCAAATTTCGGGTAGTATTCCCGAATTTGGCACCGGTTTCCTTAACCTCAAAGTGCTCAATATAGCAAGCAACAAGATTGGTGGTCAGATACCTAGTTCGATCTCAAATCTGGCTAAGCTGGAAAGGTTAGACATTTCAAGGAACCAAATCGGGGGCACAATTCCAACAAGTTTAGGCTTGTTGATCAAGTTGCAGTGGTTAGACCTTTCGATCAACAAAATTAGCGGGAAAATCCCAAATAGCTTGTTGGGGATTGAAGCATTGAGACATGCAAGCTTTAGAGCAAACAGATTGTGTGGCGAGATTCCACAAGGACGGCCATTTAATGTCTTCCCTGCAGTGACTTATGCACATAATCTCTGTTTATGTGGGAAACCCTTGCCTCCATGTAAGGGGAAGAATCAGAGGAAATTGATGAGCCAGTAAAATGCTGACTCAAGCTACAAGGATTATACACTTGCTCAAGCCCTATGAGCATTTTATTCAGAATGAGTGTCAAAGTTATTTAGTTCACAGTTACACTTCTTTTTCACTAGTTCAAGAAACTTTATTGTTTGCCATTGATGAAATTTTAATAGATGAGTTTATCTCTGATTTGATCCATTCCCTCAGCACAAAAATTTTTCAGAAGAAATGATCATAAAAAGCCAGGCTTCAACAATTCTTCATACCGCAGTACAAGAAAAAACAGAACAGTTTGTTAATTGCAGAAACCATCTTCTACCTACGAAGAGAATTCTCAAGCACTAACAGCAAATATAGAACATTTCATCCCTCCTCAAAACGATGCTAATATCTACCATAGCATAGCTAGTAATTAAGATCCAAAATTTACATGAGACCTAAAACCATTCTATTCATCTTCGTCAGCAGCATCTTCTTCCTTGGTTTTTTTCTCAGCTTCTTCATCAGCAACATCTTCTTCCTTGATTTCTTTCTCAACTTCTTCATCCTGAACCAATGAAAAATAAATAAGTTCAGATGAACATCCCTGAATAATGCATGTGTCCGCAAATCTAAAACTTACATTTTCAACCTCGGTGCTATCATTCTGAGACTCCAAGGCCTTTGTATACTCAGCTTTCAGCTCAGCAGCTTTCTCCACATAAGGCTGCTTCTCCTGATTATAGGAAAATTCATGACCATTACATTATTTATTAGGAACCAAAGATTCATGTTTCAACAGGGGAAAAAAGACAACTTAAAAACTGAAAGATGGAGGTGTAACTCACTTCCTCAGTCATGGATTTCCATTTCTCACCACCCTCCTTGGCCACCTAAATGATTTAATATAACCAAAACCCCATATTTGTCAAACAAAACATTAATTAAACCTCAACGGAATAAGCCTAAAAAACAATTTAGAAAGAGCGAAGGAAATTACCACACTAACACTCTTATTATCAGGATTTTGCTCTTTGAAAGACTTCCTGAAATCATCCCTAGAGAGCCCAACCAAAATAAAATTAGCACAACATAACACCATCAAGCCCAATGGTCGACCAAAAGGATTGGTAGCAAGTAACTTACATGAAAATGAAGAAAGCTGTGGGAGGACGTTTGGGTGCATTTGGATTCTTGGATTGCTTTCCCTTCTTAACCTTAGGTTCAGTTGTTTTTGGTTTCTTCCTGCACATAACCATCAATGTAAGGCTAAAAAACCACAAAGTAAACATTTATCAAGAGTAAGTGATGAAATGGATTCATAAGATTACTTCTCAACGGGCTTTTTCTTTATCTCAGTTGGCTTCTCAATCACTTGAGCCTCTGCATACAAATGCATCAAGCTTATCAAACACTTCCTTTAAGTAATTCATAACAAACAGCAAAACAATATGCAGTAAATCCCATTATAATAATAAATTCCAGAAAACAACACAATCAAAATCATCCTAAACTGGAATTGGAAAACAACAAAATCCCCAAATTACTCCCAGGAATCCCTATTCAACATAAAACAAGTCCCGAGTATCAATCAAATGAACCCAACCCAATAAAAGGGGTAAAATCAAATCTAGGAAACTAATTTCTAATGCTTTTCAAAGCAAAGCATCACCAAACAACATCAAAATAGGAAGAAGGGGGTCTCAAACTAACAGTAATCCGGGAAGCAAAAGAGAGAAGAAAAAAAAAAGAACATACCCAAATTCATCTTGATTTGAGCGTCAAGGCTACAGTTGTGCATACTAATCAAGGCAACCGCCACATCTTTGCCGCATTCATCACTGAACAAAAGCCCAAACCACAGATTTTAAACATAAACTTTTTTTTAAAAAAAAAAAAAAGAAAGAAAACAATTCATTTACACAGCACAAGAAAACCCATCAAAATGAAAGGACAAAGAGAATATCCACACCATTTCGCAAAAGCACTGCCATCTTTAGCCCTTTTGAGAGAAGCAGACGCAGACGCAGCTGCTGGAACGTCGTCTTTCTCGACTTCCACCCTCTTCCGGATCCGGGTTGGCTTCGAGGACTTGGCCGCTCCATTTCCACCCGCCATTCGCTCAGATTTTTTCCTCTCAAAGGTTGAAAGTATGGAAGGAAAGATGAGAATGGGGCAGGTGTTTGATTTGAGTTATTTAAAAGAAGATGTGAAAAAATTGAAAACTGGGAATTTGGGGCGCCATTATTTTTTGGTTTTCAGAAATCCCCGCCTAAAATTGAAACCCCCGCAAAAAAAAGAAAATATTTTGGAGCGCTTTTGTTGATGATGATGAGGATGGATGACATGGACAGCCTATAGACCGTTGGATGCTCTTTCCTGGCCAAGGGACCGGTCAAGATTTGTCCTTTTGTTTTAAAAGAAGAGGGACAGGCTCAGATGTGGGCCATTCAGATGTATAAGGTGCTGATATTTGAGTAGAGTAGAGTTGGGCTTTCAGTATATAAAAATACCTGATAGCCCGTCTGTAAAAAGAGTTGGGCTTGAACCCAATAAAATTGTTCAAAGAATATGCATCACATTTTTGAATAATGATATCTAGCGTCCGTTACTATTATTTCCTTAAAAAAGATACTAGTAACTTATTAAAAAAGTGGAAACTTCTCAATTTCACCTTCGTAAAAGGTAAAAACTTATAAGTGAAGGGGTAATTTTCGGCACTTTATAAATGAAGGGGATGGTAAATGGGAGATTCACAAGTTTATTGTGTTTGGCTTCTGATTCCCAGTTCATGCCCATGGGAGGCATTATTCAAACTCTGGAGCATACCCAACACTTCACACATCTCTAAAACCATTACCAAAACAATTCATGCAGCCAACACACCCATCATCCACAAGAAACACACTTGAAATCACACACAAACATCCAAAAATCCAACTCTAAATTACACAACCAACATTAGTTTACTTTTACACAATCCACAATAGTCACCACATCCAATAGTTTACTTCTACACAACAAAACACACCGAACTTAAACACCTGAAAGACACACACGAAAGGAATCCATCACGGGGGAGGAGGAAGCAAGCCGGGCACGAATCACGGACCACCTACAGCACCAGTCTTCCCGCCAGAGGCCTGTTCCGGCTTGCGGAGTTGTTACCTGCTGTGGTTGGCGGTGGAGGTGGTGGGATTATGTTGGTGATTGCCTTGTGTCCATGCATTTTGATAGCTTCCTTATCAAAAGCTTTGGCGGCCTCTTCCGCCGTCTTCCAAGATCCCAACCATATCCTTTTGCCTGTTTCAGAGTCTCTAGTCTCCGCTACCCATCTTCCCCAAGTCCTCTGCCGCACGCCGCGATACTTCCTTGGTGCAATTCCTGCATTACACGGTTGCCCTCCATCTGCCATGCATTTTCTCTTGTTTCTAGAGGCATTGCCACCCTTTTGGACTTCCTTTCCCTTCCCAGTATCATCAGCATTTTCATTGTTAGTTTTTGCAACTCCCTTCCCATCCCTATGACCATCACTGCCTACACCCAAAGTGAGAGCCAACCCAGGCAGCAGTCCCATCCACTCAGGTGACTTTTTGTTCACCCAGGGGTAGTTTGCCTTGGTTCCATCTGGCAAAGAAATCTTTGAACTCCCGCCTTCTGCAACTCCCTTTCCTTTCCCTCGACCACCAGTGCCCTCACCCAACGTGCGAGGCTTGGGAGGCTTCCTTGCCAACCTCTTTAGGAGATTTTGGGTCACTGGGGGCGAATGTCCCTCCTTACGCACTGGATCAGCCACAGAAATCTCCAAACCCCTAGGATGTTCACAGGCGGCCATCTCAGAAGAGGGTCCATGATCTGTAGTCTGCGCCTCTTGATTCACTTTGGAAGCAGATGACATTAGGGAAAGTACCAGAGCTGTTCCTCCATTCATTTCACTTCAGAAAGAATCCAAAAACAGCATCAGTGACATTCTAAGACTAGGGATGTGTGATCACATATAGAACTTTTATTTTATTTACCAAAGAACTTTGTGTGTAATAGCAGAAAATGGAAAAGTCATAACTCAAATTAAAGATAACAAGGCAGACCTTGTTCTTTACTTACAAAAGGGAAATAATAGCTAAATTAGAAAAACTGTGTCTGAAACAAAAAAAGGAAAAAAAAAAAAAAAAGGTAAATCAAGATTCATAAGTTTTGACAGAATGAGAACTACAAAACATTGGCAACTCAGATATTCACTTAACCCTAGGAAGCGTCACGAGCAAGGATTTAAAAATGAAAATCGCTAAGATGAGGAAACAGCGATAAAGATAATTCTTTGTGTATTATAGCATATATATATATGCATATCTCACCTCACCAACGGGCGCTTGACCTCCTTTCCAGCTGGATCAGCCAAAATCTTCAAACCCCGTGGACGTTCACAAGCATTCAAGTCAGACGGGACTCCTCCAGTGAATGACTTTCTGGGAGGTAACGGAACAGGAACTATCTTCATTTCACTTCAGAAACGAAACCAAAAAACAGCATCAGTGAAATTCTAAACTAGTTATCCCATTTAAAACTTTTTTGCATTGTTAATACAAACAAGTGAGCAACATCTTGAAAGAAACAGACACAGAGCACCGAGAAATAAAAAAATTTATCGTCCATACTAATGAGCAAATTATCTGCACAAGTATTACTGAAGATCAGAGTATGAGAGCAGAAAATGGAAAAAGCAGGACTCAATCTAAAGAAAACAAAGCAGATATTGTTCTTCACCTACAAAAAGGAAATAATAGCTAAATTTTTTATTTTTAAAAAAACTGTATGGAAAAGAAAAAACCTAGGTTAAATCAACTTCTTGAGACTAAACAGAAGGAGAAACTAACAATTACTGGCAGCTGATGTTCACTTAAACCTAGGAAGCTTCACATACTTGGATTCAGGATGAATACCAATACAACTAGGAAACAGAAATGAAGATGATTCTTTGTTTTAGTATCATAGCATACATACGCATCCCAAGTCGGATGAAAACCTCAAAAAATAAGATTAATTCTTTTGGAAACCAAAAGGCAAATCACATTCTGTTCCTAAGCCAATATAGCTACTTAAGTTTTACACAATTTTTTTCCTCAAAACATTATCAACACATTTAGATCTCAACTTTTCCAGTGCTCAAATATCCACAACAAGACTAAAAAGGAATCGAGGCATCCTGAGGAACAGTTTAATGAAATTTTAAATAAACAAACATTTTTCCCCCATTATTCATCATATACAAGGCAAAAAGTTCTCCGATAGGGTTTCCCATTTATTTTTTATCCCCACTCAATTGTGAAATTTCACACAGATCATACATATTCAAAGCTGTAAGCCATCTTATTTTCAGCTGTAAGCCATTCCTAACCCAATATAGCTACTTAAGTTTTACACAATTTTTTTCCTCAAAACATTATCAACACATTTAGATCTCAACTTTTCCAGTGCTCAAATATCCACAACAAGACTAAAAAGGAATCGAGGCACCCTGAGGAACAGTTTAATGAAATTTTAAATAAACAAACATTTTTCCCCCATTATTCATCATATACAAGGCAAAAAGTTCTCCGATAGGGTTTCCCATTTTTTTTATCCCCAGTCAATTGCGAAATTTCACACAAATCATACACATTCAAAGCTGTAAGCCATCTTATTTTCAGCTGTAAGCCATTCCTAACCCAATATAGCTACTTAAGTTTTACACAATTTTTTTCCTCAAAACATTATCAACAACATTTAGATCTCAACTTTTCCAGTGCTCAAATATCAACAACAAGACTAAAAAGGAAATCGAGGCATCCTGAGGAACAATTTAATGAAATTTTAAATAAACAAACATTTTTCCCCCATTTTTCAACAGATACAAGGGAAAATATTCTCCAATAGCGTTTCCCATTTATCTTTTATCCCCACTCAATTGCGAAAATTCACACAAATCATACATATTCAATGTCTTACGAACAAAATCATACATACCCAAAAGCCAAGAAGAGAATTTCCTCGAAGTGATTAGTAATTTAACCTATACCCAAAAGAAAACAGAAACGGTACACTACTTATAGCAATCTCACCGCTGACAGCTGTAAGGCATTCTTATTTTCAGTCACTCCCAAAAAGCACCTCCAATTAGTTTCACCTGTACGTTACAGAAGTAAATAGGAAACAGACAAGAATAGGGAGTAGAAACCGAAACGTAAAGATCTTGGTAAAGGCAACCGGTAGGGAACTGCAGGGATAAGCTTCGACACGTGGATGTAGCAAGATTGCGGTGATTTTGAATTGCAAAGAATTACACAGAAATGTGGCATAATTTTTGAAGATTACATGAATCAAAGAGAAGAGGCATAATCATAAGAATTAATGAGTACACTTTTCTGACAACTGGCATTTAAGGAAGCATATATATGCATTTAAGGCATTTAATAATTAATTAGTATATTATAGTCATGAATAATAGCCTTAGTGTTATGCATACATAAAACTATAAACTACTTTTCACGTACACAAGATGTTTCCTAAGAAAGAGAGAAAAAGGAAAAGAGAGAGAGATACAATTTATTTTTTCAAGAATCTCTATTCTCAAAGGCGAAACACTGTCATTTTTATCGGAAACCATATAAAAGTCATCATAATCCCTTCAGAGCACCTTTTTCCCCTCTTTTTTATTTTTTTTTTCCGTGTCTTTCAAATTCTTGACCAAAGTGGAGGAAGTTATTAAAGGATCACCTACTACATTAAACTAACAGCCTCAAAGTTGTAACAGACATTCCATTTGTTGTCCTTTAAGAGGTTTTTCCATTCATCAAATTACTAACCTCATGGTTATAAAAGCATCCAATAATGCATAGAACCACTACTGAAGCTGGGTTCTAGAAAAATGATGGTTTATATATACACAAATTCTACCTGCAGATAACTGCTAATAAGGAAACCAAACTTGTACCCCAGAACCATGGATTCATCTCCACGAACTAGATGTACATTTTTAAAAAAAAGAAGAAAAAGGTCCAGAAACTTAAGAACAGACATTTAAGGAAGTTTAATCCTTAGGTTCTTCTGTCTGTAGAAATTTAAGATTTGAATGAACAAAAACACCACACTCGCCAGATATTTTGGGGAAGTATAAAAGAACTACAGTAACTACTTAGAAGCTTCTCCAGTCATAAGATGCTTCTCATCTGATGCTTAAATGATTAGCAAAGCAGAATTTCTAACGGTTCAGAAGTTATTAATAACTCTTAATAACTGATTTAATATCAAACAGCTCAATGTCTAGTATTCTTCTAGATGACCCGAAAGAGAAAACAGGAAGAGATTCAAAGAAAAATTCAGAAAGCTGCGTTAATAGTAAATTAAAGCAGACAAAATTATTCATCCAGTATAACTCCCAGGGAGATTCCTATAAAGACACTACAGCACGGAAATGAAAGCGAAAGCCAGTCTAAAATGGAAACTAACATACAGAGCTCAAAATTCTCTACTAGTTCACCATAATGTAATAGAACAAAATTATAATACAAAAATCTCACAATTGCAGAAAGGAAAAAAAAAATTGATTCTTTAGAAGTAGCTTCTGAAATCAATAGGGAGACTTCAGATCATAAATGAGCCACCTTTGCAACTCCTTCAGGGCAATATTTACATGACCCACATAAATAAAACATCATGCCGATTCACCTACAAGCTAACCACTTAGCATACTGGGAAGCAAGGGTCACCATCTACATGAATTCTTCTTCACTTATTCCGATTTAGTTCTTTTTATAAGTAAGAATAGAACCCTGGAAATTTTCGTGCGGAGAAAAGCCACAAAACATCTTTTTGCCAGTCGAGATGTTTAGTATGCGAGTGGAAAATGTGAGAAATTTTGAGGTAAAATGGTCAACAAGAACTAACCCAACTAATACAATACATTTCTCAAAGGAGCCCTATAAGTTGATAGCAAAAAGAACATCTAGTGGTACACTAGAAAAATGAAAAGCACCACAAATGAACTTTCAATTGAACAATGTGAACAGAGTAAACAGTAAATAGACCTCTGTCTGCTATAAGATGAAGATCTCAATATCACCTACTCAAGCAAAAAAAGAAGTGCTTATCGATTGTGAGTTAGCAAATGAAGCAAAAGGGAAGAATCTTGAAACCAGAAAAATGAAGCTGCGCTCACTTAACCAAATATCTAAATTTGAGAAACTATAGTAGGTGAAAGCATTGGCTTATTTAAGCTCAGTTCTCACACTCTAGCAACTGGAAATATCTTGTAAACAAATAGGGAATTCAAACTAACCAATGCAACACAAGAGTTGAACCAAAATAACTTTTCATGCTGAAATTATGATAAAAAATGTAAATTTAAGTTTTAGTGCCAGGTCTTAAGTACTCAAGCAAACATGGAAAAAAAAAAAAAATCAAGCATTCAAAAACATTATCTAAGCCCAGCGAATTCACTAATCATTGTACTACCACAATAAAAAAATAAAAAAAGAAGTTTTCAAGAGGTATTATAGTTACCTCATTAGAGTAATCCACGTACATTAGAACTGGCAAATTTTTTTCCTTTTTGATTTCCTAACAACACCACAAATGAAACAATTCATAAATGCACCAATTGTGAAGATATTGACTTCCATCCTTTGATAAAAGAGAGCAACTTTTAGCGGAAAGAAAACTGTAGGCGTGATTAAATGTGTTAAAGGGTTTACCCCCGTCGACTCTCCGCAGGTATATTCAAATTCAAAAGACATGCTCGGCTGAGTAAAATCTTCAAATTGTAGGGCAAATGCTCAAATAGGCAGAAAAGAAAAATCCCTAATTTCATAACAGGACTTTAGTGGATCACTAATAACTGAACAGAAACTAGCCGTAAAATATTCGACGGCGAAACACATAGCCTCGGTGAAGGGGAGAAGTCGGCTACGCCGGTGGTTGTAGAGGCCTGGGGGGCGGGGGAGAATCCGGAATCAGTTGGAATCAATGGCGGGAAGTCTTTGCTACGACGGCGTTTTCAGCTCCGTGCAGATTGTTTTTATTTTCTTTTTTATTTTACATGATCACATCACATCTCATATATATTTTCTTTTTTTCAATAGGAAAAAAAAAATGAAAGAAAAAAGAGCAAACAGAATTCATTACAACACAAGTAGCAGTTTAGGTATATGCCATCCTTCATTTCAATGAGTTCCATAAATTCTTTTCTTCATTTTTTACTTGTATCTTTTTGATATTGAACGTAGTATATGTCAATTTATGTTCTTTTTCTACTCTCTTTTTTTTGGGAGTAATACTCCCTCCAGTATGTAAGGCATAAAATAATGATTTTTAACAAATTAATGAAGCTAGTTAAGATACGAAAGCATTAAGGGTAAATTATAAAGGCAATTACCACAACTCAGAAGCTCAAAAAGGAACCAAATTTAACTCCAAAATCACATAATAAATAAATCTGACGTTCTTACATTTCCATCAAAGTTCCCACCGCCACAAGGAAAATCATGTGTTTATTTCTGCAATACCTTTTAATTTACTGTGTTTTCTTTCGTCTTATTGTCGGAACAACAGTCAATGGTTACCCTTTTGTAGTATTACCAAGGGTAAAACAAAATTCATAAAAAGAGGGATTGCTTCTGTGCCTTCCCCTTCTTCCCATCCATCCATTCATTAGTTTGCCTGTAAAGGGATGAACATTCAACATGTTGAAGGCGACAGGTGACATCAACTTCATTTGTATCGTTCCGCATGGTAATTGATTTTTGGATTTCGGATATCATCTTGACTCTGAATTAGTCGAATTTCCAAACTGCTCGACTGGCAATCGTATCCTGCCGTTTGGTAATCCTTTACTGTTCTCACTAGAAGCGCCTGAACAGAGAATACAAAACCAAACCCGTCATAAACCGTCCATGTCTGCAACTCTAGGGAGTTAAGTGTATATGCATGCCATTTGTCAGGTTACCGTGGGGAAAAATTGCTATATTTGCATGAAGGAAAAACAAAACAGAACAAAAGAACTGAAAAACTAGCAATTTGACACATATACCTGCAAGCTTGATACAGCTAGCTCAGCAGCTCTTTCAAGGTTATCAGGGTATTTCTGGAAGCAAAACATGCGAATTGAAACAAGTTTGAAATTTGTCTAGAGAAAATTTGAAATAAACATTTAGAAGCGAGTATTACGTTACTCCATCCAAGCAAAAGTGCGGTCGTCAAATCTCCAGTTCCCTGCAATTTAAGATGCAGAACACTATAAATCCTTTTTCTGTCCGCTTAAAATAAAGTCGGTGACCTAAATTTCAGGGGGTTGTTTTGTTTCCATATATTCTCCGTAATAACTACTTTTATGCAATTACAGGACCTTTAGATAACATACCAGAAAATCAAACGTCACAGAAAAAAGTTTACCGTGAAATACGCAGGAATTTTGGGTATCACAATCTTGAACTGCTCGGGAGGTTGGTCCTATCAAATTCAAGTGCTGAGCAGATAAGAACAAGTGGAAGTGATCACATTCCGCACAGTATATGAATTGCTAAATCAGGAAAAAAGCATATAGAAACTTAAGAATCAAGTAAGCTCGCAGCATTTTAACATGTCATGTTGCAGATTCCTAAAAAAGCAACTATGATCCCTTATATTAGATAGAAAATATCATTACAAAACTGAACAAAACAAAAAGGGACTTCACATCCTAAGTCATAGCATACGCCAAAGAAAAGAACCACCAAACTTTTACATAATGGATGAGTAAATCTTTCTTCTCACCTTCTCTTTCTGATGACTGCCAATAAGAAGTAACTCGTCATTAATGTTAATGCTAGTTATCACAACCTGAAAGAGGTCAAGAGTTCATATATAACAACTGTGTACGACACATGATAAGTTGATAACAAGCAGAACATATCACTACGGATTACACAAGTCATTTATAGTTGAATATGTTTGGGTCATCAAAAGGACACCGTTTAAATGCACATGATTTGCAGTGTCATTATCCATAAAAAGGTCAAAGCAAAGAAAGGGATACAAATAGCAATAATGGAAATATTCTTGTATTCATGCCTAAACACACATAGACACAACCACATGCACGTCACATAAAAGCATGTCTCCATCAGCATGCACTTGTAATCTTGTAAAAGTGTAGAAACCAGCATCTTTGGCTACGGTACAAAATAAAGAATACGGAAAATATCTACTGAAGTGAGCAATTAGGAAATTATTAATATACAAGTATTCTAGAATCAGAAAGATACAAAAAAAGTGGAAGTAGGAAAGAAACTGTCAGTAGAACCTTTGACGGCCCAGCAGCATGCAAAATATTGCAAGCTTCACGTCCATGTTGCTCAGTTACAATCCTGTTGAAAAGAAATTGTTCTCAGCATAAATGATCATGCGACGAAGAAGCGAGATTACAATCCTGATCAGTCATTCTTTTGATAAGAGAACAAACATAAGAATTTCAAGATAAATATTCCAATCCCCGTGATGCAACTTAATAAAATCTCAAGACTTAATATTGAGTTCATGGATGCCATAAGTACCTGAAATTCGTCAATTGTTCAGCTTCAAACTGATTAGGCGTCAACATTGAAGCCACTGGAACAACCTAATTAAGAAATCACAACAGATGTTTTAGCAGTAAATATAGTAAATAAGTGTCACCAGTTTTGATAGTCTTGAGAAGGCTTCTCATGGTAATAGGAAACAAGAAGCTACCTTCTCACGGTACACTGATACAAGCTCTAGAGGGACATAAAGCTTTCCTTCATCACCCATCACAGGATCACAAACTAACAAAGAAGTTCAAAGTGAAACAAGTTCTTAGCAAAATAACTGATTACAAAGATACAGCCAAAAACGTCCAGCCGACCAAGTTGCTTATTCTCCCAAATTATAAAACAAACACAAGAATTATCAGAAGAAAGTCTGTTTAAGTCCCAACAGTCCTATTCTCCATAATAATGATGAGGCATGTTATAGGGCCCTAACTAATTAGCATTAGATACTAGCCTAACAAATTCCATGCACAACGAAGATTGATAATAAGTATTTACCATATGTGAGTTTTGGGTTGACTGATCGCAGCTTATCAACGACTTTTAACACAGTATTCAGGAACGATACAGAACCAATGTAACCTGGAATGCATGAAAGTATTACGGTTATACGATGTTGAAAAGTGCTTGTCATGAAATGGATCAAAGTAATCTATGAGCACAATAAAACCGAGACAAAATGTCAACAGACAATAACTGCCCATTAAATTTCCGAAATCAAGGTAAAAACATGACAATGGATAATATGTCTGCCCCAGACTATCATTACCAAAAGATAAGCGAAAAAGTTAAGTTCTTAGCATACCTGTCAACAAATGAGTATAGTACAATAGATCATTTGCTTCAAGGCCTTCCACTAATTCCCACAGTTGTTGTCCATTTAATACCTGGCCCTTAAAAGTTGGGTACCCTGCAGAATCTCAAGGCGCGATTATGAATGACTCAAAGTGTACAAGCAGATCTTTTATGCATGAACTATTGCATATTCATAAATGACATCGCACCATATTTAAGGCTCAGACTGTTTTTAGTGAAAGCAGCTTGCCTGTGTGGTTAGAGAACTGCACAGAATTGATAGGATCCACATCATATCCCAAGAGTTGGAGAGGAAATACTGCAGATTTGTTGCCTACATATCCCTAAAGGGAGAAGCATAATAATAATAATTAATAGCAGCCCTGAAACCAAGATCAAAACAATAGAAGATATATATGACAAAAGTTCACTTAAATACATAAAAAAGATGTTTCATGGACGACTAGCAATGTATTCGGAGATGTTCACCACAAAGATAGCAACCTGGACCCCTAAATATGCCTAAAATGTAATTAACACTTTCAACGAAAAGATATAAATTCAGCTGTACGATCAGTTTTAGCGTTACACTGAATGCCGAGGAGTCAAACACACAAGTAGTTGCGAATTAAAAATGCTAAAGAGCCAAACACACAAGTACTTGAGAAATCATAAAAGCAGTATGAACTTTTTATAAAAGATCAAAAGGAAAAAAGAGAAACATTTCAAACCTTATATATAAAAACGGACGAACATAAACATAAATGAAAAGATTGTGTGAGTCTTCAAACTGTCAAAGTCAAAACACAAATCATCAAGAGCAACCTGAACAGTGTGAGACTGAATACTGAGGACCCTTCCAGTGTCCGATGGCAGAGCCAATGAAAGCACCGGAGGCCCCATGATTGACTTCTGTCAGCTCCTAGCCCCTACAATTCCAATCCAAACTCATCAAAAAAAGATTATATAAACATATTCATCAATTTTTTGTTCTTCGGATACAAAGTTTACCAGGCTTATCCTTCATCCACAAAGTACTAGCTACTAATCAACAACACCAACCAACCTATAAATCCTTTATTTTCGCCCATCTTTTCACAAAAAAATCGTTGCGTTTTCCATGGAAAATGGGTTCTGGAACGGCTATTATTGAACAAAGAAAAGCTCCATAATAGACAAGTAAAATTAAAGTCAAATTTCATCCCAAAAATGGTAAATCTTTTCTGTAAAATAGTACCACATCCTACATTGAAGCATTTAACGAACACGAATCACTTCACCACTTTCTGATCTCAAAATCATGCTAATTTAAGAAAAATAGAAGGAAAAAAAAAAGAGGAAAAAGTTAGAAGGTAAGGAAGACTTCCTAACCAGCATGAAAATCATGAAGATTTCCTAGCCAGCATCCAATGCTTATTAATCAAGAATAATTAAAACCCTACCAATAAAATAACTTGATCACCCAAAAAAAAGGTAAAGAAGACCAAAGAAATAGGCGGAAAAGTCACATCCATTGTTGCAGAATAAGAACCATACTCCTTATCTCGAAGGGTAAAAACAAATTGGCACAACATTTTGAGGAATGAAGAAATTTACCAGAGTTTTGGATTGTGGTCAAGAAGTTGATTAAGAATAAGAAAATCCAGATGGAAGCTCGACACAGGAGGGATGAAAAGATTGGCTGGAACTCTGCGGCGGTTTCCCAACGGCAGATTGTTTTCAACTGTGATAAATATTGTCAAAGGCGAAACGGGAAGCAGAAAAATAAATAAATAAAAAGAGTACAATCAATCGAACCGGGTTTTTCCGGCCGGTCTTCACATACAACAGTTTTGGAAAAAGGACAAAATCCTCCCGAGTTATGTCCAAAGTACAAATTGCCCCCGACATTTGTTAAAAAGATAATAACCCCTACTGCCAGGTTAAAGGATAATTTGCCCCAAATCTTAGTGTAAAAAAGACATAAATACCCTTAAAATTTTTTTAAAAAAATTTAACATCAAGCCTACCCTCCAAACAACTCGTTTATTTTTTAAAAAAAATTATAAAAATTTTATTATCCGCCATTTTAAATCTAACAAGACTCCATTTTGATGCATTATTTCTCCCTATCAATGCCGCCTCAATAAAAATAAACCTGAGATTGAGAATTTAATCTATCAAGACCATAAATTCTATTTACACTGCCGTCTCAATAAAAATAAATCCGAGATTGAGAATTTAATCTATCAAAATCATAAATTCTAAATTCTCAATCTTGAGTTTATAGAATTTATAGTTTTGATAGATTAAATTCTCAATCTCGGGTTTATTTTTATTGAGGTGGCAATGATAGGGAGAAATAATGCATATAAATAAAACTTTCGGTATTTATAGATTAAATTTTTAATTTTGGGTTTATTTTTATTGAGACGGCAGTGATAGGGAGAAATAATGGATCAAAACGTAGTCAGCGACAGATTTAGAATGACGGATAATAGAATTTATAATTTTTAAAAAATGAACGAATTGGTTAAAGCATAAACTTGGTGTAAAAAAAAAAATCTTTTTTGATGTAAGGACATTTCTATCTTTTCGCACTAAGATTTGCTAATGCAGGAGGCAAATTGTCCTTTACCCTGACGGTAGGGGGATTATTGTCCTTTTAATGAAGGTCGGGAGGCAATTTGTCCTTTAGACATAACCCGGGAGGGATTTTGTCCTTTTCCCAACAGTTTTTTGGCTTAATTTACTTTCAATCAATAATTATTACTTCCAATCCTTAATATAAGCTATTTTGATTTCTCCTAAGTTTAACATAATACGTATTTTTAATTAGTAAAAAAATTTTAAAAATATTTTATAACAATCAAGAGAATACAACGAACATAAAAATATATTTTTAAAATTTTTTTGTCAACTATAAATACGTACTAGATGAAATTTAGGATAAAATCAAATTGCCCTATATTAAGGACCGGGGAATACTAGTTTATAATTTTATTATATAAGTCTCTCCCAGCTGTCATGTCCCTCTCCCGTGGTTTAGGATATGAAACTTTAATATATAAAAGTTGTACTAATCTCTTCTCCTCCATCGTGTCTAAATAAATGCAAATTAGGTCATTTTGATAATTGACATGTCTCATTTCCCCTGGCATTCACAATTACACATGTCATCTTTTATTAATTGAACGATATATGTCTTTGTCAGATTCGCATTTTGACGTCTTTCTTCTCGACTCTTCCAAGTTGGTACTTGGCGCTCGAGTCAGGTTCAGCTTCTACTGGTTACACGATCCTCAACTTATTTATAGAGAGCTTTTGTTGATAGTATTCGAACAAGTTTCAGATCACGCAAATAACAGGGAAAATGTTTGGATACAGATTCAGTTGACATGGTTGGCCAGTGCCAGGAGACTGGAGCATGCATCTTGTTCATCAGTTAACTCTGCTGTCTTTTTTGAGGCTTGAGAGCTTTACCACCACCATTGGTGTCTTTGAGGGAAGCTGAGACAGTATCGGGTTTTGTTCTTGTGGAGAGCTCGGATAATGTCAGCAGAACTTGGAAGAGAGGTTACAGCCTATGGGAGGAGGACATGGACTCTTGACGGGAAGTAGTTAAGCAGAGCAGAGTTGCTTGGCGCGTATTTATGGGATGAGACATTCTTCCCAAATATAACTGCTAATGCCAGAAGATCGTCTCTGTCCTGCATTTTCTGCTCACCTCTCAGAACGCTACTCGACTTCTCCATTACCAGTTCCAGTCCGGCAGATTAGTTTATCATCCCATACCAACGCTAGCTCCCACTTAACCGAATAAATAAAATGTAAATTCAATAAACACTAGTGTTATCGTGATAGGTGGTTTCACAGTAAAATTGTGACTAAAAACATTTGCCCAGAACGAAATACAGAAACAAAGGCAAAAATAACCTTCATTCACAGGTGACAGAACAAAAACTATCCATCTGCAACCTAGACTAGAAGAATTCTAAGCTGGTTTTGATAACCATGTTGCACCCGCAGCACCCATATCTTATAGACAACCCCACAGGGAGAAATACCATTTAAACAATGTCAACTCCAAAGTTTGCGAAACCTATATACAACCCCACAGGGAGAAATACAATTTAAACAATGTCAACTCCAAAAGTTTGCGAAACCAATATACATTCATCACTGCAAGAGGTGTGGTACATTCATCGCAAGTGTAATTATAGAATCCAGAGAAAACACATCAAGGATACACTAATATGACAATGTCAGAATGGCATTACAGCTACAAAAAGACATTAGGCAAATAGATATCAAACAGAACATTGTTGAAATCCATCTTGCATAACTCTACAGGTCAGAATAGATCAAAAACCAACAACAATCACCTGAACAAGGCCACCAAATTTGAGCTACTATCATTCTCAAAATATCAAAACAAATAATAATAAGAATGAATTTAAAGACAAATTAAACCATCATACAAGGCTATTATATAACTTCTCTCCAAAGATAACGGATTATGTCACAATAACGACAACTATCAGCATATCAAAGAAAACATGTCACAGAACTGGCAAATAATATAAAATCGACAAGAAAAGAATTAAACAGAGAGGGCATCCATAAATAAAAGTATCCAAACAAAATACTTAAAGAGGGTGATAATTGTCATATGAAATTACAGCAGTAACATCATTTATACTAGCAGTCTATCAAACATAAGAGTTTAACAGCCCCAAAAATCTTCTTCCTAATTTCCTTTCGAAAATGACAAAATACTCGGAGAAAACGAGTGGCCCAAACCTAATCGAACAAGCTGAAACCCATATCGTCATCACTCTCTTCTTTAGGCTCTTCCTTCTTCTCCTCAGCAGCGGGAGCTGCAGCGGCAGCAGAAGCACCACCAGCGGCTGGAGCGGCAACGGCTACAGCAGCACCACCGCCGCCGGCGCCGACGTTCAGGATGAGATCTTCGACATTTCTCTTCTCACAGAGCTTGGCGAAAAGGCTTGGCCAGTATGACTCGACGGAGTTCAAATTAGCAGCCTTGAGAAGGGTGGCGATCTTCTCCGCAGTGATTGAAATGCCGTCGTCATGAAGGATCAGGGAGGCGTACGTGCATCCGAGCTCTCCGACCGACATTGTGAATTTGGGCAAGAAGAGGAGGTTTCTGAGGTTAGGGTTTCTGAGACTTGCTCCTGCTGCTGAGTTTCGATGGTGTAGTTATCTAGCTAGGGTTTCATTCTGGACTGCTGAATTATGCCAAAGACGTTTAATGAACGTGATGGGCTTTCTATAAGCCCACATCACCGTTGTATTCTAACGGATTTGGGTTACGAATTACTCCATTATGTACTTGTTATATTCCATTTTGATTTTTCCTAAACTTCACTTAGGTGTGATTAAAAATAGAATCCGCTAACCAAAGTGGTTGTGGTGGAATAGAAAAACTCCTCCACCCTGAACCATAGATCGAGGGTTCTCGAACCTCGTCATAGGTATGAAGCAACCTTAAATACTTTAGCCACATGTGCCACCCATCGAAGTGCCTATACAATTCAACGATTTGGCCACCTGTTCCACCCATCGAGGTGCCTATACAATTCAACGAGGGAGAGGGTTCGAAACTGTCCTACCCATCGAGGTGCCTACAATTCAACGAGGAAATTTGTCATTGTTGCTGACGGTGGACACCCTGCAAATATGAAAAAAAAAAAAAAAAAAAAAAATAGAATCCGCAAATATGAAAAAAGAAAAAGAAAAAAAAGAAATAGAATCCGCTTCTTGCGTAACCAGTAATATTTTGCCTGGGATTAGAAATTTATAGATACCCACCAATGGGAAGTAGAAACAATGTTTATAAAATGGGATGGAAATGAATCGGCTGATTCTTTAGCCAAGATAGAACTCTCTCGACTTTCAGACCTGTATATTTTGTCTTTCCCCACCGTTGACGTCGGAGAAAATGTTGCTAAATTGCCCTGGCTCAACTCTTACCTAAGATTTGCTTTTGTACACTAAAGCTTTTGTTTTCCCCGGTACATAAAAAAAGAAAAGAAATAGAATTCAATCAACTGAACTATTTAGGCAAATAATTTTGTCTGTTAGATCAGAAAATCCACTTAACCTTAGAATTAAATAAGACGCACCATAAACATAAGGAGCCATACACAAAGTATAATTTAAAAACTAACTGGCAACTTGTGCGGTTGGTTGTGTCCATATCTATTCGATCTCTCGAGTCTTCATCAAACTGCCCAACATATTGTATGTAGTAACTAGTAATTGATGATAGATGAAATCAATCTTTTCACAATCAGAAAATGGGGAGAATTAATGTATTTTGAAGATTGTAAATTAAAAATTGAGAGTGGCTACCGGCCCCCAAATCTTCTATGTAATGTGTCCATTTCCGCAATTGTAATACATCCCTTGTACAAGCGTTCTTTACTCCTTTGTTTCTGTGGCTGTCAACCTAATTTCTTTTTTGCTTACTCAATTCTTTACACTAATGATTTATTCATTGTCTTTGATGGTTAGGATATCCGGAACAACAATTAATTGTGGGAGGCTGGAATTCTGTTTTCAATAGATCTTATACAAAATATTACTCCCTCTAATCCTTATTATTCCGGTCCTCATTGTCTTTGTTTTGATTGAAAAAAAAAAAACTTTTAAGATATTTCTTAATGATTAGGAGAATACAATAAGTGTGAAAATATGTTTTTAAGTTTTTTTTTCAATTAAAAAAAATATACTTATTCGGTGAAATTTATGATAAATTAGAATATCTTATAATCAGGACAGGAAGGAATAACCAAAGAGTAAAAAAAATAAAAGTCATTAACCTGGCGATTAAATAAAAATATGAATTCATGAAGGTAATTATTAAATAATACTAAAATTTTGAGCTCAGAATTAAGGGAAAAAAAATTCAGATTGTGGATTTGGAAACTAAAGAAGTCGAAAAGGGAAACGATTGTATTCTTTGCTAATTTGGGTCAATGTTGATTCTTTTTTTGCTCAATTTAGAGCTCCAACTAATAGCAAATCACAGGTTGATTTTTAGTAAGTAAGAATAGATTGCAGAGAATGATTTCCTTCTCCCTCGGATCGTTTTGTTTTGTTTATTTTAATCTGCTCCCTTCTCCCTCTCCAAAACCCGCGCGAGTGGAAAGATAGGCGACTTTGCGATTGTTGCTGAATCTAAGGTTTAAGTGTAGTATGTTGAAGGATGTGATGATGAATGCTGTTTGTGAGATGGTGGACGACCCGAAATTCGTTTTCTCCGCGAATGGCATAAAGTTGTACGCCTGGAATAAGAAGGGGACGGCAGTGGTATCGGTGGATCTCAAATCCGAGGTTCCCCGTCGGTGACGACCGTACAATTGCCCTCTGGCTGGACCTGAATTTCTTGTCTTATCATCTCCGCAACGATTAACGGGGTTTGGAGGACACCCTTACCGTCCAAGTACTCGATGTTGCTGAGGCTCTTGTTATCAACATTACCAACCCTGGTATGTTTATACTCCTTCTGTCCCAAAATATGATCGTCCTGTTTGAACTAAAAATGAAAATCCAAACTACAATAATTTTGGGACGGGTGGAATTTATTTTTTATTTTTTTTTGAGATTAATGAGGTTATTCATAATTTGTTTGTTTTGCCATCGATTTTAAATCTTTATAGACTCATATTACCTGAAACTAAATCCCTTCCCTTTGTGAATTTTGCGGTGGAAGGTACTGTTTCCTGTCGTGACATGGAGTATGTTAAGATTTCGGAGTCTGAAATTGAAGAGATAAAGACGGAGTCGTCAGTGGTGAGGAGTATGATGCATCTGTGAAACTCACCTCACCCAGCTTTGCTACAGCGATTTGCGGCCTTTGCAGTGACTACATTCACTACGAATCCAAACGTCGTCCGCCTGATTATTATGATCACAGCAAAGCTCCGCCGCCGGTGAAGGATGAGCACACCATAAGCACATTCACTACATTCCCTCTTCATCTGCCGTTGGATTTGTCTTCGGAATTGCGGGGGGATAAGCACACCATAAGCTTTGATTTGGTACGGATGAGTGACGACGACGACGACCGTGATGGAGGTTTTGATGATACTACTGATGATGAAGACGACTGACTATGATGATTGTGGTGCTCATTACGAGCTATCAGACGACGAGGAGGAGCTGATATGGGACGAAGATTATAGCTCCAGGCACCCCGTAATCTGATAATAATATTTTAATTTTCGACCATTTTATGTTTTTATTAGAAGCTCTCAGAGATTTTGTCTTTGCTGCAAAAGGAGAAAATAAAAACATTGTTTGTGGGCTCTTTTGGTATCGCACACTGTACTTCTCAGGTCGTCCATTTTTAAATTAATGATGATCATGTAGGTTTAGTTATTTTTCTTCTGCTCATATTTTGATCTGTTACATTCTTTGTTGTTGTGTACTTGTGTTCTTTGCTATTTTCGAGTGCCCATTTTTGCCCTCAGCTCGGTTTAAAAGGGTTGATTAACATCATAAAATCAATATTCGCTGATGGTTTTCGTCAAGGCTAAGAATAAATTGCTGATGGTTTTACTTAGGAGGGGGAAAAAAATATGGACAGCAAAGAAGTGATCAATGAATTCATATCCTGAAAAAAGTCAGCTAAACAAACAACTATAACAAGAGTTCATCATGTTGAAGTTCGTCCTACTATTCACATTTCAGTGCAAAGTTACCTCAAATGTAGGTACTGTGGGTCTAATCATCTCCTCTTCTTGTCATCAGATTTAATGAGTTCAACTGGAGCTGCTGGAATTCTTAACCACCACTCTCTTGTACGCCTCATGAACCTTGCACTGCTCTCTTTTCTAAGGGGCATATTCCTCGTGAAACACTCCACAAAAGCAAATAGAAGTATATAATTGAGTGGCACGAAAGCAAGCGCTAAAGCCACCAGAACAAGCATTAGAGCGACTTTTTCTGTTGCCTGAGTAATGGCAGAAAGCACTCGAGTCAAGCACACAGATCAGTCTACTTCAAAAGAATTAAATAAGCTAGCCAACTCCAAATATGCCTATGTTACTTCACATAAGCTAGCCCTACCTTTAAGGACATACATCCATAATCTATTGCACTGACAGGAAAGACAAAAGTTATGTACCAAGCTTATAAACTGTACCTGGGGGATAACACCATATAGGAGAGCTCTCATTTTGAGAAGAACAATGTTAACACTCTGAATTAATCCCTCAACTTGAGTTACAGCATCTTGCAATGTTAAAAGCTGCTCTACAGCATTTTTGGTGGGAGGAGCTACAATTTTGAAAGCTTCCAAGGGTCCCATTTTGCCGGTCTGCCTCCGCCAGATCATAAAACTCGCCACACTTAAAAATGTACAGGGCAATATATATCTGGTCCATCCCCTGCAAATATGGAAAATGATTAAACAACACGTTTTCAGTGTTCGAGAATAATGATTAAACTAAAATACAGAATCTTCATGCTAACTTCATACTCTTGGTTAAGTACAAGAAGCACAAAAACTTTCATCCTCTTGGTTAAGTACTCATCTTTCTAAGGAAACAACACCACATCTACAGCTGAACTGTCCTATACAGTTCACTGTTGACTAAACTTGTAAAAATTGCATTGAAAGTGAATGCTAAACAGGCAAAGGCAAATCAAGTTCATCAAAAATTTAGAATGATACAGAAATCGGAGGAGCCAAAGGAAAGCATGTGCACCTGAATATCGTATAGCTGATCAACAGCAAAAACAGACCAGATTTCCAAGGATCTTCCCAAGAGACCAAGTGTTGCAGCCGATCAAAAGATTCAATTAGAGGATAAAGTAATTCCTATGGAAAAGGAGAACATGTCACAACAAGATTCAGCAAAAAGATAACAGCAGACAACTTAAAAAAGAATCAGTGAGGTATTATATAGCAAATGTAGGATTTTCAAGAAGCAAACAACTTGTATCATCATGGCTGGAGGGCATTTTTAACTTTGGACATACTTCAAGGAGACATTTCATTTCAACTCCTTTTTACATTTCACATCCAAATGCAATCATTTTAATAATTTTCAAAAGCAAAAACTACATGAGGCGGTCCTTCATCAGTGCTAGCATTTTCTGTGAAGCATAACATAGTTCCTGAGGTAATATAACATATAATTGCCATTATGCAAATATCAGTAATTACTATTAGCTATACTTTTTAACTCTAAGATGAGTAGAACGCACAAAAATGATAATATAAATAAATAAAATTATGTCAATCCAACAACTGAACAAAAAGAAAACTACAGAGAAAACCTCACAATACAAAGGACAGGAGTTTTGAAATAACCTTCAGTACTGCTAAATTTGTATCAATCCCTTCCACCTTTACTTGGTCCACTGTTGCTTGTGCAGCGACAGCTCTACCTGTGTTCTGTTTTGACTCTTTCACAGCGGCTTCCAGAGGACTGATTTCGCCTGCGCAATATTCTCCAAGACGAAAGGTACCTTCTCTATTGAAGTCTTCCTCGTTGCAAGACATAATACCAAGTGTACAAAGAGTTAAAAGGAAAAATGGTTGGACTGATTGCTTTTTCACATTGGGAGATCCAAATGCATCACGTCTTCCAGAACTATATTTCATCATAGCTAAGCGATTTGATAGAGTTTCCAAGATCATATCACCCCCAGGGAGGCTCTCAGCCAAATTGAAACAGAGTAAAGTTCTGTAATTGGATGGGAAAACATGTAATGCCTCCCTAATTGCGCGGTACCGGAAAATTCCAAGAATAGCTCTGGCGAGAGCTTCATTTACTTGGTTCTCTCTGAGATTGTACTTCCTAATAAACCTATGAGCTCGTAATATCTCGAGACATATATCTAACCAATAATCTCTTCGTGAACTGCTTTTGAACTCGGGAAATTCAAAATATACAGGCTCTGTGCTGTGCATAACTATTATCAGAACTAAAGCAACGTCAAAGAATTAAAGAATTTCAAGCATCAGTCAGAGAACATACATGGATGTTGACTTGTACATCACAGCTTTATCAAAGAGGCGAGCACCCAAAGGTCCTGTTAGTTCAGGTTTTATAACCTGCTTTGTGTCAGTTGCCAGATCATACCTCACAGCTTTATCATATATACCAATGCCAGGTTCAAAGTAGAGGGCATAATTGGTCAACGTTAAACGTCCTGACACAATAAGAAAGAGATTCGAAACAGTGATTCATATGACCATAAAGTGTAGCTTAAAATGATCATTCTGATTTGCCTGCATGTTTAGCCAGAAAAGTAGAATGAAAGGAAAAACAATTCTCATAGCGCGGATAAACGCTTAAAGCTCTATACAGCAGTTCATGACACATATAAGACCCAGTGCCATAAATCCATGTGAAAAATATGAAAGTTCAAATTTATAAGGGAAAAAGAAATCCTCGATTCCTTTTCAAGGCTAAATACTCCAGGCAACTAGGAAAGAACTCTAAACAAAGGCCAAGCCACAAAAAAAGATTCTTAGATCATGCCTGAGAATGCACCACCAAAAAAAGGAGAATAACTTACCAGGCCATGCAGATCTTCCAATATGTTGCAGAACTGGTTGTGTGGGTACTGTACCGTCTACGTCTAATATGATTTCTCCCTCCACAAGCGGAATGCTAGAGAAAAATTGTGCACCAATTCCATTATTCACAGTCTTTATGACCCTACAATGAACACCAAATGATCAGAGAGAGAGAGAGAGAGAGAGAGAGAGAGAGAGAGAAATAGAACAGCAGGTTTTGACGCTTAATAATGGCGGTAATTTATGAATGTTATATTCATGAGTTTAGTACCCACTACCACATAATCTACTACAAACAATGTAAGAAAAATACAAATAAAACTGGAAGTAAAACATTTGGTTCAAAGTAACTATGTCCAGCACACTAGAGTAAATGAAGCATACTTTTCAAGACTCCTAAGGTATTTGTCGAAGATAAGGTAATGAAGACGATGACTTGAAGATCTTGTGAGAACATCAAATAGATTGTGAACTGTTATAATGTCCGCAACTATAAAACAGGCAGGAGCAATGCGAGTGAAAGCCTCTTGACCAACTGTATTCTTATCGTCAACCTAATGACAGCAAGAAGATAGGAAACTAACATAAATGCTTGTGATACTAGCTAATCCATTACAGATTACATTGTTAGAAAGAATACAAGAAACATCTTACCAACCTGAACAGCCATGTTGGTGGAACTTGAATAAAATAATGAGTATCCATCCTCATCCTCCCCAGGATTGTTATCACAAGCAGTTTCCTGACAATGGAAAACAATCACAGAGTATTTTATGTTCCTTTTTCTCCATCCTCTGGAATTGGAATATAAGAGGCAAAAGAAATTATATGTGGCACATCTAATATCACAAATTAACACATGCAAGAAGATGGGAACAGCAATCTCACAGTAACTAGCTGATCACTGTTGACGCCTGAAGACTCCCATGCCAACATCATATCAAACATCAAGCGGCGGAACTCTTTGTCACTCAAATAATCAGGACCGGCGATGGACAAGCGAATCGCTTGATATGAACAAAATTCAATGAAGTTCCTTGCACAAGTTGAAGGTTGTTTAACCTTGTCAGGCAGGTCTTTATCAAAACTATGATACAAATCTTCAGCAGACGCATGAATGATCCTGTAATTCAATGGAGAATTCTCAATCTGTGGACAGAGCCAAAGCATCCTAATAGAGAAAAACAAAGATGCCACTATCTAGTCAACTTACAATATGCGATTTGATAGTTTAATAACTCTTAGTATTATTTTGTGTGGTAAAGCAATTTCTAAACGACAATAATCTAGAGTTGGAAAGAAATTCATCAAAATTAGAATGCAGACAGCGAATTGAAGAAAATAATAAAAGAAAGAAAGAGAGAAAATCCCCCAAATAATCTCATATGATCAGCTTACTTGGAACAGCGAGAGATGACATTGTAAGCAAGAGGAGAGAGATGAGGAATGGGCAGACTCAATCCGCCCTTCCCGGCGGCAGAATCTATATTGATAATATCAATATTACCCTTGATTTCATCTTCTACTTGTTCCTCCATGCCCTTAATTCTCCTTCTTCTGAAACTTGTTTTCTGATTCGCGCTTTGATTGAAGAACATGGACTTGAAGAAGGATAAAGCACGGCTGCCTCCATGGCCGCCGTAAGTAGTGACAGTATCACCAGCTCCCCTGCCGCCATTGTTGGGGTGGGTTTCTTGCGTTAGAAGATGATGATCGACAGTAGAATTACTGCATTGCTTTTCTTCCTCCATTTTCTGCTGCTTCTATTAATTTTAATTTCTTTTTATAGTATAGTATGATGATTCTGTTGTTCCAATTAATCTCTTCTTTTTCTTCCGGCCCCCGTTCAAGAAATTGGGCTTTCAAAGTCTATGGGCCCAAACGCGGGCTTCCAAAACTTTAAGGGCCGCGACCCAAGATATGTACTACTACTATTAGTTTTAGACTAATAATTTGCATTTTATGTGTGGTTTTCTTTTTCTTCCTTCTTTTAATTTTTCCCCAATATTAATGAAGTTATTAGTAGTAAAGATGCGCAATTAAAAAAATAAAAATAAAAAATGGGCGTGAATGAAGAGATCACATTAGTAAAAAAGAATGAAGCAATCAATAAAAAGATGGCGTTAAATACGTTCATTGATTTGAACCCAAATAATTAAAAAAATCGATTTTTTTTTATTTTTAGTTATTTGACTGAAGGCATCAGTTTTAGAAAATGCGTATCAAACTTCCCAAATCTTTATATTGTTGTCCTACAAATACCATTTACTTTCTCCAGGGTCTCTCTTCTCATCTAATTTTATCACTTTCGCTTAATTATAAGAGATATATAAGATGAAGGTGCTTTCAGTTCTGGCCTTGTCCCTCATCCTTCTGCAGATTGTATCAACCCGTCCAGTTCCGGCATCAAGTACACAACAATATTATAACTCCCAATTCCCCCCCAAAAATAATAATAATAATAATAAAATATATATCTTCTCCTCCATTTTGAGTTTTTCTTGTAATAATTGCTTTAATTATGAATCTTCTTTTTGTTTATTGTTTTTGTACAGGGATTTTCGGCTCCAGTCACACCGATAATTTGATGGGCAAGAGCTTCGATTTGGTACGCTTTTCTGTCGTAATTTCTTCGTACAAACGGAACCAAATTTCCATTACGTATGCTATATCTACATACTACTTTGTTTATAATTAATTAATCCTGTGTTTAAGTATTGATCAATATATATATATATATATCCTAAGTTTATAATTATCTGAAATTGATCAGTACCACCAAACTACTGAAGTGGATGTTGACTACGTGGATCCGCATCCGCATCCTCCTCGCAGTTCAGATGATCCTCCTCCACCTCGCCGGGTCTAGATTTTCCGGGACTCCAGTCATATTAATTACGTAAGATATTTTCCCAATATTGTTTTACATTAAATAAAAAGGCTGTTAACAGATTTCCCCTTCTCCTTGTGCATTTCATTCAAAGAAAATACATATATATTTAACTACACATTTTACAATCCACTCTTCTACATCGGTGCGAACTCAATAGTTACATACCACACTCTCTCTGTCCCATAATTATTATCCAATTTAAATTTTTATTTTTAATTCAATTTATTTATATTAAGACTGAAAATCCAAACCTGAAAATTATTTCGGGACAAGGAAATATAGTTTTGTTTTGGAGAATACACTTAGTTACATATAATAACCGATTGAACCAATGAAAACCACCGAATTCCTTCCTGTTTTTTTTTTCGGATGAAAAAATTGATCTTTTTTATTAGAGGTATGTGATATCGATCAGTCCTGTGAAAATGATTTAAAAAAAAAAAAAAGAAGAAGAGTTTGTTAAAATAAAATTACAAGCGGCCATTGAGTTTGGAAATGTAATAAGATCGCGTTGATAGAATTAGTAGTAAATAAAACTCATACTCAATCCAACCAAGAAATGGAATTGCCTTGTCAGCGTATATGCCCATATAATCTGGACGAAGCCAACAAAAGTGTTGATGTTTGAATTCTAGTTTATTTTGGTAAACAGAGTCATCAATTCATGGTATACAAGGTTAAACTTTAGGCTGTTATAGTAAAGAAACAATTGTCAGACTTGCAATTCAGCTTTCGACTAAAATTCTGATACCACTTAAAACAGAGATCAAGCGACAGCTAACCAGGACAACACATACTTGCCTTGTGGTACTCTTTTTAAATCTTAAAAACGAAAACAAATGTAGCTGCATACCAATACTTGCTAAGAGATCCATTCGATTCAAATACGAGCCAGTCGAAATAACAGTTTTGAACATTAAACCGTTCAATATGCCAGTACTCAAATTTTTTGCGAGTGTAAAGTAAACTAAAATTAGTTAGACAATTGTTTTACTTATTGAATACTTATAATCAGAGAGAATTATTAATTAATCATAGTTAAATTGTTGATAGCGAGCCGAGCTCGAATAGTGATATACCCAAACTCGAACTTGAATAATTTTGTTCGGCTTGAACTCGACGAGTACTAATTATTAAACTTGAACTCAGCTCGTTAACAAAATCGATAAACTCGAGCTTTTTTATTTTTTATTTTCTGCTCTATCGAAAAACAAAAAAAATCTTTTTCCAAGACAAGTTTCAGTTTCGATCATTCCCCTAAATTATTCGATCAATTTCACCGAGGGTCATCATAATAAGAACAAAACATGATAGAAAACCCCCCGACCTTTGATCCGTCTAACGAAACTATCCATCCTTGCCGAAAAAATGATATCATATGCTGATCTCATCAAATTTAGCTCAAATTATCTCGGTTGATCTAACTGAATCCAAGCAGTCAAGGGTCCACTACGAGTGGAAGCGTAAGGATGAGCGGCCCAGTTACTCAGATGGAGTACAAATTTGGGGTTGTTAAGATAATTTAGAAACCCGGTGTGGAGATTGCCCGTGACGGGGGAGAATATTGAGGGTCATTGGCAAGAATTGTGAATCCCACATCGGAGACATGATGATATGTGAATCACTTAATAAGTAAGGTGGACTTAGAACCCATTAACTTGAGCTTTTGAGTTCAGATGAGTTTTATCTTATTTATTGGACTCCATTTCGGGTTTTATCCTCTAGATAAATCCCCAACAAATTTTTCAGAGTGGACCAAGTCGGGGTCGAAGTCATGCCACGAAAACGAAGGAGAAACCGAACCCAGCAATGCCTTAAGGTCTCCAGAGAGAAAGGAGGATTCAAGTGGTAGAAAGACAGCTCTCTTCTCCGGCGATTGGCATTAGTGTCGACTTAGTTTTAAAAGATGATGGGAACATAAAAGTTTTTTCCTAGTTAGTTTATTTCCCAATTTTTTTTGGCAACCGGGGAGAGGTTAGTTTGTCATTTCACAAGATTCCGGTGTTTTATCAAAACTTAGAGATGATTTTGTCGACTCGAATTCGGTCAAACTCGAGCCGAGCTTAAGTCGTTGACCGAGTAGTTCGCGAGTACTCGAACTCAGCTCGGTTCGTTGAACAGCTATGTAAATAAACAAAAAGTACATATATATTGTATATTTGATACGGAACAAATTAATGTTATGGCAAATCTTTCTCTTCTTTTTGGGAAAAAAAAAGAGAAAAGAAAAGAAAAGACGGTATGTTTGTATCCATGCATTAGAAGAACAACAGAGGAAAAACTTTATAAGAAAAAGAAAAGAAATGGAAAAGAAAAAGAAGAGAGGAAAACCGAAGGCTGAAATGAGTAGAAAAAAGAATCCGAAAATGGTGGAGAATCCCCAATACAGGAATGGCACCCAATTAAAGCCGTCTTCGGCAGTAATGAGGCTGCTGAATGATCTTATTATTATTTCTCTAAAACAATCTTAATCCTTGGAAAAGAAAAACCAAAAAAGAATATCATTCTTTTTTTTTTTTTTTTCTATTACCCTTTTAATTTTATTTTTTTTTCAAACCTCATTAATAATAATAAGTAACTAATTAACCGAACTCCCTTTCTTCCCAAAATTCTCCAGGCTCGCCAAGGCGGTCGGAATAAAACTCCTCCGCCTCGGCCAGCCTTTTGTTTTTTTTTTTTTATTTACATGCATTATTATTATTAATTAGCCATGGCCAGCGAAGAATGTTTTCATCGCCGCTTGAAGCCGATATCGACACAGATGTCATTATCCTCGTCGTCCGGGGAATCGGAACCGGAACCGGAGGAAAGGCAGCTGATAGAGCGGGCACCGCCGTTCTGGAGGAATCCGAGAGGGAAGAAGAAGCTTTCCAAACAGCTTTCCATGTGCGAGACTCCCCGTGACGTGGCCTGGGAACGGCGGAGGCGCCAGATTCTGCTTCAGGAGAGGAACCGGAACGGGATTCATAACGACGCCGGCGACGACCTGACGGACGAGGATTTGAACGAGCTGAGAGGGAGCATCGAGTTGGGATTTGGATTCAATGAGGAACAGGGAATGAGGCTTTGCCGTACGTTGCCGGCTTTGGATCTTTATTTTGCGGTGAACCGTCAGTTTTCTCCCTCCAGTCCGGTCTTGATGTCTCCTGTTACTCCTCGCGGCAATTCCTCACCGGCATCCACCACGTTGCTCGGTGGTTCCTCCGGTGGTTGCGGTGGTGGGTCTTCGTCGTCTTCCTCGTCTTCTTCGTTGTTGACTTCTTCTGTTGGAAGTTCGCCGTCAAATTCTTTAGGACAGAGATCGTCGTCGTTCGGGAGTCCCCGGAGCGATACCACCGATTCTTGGAAGATTTTGAGCCCAGGTTCGTTCTTCACATGCATTTTGTATCATTTGTGAACTCCCATTTTCCCATTTCCAAAATTATAGTATGTGTGTATGTTTTTCACATTTTTATATGAATTATAAGATGGTAAATACAAGGGAGTGTAATCCATGAAAATACCTCCTCCATCACCAAATGATTGTGCAGTTTGGATTTTTATTTTAGTTCAAATTGTATTAGAAATAAAATCTCGAAGTGGACAATAATTTTGGGACAGAGGGAATAAAAAATTTAGTTTCATCATGTTTTTCCTTAGTCGTCCCTTATATTTCTATCGAATTGAAATTGAAAAAAATGTTTGATCTTTCGTGAAATACTCTATAGCCATCTATAAATTACATACCGTATATTCCAAAGATATGTGTGTTGATTTTTTTTTTTTTTTGGCCCCCTTTATGGATGTGTTGATGGTTTTTTTTTATGCATGAATATTGCAGGTGATGATCCTGAACAAGTGAAAACAAAGTTGAGGCATTGGGCACAGGCGGTTGCATGCTCAGTCATGCAATCATATTAATTGGAGGTTGAAAAAAAAAACAGAAAAAAAGGAAGGGAAAATCAAGCAGTCAAAGACATAGGAAAAAGAGAGAGAGAGAGAGAGATCGAGAAAGCAGAGATGATACGAGCGAGACCAAGTTCACGAAGGACGACCCACATATGCATATTGCAGCCATTTCCAAAAGGTTGGGGGTAATTAATTAGGGTTTTTCTTCTAGTAAAAACATTAGAAATGGTGCAGTTGTAAATGGCATTGATTGGGTGATCATCTCCTTCTTGAAAGAGCGAAGCAAAGTAGCTACCGTCGGATTCTGTACACTCCGGCGCCGGCGAGCATGCATGCAAGCATGGACGACAATGAAATATGCATGCATTCAGAAAAACTTTGCTTGGTCGCCATGGATCTCCTCTATATATCACTTTGAGACACTTTTTTCTTTCATTCTTTTTTTTTTTAAAAAAAAAAATGGTTTTTGTTCCCAGTTTTCTTTGTTCTTTAAACTAGGGGTTGTTTTTATGTATACTTGAGTGAGAGGAAACCCAAGTCAGGATTACAACAAATGGCCTGCATGCTTTTCTAGCACCAGTTGCTAGCCAGCAATATATAAATTGTGTTGAAGGGAAGAAATTAGGACATAGTATTAAACATTGATGATCATCTCTGTTCAAGGTGAGCAACCATCGATCCTTGAAGAAGATCCCTTGTCCTTGTGGGGCCGGATAGTTTCACGATGATGATTACACTTTGCGCGGACATGCAGATCGACGATGATTGACCAATTTATCTTCTCTTCATAGCTGGCTAGCTTTTGTGGAAATTAAGGAAAAAGGGAAATAGAATATTGTGTTTGAGGCCTTTTACGGATCAAGTTTCCTGTTGTGTTACCGAAAGTGGTTCCTCCCATGTACGTACGTACTAAAGTTTTGCTAGTACGCATGTGTTCCAAATTTAAACAAGTACAGTCATTCTTTTCCTAAGTATAAATACTCATTATGTCCTAAAATTATTATTCAATTCCAATTTTCATTCTTAGTTCAATTTATAATAAAAATAAAAATCCAAACGGAACAATAATTTCGATATGAATAAAATAATATACAATCGGAATGATGTTTGAATTGGTTCGCATTTATACATTCGCCTTAATTTGGTATCTTATACTTCTCATTTTTACCACGCGAGTATACATTCACTCCATGTACATCCGATTGGCGACCATCTTTACCGATGTATTCTCTCTGCTCTTTGTTAAGTGCTACTCCTCGCCAAAAAAAAAAATAGTAATAATTCACAATAAGTTTTTGAAATTTGTAATAAAAAACAGTACACATATGAAAATTCAATACGAATCATTACTTTTGGAATAGATATACAGTATTATTTTTTGTTACAATAAAAAGATACTTATGCCATCCGATTAGATGAGTACATTCCAGGTATAAAAAAACTCCAAGGACATCGTGTTGAAACCATGGTTAAATTTTTTTGTATCAAAAGCCTTTAAAGTCATCTAAGGTTATACTAATAAAACATTTCATATCTTTTAGTTTTCATTTGTTGTGTTTTTTTTACTCTACCTTAGTTAATTGAAATCTAATTTGATTGGTTCTTATATTTGTAACCTATAAGAAGTATGAGAACATATATAACATGGTCAATATGTATGTAGGTATTTCAGTAAAAAAACTAATTTAACAAGTATTTTTGTTAATTTTTTTAAAAGTAATTATTGGTCGACTGTAAGGATTAATAAGGACGAGAAGGATGGGAGTATAGTAGGTTTTAGCATGGTGGGTGGGTCGCCTCCCTTCACCATAAGCCCATATGTAGGGAAAGGATATCATCCATGGTCAATGCTCAAATGGTCATCGTGTGTGAAACTGGTGCTTCTTTTAAAATGCTAGATGCATCTGGACCGGACATGCACAAAAAGGTTAACCACGAGAGAATAATAACGTTGGTTAATTATTGAAATAGTAATATTGTACCAAACATAATAATAATAATAATAATACCATGGCTAAACCAATAAAGTACTTTGGACAACTATCGAATTGTGCTAGTGATGTTAAACTGTCTGTCCAGAAAAATTAATCTAGTTTGACCTACTGTGTTAATTCAATAATAATGTGAATTATTTTTAAATTTTCTTTTTTGGATTAAAGGAGTATAAATGTTCGGTGACAATTAATACTCAATAGTTCTCTCCCACATTTTTTATCTTTGTCTTGGATTCGTAAGTTTTTAATCATAACTGGAATTATAATCGCTTTCAATCTATTTCCAGGTGAGATTTGTTTGCCGTTTGACAAATGTTCGACGAAATGGCCACACGAATAATTAATTGGAAACACGACATTAATCAGAAATCAGTTATGGGTAGTTAATTTTCTCCAATTATTCGTGTCCAAATTCATGTTGGGGGGTTTCAATTCAGTTGCGCGATTCCTCCGTTTTAGATCAATTATAATATAGAGATCCTAGGTACAGTGTGAGTCTCACGCGACCCAAAAATGGACATCTCTCAATATTTACAACAATCTCATTTAATTCCCTATTTTGTGCGATTTTTAGAATTTTACAAAATCCCACCATTTTCTCATAATTTTCAGCCATTAACCATATTCATCTTCCACCCCCCATTCATCACAATCCGTCTCAAAAAAAAAAAAAAACTAAAAATTAAAATTTTCTCTACAGCGATTTGGCCAAAAAACCATTCGTCGGCTGGATTTTTTGGAACGGAATTAGATTGTGCATCAAATCCAGTGGAAATTGTGGAAATATACTCTGTTCAAGATGCGATTTAAGGTAATACACGAACAAAATTCATCCACGCATAAACCACCGATTGAGGATCTTGAACCGAACAGAAGCAGTTCGGAAAGTGAAGATAAGGTAATACTATTAATCTTCTGGATTATTGATGCGTTTTTTGATGGGTTTTATAGATTTACTGTATATGCATTCGATTATGCATATATGTTCATCAAATTTAAGTTTTCTTCATATTCAATTATTGGTGTTTTTTTTTTTTTTTTGTTCTGTAGATGTAAGGTATATTCATTCTATTGACGATGTTTGTTCATCAATTTTAGAGTTTTGTTCTTCTATTGGATGTTGTTTTTCTGGAAAATTGGTAGATTTTTGTATTATTCATCAGGTTGGTATAGTTATTCATTGTTAAAATTATCAGATTCATCATTTACCATAACTATGTAGTATTATTTTTTTAGTAAATTAGTAGATATTTGTATTATTCATTTGTTTGGTATAATTATTCATTACTGAAATTGTCAGATTCATCGTTTACCATAACTATGTAGTATTTTTTTTTGGTAAATTACTACATATTTGTATTATTCATCAGTTTGGTATAATTATTCATTGTTGAAATTGTCGGATTCATCGTTTACTATAACTATATAGTATTATTTTTTTGGGTAAATTAGTAGATGTTTGTATTATTCATCAATTTGGTATAATTATTCATTGTTGAAATTGCCGAATTCATCGTTTATCATAACTATGAGTTATTTATTCGTTAAATCTGTTCATCAATTTGTTAATTGGTATTCATCATAATTTGTTATAAAATTTGTTTTGGGATAATCATCCGTAAAGGGATGTTATTCATTGGGTCATCAATTATTATTAATTTTTCGATTTCATAATCCCAGATTATTCATCATCTGTATACATTTATTCATTAATTCATCGAACAGTCATTCATTAAGTTTGTGATAGATCTGATGCGTTGATATTAAGAAACACACTAAAAAATTCATTACATGTGACAAGTTATTCATGAAATTTGTAAACATATTGTAGCATGAGCGAAGAATATCAGACAGAATCTGAAAGAAGCATGAGCGAAAAACAACAATCAGAAGCCGAAAGAAGCAGGATATCTGAATCTGCAAAGACCAAACCACAATAAGTGTAGACATTGATATAGAGGGTTATTCAACAGTTTTGTAAACTAGTATTATTTTTTTAGTAAATTAGTAGATTTTTGTATTATTCATCAGTTTGGTATAATTGTTTATTGTTGAAATTGCCGTATTCATCAGTTTGGTATACTTATTCATTGTTGAAATTGCCGTATTCATCAGTTTGGTATAATTATTCATTGTTGTATATCATTTATCTCATGAATTTTTTACTCCTTGTTTGTTACATGCAAATTGTTTCCAATATACAACACCAGATTTGGACATTTTCCAATCTTTGAACCTTTTTATTGAAAAACCAATGCGCTAGAATTATAAGCAGCAAAAGCATCTTCCCCAGAGTTGAAACATCGTCTCATCAATAAGAACTCGTTATTCATTAATTAACGTAAGATATTCATCATAAAAACGTAATAAGATAATATACCATCGGTCAGAAAACAACAATAAAATTCATGTTCATCATTAACCATATAGTACGCATTACCTTACGCATGTATATTCATCAATAAAACGAATACATTCTACATCAATCATCTTTCAATAATTGCATAACATTATTCATTGTCTAAACGTTGGTTATTCATTACTGAGAAAATACACATTGATTCTCCATATTCATAAGTTTCAATGATTAATCATAGTCAATTTTACTAAAATAAAATCTATCGTTATAAAAAAATTATCTCATAAAATAAAATAATATAAAAGCTAACATGATAAGAAAAAAAGGTTTAAAATTAAACATGCGTAAAAAAAAAGGGATAAGATTAAGGAGTTAAATGTCAAAAAAAAAGGGATAAAATTATGGGAATTAAATGCCAAAAAAATGGGATAAAATTCGATGATTAAATGCGCGTGTGAGAACTAAAAATCCGAACTAAAATAATCACTTTTTTCTCCTAAGTTTGTGATACACGCACTGCCGGAGTATATCTTGCAAGGTGTACGTAGCATCTTAATATTATTTGCCGTTTTCGATGATGTATGCTGTGTTAGCTTGTGGTCTTAGTAGTATTCTTGATGAACGTGCTCCTTTATTACTCTTATGGACTTAGTAAACTTGTGTGACTGGGGATGATTGAAATCATGATGGTGATATCTTCAAGTCCATCTAAATCGAGGATTTCATGTATTTATAGATTTCAGCAATGAGCAGGATTCTTGGCAACTCCGGTAGGATGCCCGAGATGAAAGAAGTGATTATCAAATAAAAGACGATTCCTGTGAATGCTGGCCGGTCTTTTGGATGAAGCAAACCGTTCTGAATTAGCATTACATGTTTTTTCAAGAAATGCATCACCAATGCTGCTATCCTAACAGGGAATCAAATAAGATTCTCATGAAGGGTCTCTGTGAAGATGGGAGGCTCAATGAAGCCACACATTTAATGTTTTTCAATGTTCTGGAGGATTCCTCAAAATGGTAGTGGTGGTGATGTTTGCCGTGTACAGAATCCTCTTGGATCCTTTGTGTGATAATGGAGATGTTGAAGCTGCCGTGGACCTCCTTGGTAAGGTCTTAAGCCCGAAAACAGTTTGATCTTAGTGTTATCCTGGAGGCAGAGTAGATATATTCCAAAGGGTGAAGTTCTTAATAAACGAGGCTCTGACTCGAGGTGGAGTTCCCAGTACAGATAGCCATCAAACGATGGCCGTGGATCTGTACTCTGAAGATAAGATTGATGGAGGTGATAATGTGCTCAGAGAAATGCAGAAGAGAGGCTTTTGACCATCACAACCGGTGTATGAAGCTAAATTAAGGTTGTTGCATTATCGAGGAATGGAAGAAGAGTTGATGATGCAGTGGCTGTGGTAGAAAAAGAAATGATAGACATGAATTGCGTTCCAACGGCTGGTTTATAGAATTTGATGATAGAAGGCCTTTGTGATGATACAAGATCTAAGTTGGCCATGGGTTATTTGAATAAAGATGTCTATGATGATTGGTTTTATGTAGCAGACCGCGAGAAATATCTCTTAGCAGATGGTCTTTGCAATGAAAGCAACTACCTTGAAGCAATCGAGATATTGGAGGAAATGTTGATCAAGTCTTTCCGG